AGATTGTCGATGTCGTTGCCATCGAAGTGCACATCTTGAAGCTGGATGGACAAATCATGGGCTAAGGATTCGTGGTCAACATCGTGAAATTTGCCTTGTGATGACCTCACTATTGACGGTGCTGGAGTTTCGAGACGGAGCCAGCAAGAGATGACACCATGATCTGAGATGCCATACATGTCAACAGTGTGGGTGACAAGTAGGCCGTCCTCATCACTTCTAGTGATGATCCAGTCTTAGGTGTGCCCATGGGTGTGTGTTGGCTCAGAAACATGCTGTAGCAGTCCTGAAGCAGCGAGCGCAGAGTTAATATGGGATGTATCAGGTTTCTCAAGACAGTCAAAGTGGATATTGAAGTCACCTAGAATGATTAATTTCCCTGTCAGACTGTTGACAGCATTAAGGAAATCATCGAATCTAGATGTTTTCAGTCTGTTCTTCGCAGATGGAGGTGGTCTGTAAATATGGGATGTATCAGGTTACAGAGTTAATATGGGATGTATCAGGTTTCTCAAGACAGTCGAAGTGGATATTGAAGTCACCTAGAATGATTAATTTCCCTGTCAGACTGTTGACAGCATTAAGGAAATCATCGAATCTAGATGTTTTCAGTCTGTTCTTCGCAGATGGAGGTGGTCTGTAAATAATCGCGTAGTGAATGCGCCGTTTGACATCTGCAATGACTGAATATTCAAAGGTGCTTACATTGAGTGGTACTGGAACAAGTCGAAGGTTAAGTTTGGTTTTGAATAATATTGCAATTCTACCGTGTCTGTCAGCAGGGCGTGGAACATTGAAAAATGTATAGCCAGGTGGGGTAATTTCATTTATGACAACTTGGTCATCATGACAGAGCCAGGTTTCTGTCAGGAGCAGAATATCAATGTTATTGGATACAATATAGTCAAATACATGTATTAGCAAAGTTTTGTTACAAACGGAGTGAGTGTTCCAATGCGCTACTGTACATGCAAATTGCCATTGTCAACGAGTGTAACAGGTGCAATTGTACTCGTGCTGTTGTTTCGGGAGAGTCTCTGTTTTGCATGTATATGCCGTCCACCTCTTCGACTTCTACATCGAAATAGTCCTACTGGTTCGATATATATCTGTAGGAATCACAGAAGTGGGATAGTTCAGTCTTTGACGTATTGTGATCATCTCTGATTTGGTATACTGCCGGGGCATATGCAGGACGTCACTTGATGGAAGCATAGTGCAGTCGCCCATAGCAGGATCAATCAAGGTTACGTCACCCTTTGTTGTATCCATTGTAGTGGCTATTTGGTTATCAATGCAATGGGTGTCCTCGATACCAAGGGTGTCGGTAATCCAAGGATATACAAGACTTACATTTAAAAGAATTACGCCCAACATCATAATTATCATCAAGATCAGAGTTTCCGCGATCCCCGGAGTCAATCAACTGATGTCAATCGAAGGTCTGTCATGAGACTTATCATAAGACTGAGGATCTGTTGAAGCAGGAAACTCTAAAGTGGAAAAATACTGTGTTTTCTGGAGCAATCCTTACAGTGGCAGCAGCATAGACAGCGCCCTCATCAAATTGTTTAAAACATACCCTCAACAAATAACGAACCCTCCATACAAAAAATCCCACTGAAAACAGGTATCCCAAGAACTTAAAATGCCCCACCAAAAAAACAAAGGATGAATCCGAAACTATAAAAACTTCAAAGAATTCTTCCAGAAACAATAATCCCCAATTGTTCCAGAAAGTCAACAACAAAAAGTAAAATTCCACATCCATGGCGATACTAAAACCTGGAAGTTATATTGGTGCCCCCTCTTGCCCGATTCCAGCAAATGCAAAACGAAAGCAACATGCCACTCAGCACGATTTGTGCGAGTAACCTACTTGCCTGATTCTTCTCAGCGATGATGCCTTCTACTCCGGATTCAGGTCGTCAAATATTATACACTTAAAGCTATTTTATTTATTTCATTTATTCATCACCATCAGTTAAAGGGAAAATACAACATTTGCAAACATCGACAAATAAAACTACCAAGTTGTTACGAAATACCTTACTAGAATGTTGGTAAATGACATGCTTAAGCATCCTGTAAAATTATGGCACCTGGTGTGAAGCCATTTTCAAGAAAATGGTATATTTGTCTACATTTCCAACGATGGTCGGCCGACCACCGTTGGAAAAACCTAACTATTTTTCAATTACTGCACCAAATTTACCATTTTTTTTAAGTCTAAATTTTGTTTTGCTAGCTATTGGTTCCATGCTCATGAACGGGTGCAGGCCAGCTAGACTGGTTCCCTTACCTTACAATTTTCCGGTATGTTTGATCCATTTCATCTTTAGTGGAGTCAGGGAACCAGACTACTTGAACATTTTTGTTTTTCTTGGTTTTTCAAATATTTTCGAACACAAAACTTCAAACATGTCAGTGTAACAATATTTGATCTATTATACTACCCCCCCCCCCAAATAGTTCATTTCTGAAAATTACAGCAAAAGCCAATGATGTACATTCCCTTTAAATATTAAACATTAATAAATACCTTGGAGAGTTGATGGTTTCTGATTGGTCGAAACTCGATCACGTGGCCGGGCATTAACGGTGATAATGGACCGGCTTCAAAGAACAAGCGAAAAAATGGCCCCTGAACCAGCATTGATCCAGCCCCATGGAAGGCAATGATTGGCCAAATTTACAACAGTCATACGGCAGCTTGTAACAATACAGCACTGCACATGCGCTCAACCACCTTCGCGTGAGACTGACGCGCGCGTACGCAACACAGTTGCTTTGGGTGCAGGCGCGTAAGCAAGTTTTGAAACGACATTGTACAGAGGCAGTGCAGTACATGTATACTGAGGATGTTTACGACGAAAGCGTAGATCTACGATTTATTTTCTGTAAATACTTCGCCCATCGACATATTTACCTTTCCTAAACCAAGCATCTTTGTAATTCTGGACACGAGGAATACATGTGTAAACGAAATTTCAGCTTCCTCCATAACATAAGGTAAAAATATAAAAACACTGTTGTAATTTTTTTGGCTACGGCAGCAGAAGTCGTACGCGTACGCAATGAGGACGTTGCAATTGTCCAGCGCAGCCTGGGCCCGGCTGTGGTGTATATGCTTATTGAAGAGACAGGGTACCACGCATAAGCTAAAATATGGCCCATGAACATGAACACAAAAAAGTCTGGAAATATCGCCGGAAAAAGTCACAAAAGTGGAGCATTTTAACTGTTTATTTCGTTAAAAAGGTATTTATTAATAAGGGAATAACAGTGCGAGGATCCGGTCTTCACTGCGTGATAATGACCGGGTTTGGGGGTGACTGCTGTTAATGGACCTCGACTTCGTCTCGGTCCATTAACAGCGGTCACCCCCACACCCGGTCATTATCACGCAGTGAAGACCGGCTTCTCACACTGTTATTCCCTTATTAATAACAGACGTACATGTATACCAACTTACATGTACATTCGTCTTTTCATGAGTTCGGATCGGACTTGCTTTACATGATAACAACACGCACATGTAGCACGTAACTTGTGCACAACGAATGGGAAAAACTGCGCTCCGGTTATAGCGAGGTTCCGGCTATAACGACAGAATTGTGAAAGTCCCCAAAACTTTGTTATAACAGGAGTTGAATATATTTAGTTGCACTGACTTGCCGAAACAGTTAACAATCACGCAAGCGCTGATTTCTTTAACCCTTATCGCCCCGAATCCTCTTTGCCAAAGTGGAGGAATTTGGAGGATTGAGGCTACATGGCAAAAGTGCTTTACTGGTTTCGTAGGATGCACTTTGTCAAGGTTTTGGGCGGGACCTTGTGTTGTTTTTGCTCAGCCATGTATAGGCCTGGATTATGCTTAAAATCCTATGTACTGCTCCAGGATGTCACTGGCCAAGACTCAACATATTGACAGTCACTGCCGCAGGATTTTTCAGGATTCAGGCAGTGGTCACCCTTCCATGGACCACATTCAAGAAATAATGGAGGAATTCGCAGGATTTAGGCTATATGCTATTTTTCCATGTGGTCAGTTGAAGACTTTTGCAGGATTGAGGCTACATCCTAGCTAAAAGGCCTAGGGAGTTAGGGTTAAAGATGTCTCGGGACCAATCTGGCAATTTAATGAACCACAAACAAAACCAATGAAACCTATACATGTGGAAAATCTGAACTACAAGTACATGTACCGGTAAATTACTGCCATCGACCATACAGCACATGTTTCAAAATAGAAATTGCTGTGTCTGATGTCTCACTCACAGCTACTCAACATATCCGTTGTCTGTGTCCCCCCCCCCCCCCCCCCCATTCAAGAAGTGGGTACAATCAATACTAATCAAAGTGGGTGTCAATACCAATACACAGGCTAGTTCCCTTGCTGTTGGGCAAGGATATGGAAGTTTACAGGACAATTTGGCAGACTGTAAAGGGTTCTTAGCCTGGTATCTAGGAAATTTAGTAAATAACCATGAGCAAGGTATTTTATCTTTTGATCCAAGACAACATATATGTGAAAAAAAAAATACAATTAATAAAATTTAAATACTTTTTTTAGACCAAATCTGTCCATCCATGCCATCATTGTTTGTATTGTTATTTTGCAAAGTGTCCATCCAAAATCATATTTTACCTACCCTAAACATGAAGGGATGGCTTGTTAGACGAAAAATCGCATTGAATTTCATGTTTCCACATCAGGCATCCATGAAATCATGTACAATTCCTCACAAGTCACAATTTACTTCAGTCCCAAGTGAAATGTTATTGAAATGAAGTGTTACAAACGCATTCGTTTGTTACTGTTCATCCCGTTACTAGTGGTCAATTTGGTTAATCATTGGCTTGATAGATTTAACTGTTGATGGACTTGTGACGGTATCAGCTACAATGTACATCACTGAATCTAATAACAAAACTTTGAACAAAAGTCAACTTCCTCCATCTCTTTGTCACTCTTGTCCTCTCCCCTCTCGATGCAGTCTCAAGCACCACCCCACCCCCTACCAGAAATCTGACATCAGAGATTGAGCAGGCCCGACCACAGACCAGCAATGAGGAGGAGCTCCAGCTGCAGCTGGCCCTGGCCATGAGTAAAGAGGAAGCTGAGCAAGACAGGCAGCAGCAGAAGAATGAGAGAATACGACTGGAGATGGCAATCAATGAGAGCCTGGATGAGGTGGGCCAAATTAAAAAAACTAGGGTTCCATTTCATGGAGTTGCTATGCAGGAAAACGTTAGTTGAGGATGTACTGTCTGCTATTTTTAAGTTTCACCTGCCAAAATAGTAACTATTTTACAGTAGCTACATGTACAATTGCAACATAACATTGCGAGTCGATATGAGGTTTTGAATGTCTATAGCAGTTGAAGTGCTTCAGTACTGGGGGGGGGGGGGGGGGGGAGGGGGGTAGCTTAACCCTAACAATCCCCATCCCGTCAAACTCCACCAGGGTTTGTTGGAATCTGTTAGAGTGAGTACTGTACTAGTAAACTGATGAGGTTAAGCATACCACCAATAATCAGAGTTCAATAGTTTTTGTTTACAGTTTGCCATATGATATATGGTGTTGGAATTTGCAGGAGTAAGGAAGGTTCCTAGTAAATCACTCTAGGGAGTTAGGGGTCAATTCGTGTCAAATCACCCGATGGGTTATACCCAGGCATGCAACTTTTCCTCGGATCAGCTGATTTCCTCTTTTTGTACTTCCCATGTGTGCCATTGAAAATAGAAAAACACTGTACAAAGTCTGGTAAAAATTAGAATTTCCTCTTTTTTTGTGATTTCCCAGTTGCATGCCTGGTTATACCCCACCCCCTGCAAATTTACTCATATTTAAACCGTGTTCCCATTGGACTTTCTTTTCCACAACCGCGACAGTCCTATGTATTTACGTATACTGTGCGTTCCCAGGGAAAATGACTTTGTTATATGTATCGGCAATTTTGGAGACAGTGCAAACCGTTACATCCTCTTCTGTGTGCTTAATAAACATTCTCCGTCTGCCTTCACCATAATTTTCACCGCCATCAAACCCAATAAAAGTTCTAATAAAATCGATCAAATCTGCCATGAATGTGAGATGAACGGACAAGAAACATTGCTGTTTTATCGATTGGGCGGTTTTGTAGGCCTACGTTGTATGGCCATTGTGTAGTTACGGGCCCCACTCCTACGAGAGAACGAAAGTCCACATTTAGATTATTGAAATATAGTCAGCAAGAAGAGTGTATCAAGGGCAGGGTTTCGTTTATTTTAAGGGGACGTTTTGCCAGAACAATAATGAAGACCACTGAATGCAACACAAAAATTATATTTGACGATCATCGCGACACACCGTGAATTCACGACGCCATGTGTTGATTTTCGTAACATCAAGTTGTTTAACTGAAAAGTGCGTAGGAAATTTGCATTTTGTACAGAAAGATACTGTTCAAAATTGTAAAAATAGGGTCCTCAGAATAAAATGTAAATGAAAAATACCTGGTTGTATGGAGGCAATTAGAATGACCTTATTAAGGACTTTTGAATGAAAAAAAAACACCACTAAACAATCCCCTCTTATGCATACCTTATGTTGTACCAAACACAGTGATGAGTCGGGGAACCTTTCTCCTCCAAATTCCAACACATTCCAATATGATTCTTTCAATATCTTTCAATAAACGATAAAAACAGTGAAAATTTACAATATTTTACAATTCGGCACAATCACAGGGGTTGTTGTCATCTTAATCCAGATCACAATGTAATATACCGTACTTATCTTGTCATCATAATCCAGTAACACTAACAATGTACTTTACTTTTGACAGCTGACAGGAGTCATTGTCACTTTCTCTTTCTCTCTTTTGTGGTGTTTTGGTGAATCTTTGGTATACAAAGGGACAAGCAATCAGGCCCACATTGACTGTTCTAATGTGTTTAATACACATACGATTGTATGACTGTACATTGTGTGGGTAACATTTATTTGTATTTCCCACAGTGGTGCACTGTCGTCTTCACAATTTCTTTTATGTTCAGTTCATTTCAGTTCTTGTATACCATTGCAATGCTTCATTGGCCCAATTTGCTAATTGTGCATAATTTCAACTTATTGATCCCTTTGTTTCCTTGTTTTTCAATGTAAATTGACAAATAGTACATGCTTTGGTTTTTATTTTTGTTCAGTCTGCTCACATCACTGATTTCAATTCTGTGCTCACATACATTTCAGGTGTACAAGTATTTCACATTTAACACTGAAATGTGTTTTTGTTGTGGACTAATGAGTCATACCGTTAAAAATAAATCCCATAACTCACCACTATTAAGTGAAAAAATATTGAAAATTAGAGCCTTGACTGGCATTCGATTTACCGTTTATTTTATTCCTTTCTAATACAAGCGATACTAAAAATGAGAAAATAACCACAACAAAAAGGAGGCTTTTAGCTGAAACACAAAGTTAAGTGTTTTTGATTGTTGGCCTTTTGCCGTGCACAGCCCAGACGATGTGAGCAAACTGGACCCACCTTAAAGAAACGTTCCAGCCTGCTGGCCTTGGCCAAAGCTCACAGACCCCCTCCCAACCATTTCATGCAGAACACAGGCCAGCTGGACCAGTCTCAGCCACAGCTGACCAATGATCCCTGGGACGTCACTTCAGCAGCAGTTGCTGTGGCAGCAGCGGCACCACAGCAGCCAGCTCAGAGTGATCCCTGGGCAGCCCTTGCTGCACCACCCCCTGCTCAAGCACCTTCCCAAGCTGTTGATCCCTGGGCTCCTGCACCGCTTACTATCCAGCCTCCTGCAGATCCATGGGCAAGCCCAGCACCTCTTGCATCAGCACCTGCACCAGCGGCCATTCCTCAGAATGATCCCTGGACCACCCAGCTACCATCAAGTCAACCAAAAGATCCCGATTCTGAATTCGACCTCCTGCGTGCCAACACAACTGCCCCCACCCCACCCAACAACAGCAATGGGAATCTCTTCAGCAGCTCGTCCAGAATGACCGGCACAGAGGCATTTGACATGATGGGCATTCACGACTCTCTAGCACTGCAGAAGCCAACAACCAAGAAACCAGAGGATTTCCTGGGTGAGAACTCAAGTCTGGTCAACCTGGATGCCTTGGTGGGGCCCCCAAAGCCCTCTCAGCTCATGCCGCAGGCACCCAATCCGTTTCTGAGTGGGGGGATCTCTGGAGGTGTGGCTGCAGCCCAGAGCAACCCTTTCCAGCAGCAGCGACAGCCGGCCCCCACCATCAACCAAATGAGGGCAGAGCCCATGATGAGCATGCAGCAGCAGGGTGGCATGTACGCATCAGGGACCGGAGGCTATGGCGAGGCCTCATCAATGGGTGGAAGTGCTCTGCCTCCACCGCTAATCCCCATGAGCGATGGGGCATCCCAGAATCAAATGCAGCCCCAGCAAGCAAACAATCCTTTCCTTCTTTAAGGACAACTTGCCTCGACTCCAACAGGTAAGACATGAATTTTCCCCTCTAATAATGGATTTTACTCATGGGTGAAAATGTTATCATTTTTAAATGCAGAAATTAAGTTCAAATACCCTTAGTGGATAACCATACTTCAGCTACTGTTTGCTGTGTGTCATAGTTACAGGGCTATTATTCTGCTTATAAATTTCAGGTGAGACAAGTATGTTGAATTGTTGTTGACGATGTAAAAGTGCCCACTAACTCCTGATTCAGGAGAAGCAGTTGCAAAAAGAATTGCATTGCGCTGGCATACACTGTTAATTCCATGCACCTCTTACATGTACAAGAGATCACAAGAGATTACTTCGAAACAAGTAGGAATGTGAGTGTTTATACACACAGCTGCATGCAACACTTATGCAAGAAATGACGTGCAAATACTTGCAAAACGATTGGGACTCGAGTCCTGAGTACTTTTGCAAATTCTTGGACATTTTCAGAATGCTTTTTTGCCACATACTGAGACTCCTGCCCGTAATCAAAAACTCTGTAGTCAGTAGGTTTGGGCGGTTCCAAGTCGGAACCGGCTCCCAGAAATTCAATGAAAAACCATAAGCTCTTGAAATTACATCTTAAGAAATAACGGTGTCACCTTGTGAGGTCTGTGCTCCGTGGATATCGACCTGCAATACATTATTCCACTACGTATTTGGTTTCAAGTGTGTGTCTTTTTCCAGTGAAAGTATGGATATTGTGTTTGTAATTTAAGCAAGCTTAGTGTTTATTACTTTATTCTCTGTTCATTGCCTATGATTTTATTTACCACGACGACCGCCATGCCGCCGAGAATAAAATGATTCACTGCACAGTTAAGTACACGTACAGTTGGCGAATTTACACGTACACTGTTACCCTGCTTTAAATATACATTGCACAACTACATTGTAGTGTGGAACTGGTCGAGTGCTTGAATCGGCTCTGATTGACCTGGGTACAAAATACCCGGCTCCAATCCGAACGAGTCACAGACAGTCCAGATGTACTGGGCTTAAGTTGCATGATTTCATGAACATTAGTATTATTAAGTACATGTAGCAGCCCTCGTGTTTTAGTTCGCAACTGCACAACTTTTCATTCTTCATCATGTGTACCGATCAGAACGAACCGAAGCGAAGGATTAATTCATTATCATGCAATGGTAGATTCGTGACTCGTTTGGAGCTGGGTATTTTACCTCAGAGCCGGGTCCATCAGAGCCGATATGAGCACTAAGAGCTGGTGTGATCTGAAAATTAGACTCCTGTGAAAATCGGACTCCTTTTCGTTTGATTGGTTAATCCCTCTAACGTGATTGGTCCTTTTCCTAATTATCTATGCATGAGCATGCGCAATACCACCACGGAGTCCGTATTTCATAAAACCTAAATTCATGTTACACCGCTTGTCCAAGTACATGTATTATACCCCAATCTTTGGGGTTTTTTCACCAACTATTCCGAATAGTTCAAAAAAATAAAAATGGTCAGCATAATGGGTATTAAAGTGCACATTCTCAATTTTTACCCAAAACAATACTCAGAAAACACTCTTCTGGGGTAGAAAAAAATGGCATCAACTTGATTTGGGTTTTATAGTGTTTCATTAATAATCCCTGAAATTTTCAAAGAATGTACCTGAAATTGCATTTGGGAGATTATTTTTAACCATAAGCCAACTGGCTAAGGCCTAGTTTTTCAGTTGTACTGTGCCACCTTGCTTTTCCTTTGCTTCGCTTGATAGACTCCTCTAGATTTCAAATGTAGTTTTCCATATGAATTGAAATTATTTCTTTCTACATTGTATTTCCATAGAACCGAGGCATTCATCAGAGGCCACCTTTTTGGATTTCTGCCATTGGTTATGGTTCCGGTACATGATGCAAAACAATGGAATAGTTTATAGAGGTTACAGACAGCTAAGGGAACGTCTTAAAAGTTGAGAATGTTTGCACTCTGTTGAACCATTCTCATTAAACCAGTTCTCATTGAGCTGCAAGATGTTCTGTCAGAACGTTCCCTTGTCTTTCTGGAATGTAGGAATGTCTGCTTTGTGACAGGACCATTCCGAGCATACTAGCATATTCCTATTGGTACTTCTGTGAATTGTACTTTACAATACAAGTAGAAGTTTCTCAATTCCCATTGATCTGTGAAAACCCTTTAAAAAATAATCTTATAAGATCAAGCAGACTTTAATATGCAGGTTAGGTTGTTTGTGTTACATGTTTAAAGATGTAAGTAAAGTCTGTCGCGAGCCAATGTAGCTCATCAGGCTGGCATTTATCTCCGGTTTCAGTAGAAACGACTGAGAATATTTCTATTCCCCCTGGATGGGATGCTAGTCCATCGCAGGTTACTCCCCAGCTAATGCCGGTACCCATTTATACTCCTGGGTGGAGAGGGACAAGTAGGGGTGAAGTGCCTTGCCCAAGGACACAATATATGACCAGCGGCTGGATTCAAACCCCGGACCCTCTGATCATGAGTCACGAACCCTAACCACTAGGCCACACACTCCCCCTAAGATGTAAAGGTACAATGTAATTAACATGGATGCTGCCGTCAAGTGATTCTTTTTTCATTGGGACAGTGATTTTTACGTTTGGCTCAGTAGATGCAATCAGAAAAAGGGATGCACATACACTTTGACATTCCTTCCGATTTTTAAACATTTCCTGCCATCATAAACATTATGATTTACAGCAAGTAAGAAGTATGTTTTGATGTCAAATATACTATAACTAATGGGGAATTAACACTGTTGATTTTTTTTTTATCACAGAAGAGAGGCAATTTACAGCTACAAAATTGTCAATTGGTCCACAACAACGGACTTTCAATGGCACTCAAGCACCTAGGCCTACCTTTTTAAACAACTGACATCTTGTATGAAAGATAGTATGAAAAAATATTTAAAAATCATTCTTAGCAAGTAAAACTTCCCGTCTGTTGTTTCTTTTCATTAGAATGTGGGCAAAGATTACTGAATGGTCAATGTATCACCGTCCACACTTGTAAAGGTCCATTGAAACGTGTGTTCCAGCTGGACCAGTATATAGGTGGTCTTTGGGCATTCCACTGGAATGGTCTGTTTTCAGTGGAAAATCGGAATGTTCCAGTGTGCTCCCACACAGTTCTGCCTTGAACATTCCTACCATTCTGACTACTTTTGAGCACTCCTCAAAGCTATGCGTACGCAAATTTGTTGTTATGCAAAACCTCTCTTAATATGAGTAATGATGAATATTCTGTTTTAGAGGTGGGCGGAAAACCGCATATAAACATATTCTGGGTAAACCCATAGAATCAGGAGGGACTGAAAACCCAATCCACATGAGGGCCTGGGTGGGATCCAGACCTGGCTGGGATCCAGACCTGGCTGGGATCCAGACCTGGCTGGGATCCAGACCTGGCTGGGATCCAGACCTGGCTGGGATCCAGACCTGGGTGGGATCCAGACCTGGGTGGGATCCAGACCTGGGTGGGATCCAGACCTGGGTGGGATCCAGACCTGGGTGGGATCCAGACCTGGGTGGGATCCAGACCTGGGTGGGATCCAGACCTGGGTGGGATCCAGACCTGGCTGGGATCCAGACCTGGCTGGGATCCAGACCTGGCTGGGATCCAGACCTGGCTGGGATCCAGACCTGGCTGGGATCCAGACCTGGCTGGGATCCAGACCTGGCTGGGATCCAGACCTGGCTGGGATCCAGACCTGGCTGGGATCCAGACCTGGCTGGGATCCAGACCTGGCTGGGATCCAGACCTGGCTGGGATCCAGACCTGGCTGGGATCCAGACCTGGCTGGGATCCAGACCTGGCTGGGATCCAGACCTGGCTGGGATCCAGACCTGGCTGGGATCCAGACCTGGCTGGGATCCAGACCTGGGTGGGATCCAGACCTGGGTGGGATCCAGACCTGGGTGGGATCCAGACCTGGGTGGGATCCAGACCTGGGTGGGATCCAGACCTGGGTGGGATCCAGACCTGGGTGGGATCCAGACCTGGGTGGGATCCAGACCTGGGTGGGATCCAGACCTGGGTGGGATCCAGACCTGGGTGGGATCCAGACCTGGGTGGGATCCAGACCTGGGTGGGATCCAGACCTGGGTGGGATCCAGACCTGGGTGGCCGTGGGATTCAGACATGGGTGGCCGTGGGATTCAGACATGGGTAACAGATGTGAAAGGCGAAGGAAAGTACCACTACACCAACCTGACTTCCCGTTTGTACACATGTACAATTTCAAACATTTCTACCATTGTTACCTGAAATACAAAGAGAAATCGAACTGTTTCTTCCCACCTCTATATTGTTCTGTAAGTCTGGCAACCAAGGCCCAATTACATGCAGCTACGAGGCAGAACATTAGGCTTAACTTGTTTTTACTTGTAACAAGTGATTTCCTTGCTTAGTAAATGTCTGTACCTGGCAACTTCTCCAGATCAGCCTCGGGTTTTGAAACCTTCCTGCCAAATATGCAATATATTGCACAAATTAAGTCTTGTTTAATCATTGGTTGCGAACAGCTTGAAACCAAACAAAAGCTATTGTTGTGCTTCAATTAAAGGGAATATACAACATTTGCAATCACCAAAAAACAAAACTACCAAATTATTATGGAACACCTTACTGGACTGTTAGTGAATGACAGTCTCAAACATCCTGTAATATCATGGCACCTGGTGTGCTGTCATTTTCAAGAAAAGTGGTATTTTTGTATCAATTTCCAACGCTGGTTGGCCAAGCAGCGTTGAAAAAACTGGTTTTTTTTTAAATACTGCCCCCATTTACCATATTTAGTTAGTCTGAATTTTGTTTGCAATCAATTACACATCTACATGTATGAATGGATACAAACCTTCTAGACTGGTTCCGTGACCTTACAATTCCCCAACGTCTATAAATTGCTCCATTTTAATTTAAGTGGCATCAGGGAACCAGACTACAAGAACACAATTGTTTTTCTTGGTTTTTTTTCCAGCATCTACAAACACAAAACTTCAAACAAGTCAGTGTAACATTATTTGCTATAAAATACAAATCCATCCATTTCTGAAAATTACAGCAAAAGCACATGTTGTATGTATTCCCTTTAAGTCATGGCTACTCTTCTCTTGGAATGTAATAAGTACTTTGGTGCAATGAATAGTGCTGGGGTTGGCTGGATTAACTATTCCATATTTCTAACCCTGGCTCTTAGACAGTGGTATAGCAAAAGGAAATCTGTCCATTACTCCTAACTAAATGGTATAGCAGTTTACATGATTTGGTCACTTATGAGAATGACTTGACATGACAATGAGTCATACTTATGACACGTGGCCTGTTTTAAACACATCTTGTCCCTATCCTCCCTGCTCACTCACCCTACTCTAAACCAGACCCCTTGTAATTGCTTTTGTTTTTACACATGTTAATATTAAGAACATATAAACACAGGAGCTGTAGTAACAATGCATGACTTTTCAAAGGAAACAATATTGTTGCACTTTTCGTATCTGAAAGCCTTTGTATTATACACGTTTCAACTGAACAAGCATAACCATATTTGTCATTGTTGACTAGTCAATTCTATGTACAAAGGATTTTTCTGTAGAGGTTCTAGAAGTGTCAATTATTTGGATAACAGCAGTTAATTCTGATTATTTATTGGCATTTGTGATGATTAGTCTGTAGGACTAGATATTTCACAAATGCAGTTGTCTGAAAATGTACTTTTGATGTACTCTTAAAAATATAGATGTATACTTTTTAATGCCGGCCTCTAAATGTAACAAATTGATAGTCTTAAAAAAATCAGGGCAGAGGAGGTTGGGTACACTGCATGCAAGCTCAGCAACAGACTAATAAATCAATTTATTGCAGTTGACTACTATTAAGTTTATCAATAAATGTAGTTATAATTCTTCGTTATAGAAAACCTTGTTTACACTAAATTAGTTTACAGGATTTTTGTGATAAAGCTTTGGAAAAGAAGTGTATTTTTTGCAAGAAGTAACAGGTTTTTGGGCAATTTCTTCATTTTTAACATTGAAGTGGGCATTTTCTTTTCAATAGAACTATAATTTGTTATAAAAGTAAGTGTAAATTTGTAACTAACTGTTTACGATTTAGAGGTGAACACAAAAATGCTACATCCAAAACCTGTTGATAAGAAATTGATGTACTCGTACATGTATACTAGAAATCAAGTCCCTGTAAGAATCTATAGATATTTAAGTGTCCTGAGTTTTGCAATTTGCACATCTAAATGTGCCCCTCAAAAATTTGATTTTAGGCAAATCAAACATAGGTTTTTGGTACAGAAACAGGCTGTACGATGTAGTTTGAATTTTGTTATATGAATTGTAAGAATAGAATAGTTATATCATCACAAATACTGTGGTGAATTGTTGTGGTGCTGTCGTTGAAATTAACTGATGATTGTCTTTGTCAATTAAAAAAAATCTGTCAATACTTCAGATTATTTTTATACCAATAAACTCTAAAATTGACAAAAGTATGCATTATTATTATTATTTGCTTTGATAATTTTAGAATTGACTCTGTAATTTGTAATGGTTGGTTTGAATGTCACATTATTGTTTAATGCTGTTACATTCATTCTAATAAGTGAATTTGGGACTAATAACATTTTTCCCTCTGAAGAAATAATTGTTTTGGCTTTTATATTTTTGTTTTTATTTAGCTATTTTTGGTTTTTTTTGTTTTATTTTAAATGTGGGGTGTTTTTTTTTGGGGGGGGGGTAATTGAAGATATGTTAATAAAATGTTGGTCTCAAATTGGTAGTAGATACATATATTAAGTTGTTTTTAGCAATAGTATAGCTGTGACATTTGTACATTAATCATGTGCTATGGCCTGTACATTCTGTTCATTGACTCGAATTAAGCTGCCAAGCACAAACTCAGTAAATCTGCTTTAATAGTACATGTATATTGTGGCTGAGAATTCACGCCATCAAAGGGATTGCTTTCTGCTTGTTTGTTAGTCAGGTGGCTTAGACCCAATATTTGTCAAGATCATGACCGACTGGTTCAAAGCACCAAACTTGGCAGGTATATTCATATAGCCCTAGAGTCCTGGTTATTTTTGCCAGTAAGTAACTTTGTGAATTTGCAGCTCATCAATACTCATGTTTGGCGAGACTACTTGAAGATATCTGAGGACAAGTAAAGTGCAAGCAACTTTAGGGTATAATAGTAGCTATTGTGTATCTTTATTATGTCCTCATGATTATTCAGTCACTTAAATAATTTAGAAAATTTTATTTAATTAACGATACGGAAGTAGAACCGTCAACAAAGACTTTTTAAAAAATAAACACATACCCAAATATGGGAATAAATATATTACATGGCAGGTGTTAACGATTTATGCAAATTAGGCACCCTTCCAAAAAGAATTCCAGGTGTCACCCCCTTCTAAATATCTTCTTTAGGGCTATAGGAATCTATCTGCCAAGGTTGGTGCTGTGGACCAGTCGGTCACCATTCCGGTCATATGCCACCTGACTATGGATAGTTCTGGATGGGCTTAGTCAACATTTGTGGAGCTGACAATCAGAACCTATTGCTTATGAACTTTGAATGCTTGGCAACACGTTAATAGTAGCCTGTCACATGCAAAAGGCCTTATACGACACGGACTTGAAGAGCTATATAAATCTGTTGCCAGCGTGTTCCCACATGGTTGTGAATGTCGAAAACCAAGACAATGGCTCTTGACAAGTGATTCGGACATGGCTTTATAGCCATTTCACTTTGGTCACTCGGCAATTTCTTTTCACTGTTAAACAAACCTATTAATGGCTGGGCAGAAATGCTTTGCATGTAAACATTCAAAAAGATTGGAATGCACAAAATCTGGTAACAGTGTTGTACGTTCCTTTAGTTTGCGTACAGAGATGTCAAACTCCAGAAGTACAACGAAGCTAAGTTTTCTGTTAACAGCATAATCTGAACTTAATTCTAAGTGGGAAAAAAAGTATGTCAATACATAATAATAGACATATTTTGAACTTGTATCATAGCTTAATACGTTGTGGTGAATATTATTGGAATGTAATGCTGTATAATAAGCTATTAAATCGTGAATGTCTGTGTTTTGTCATTTGTGATCTCCTGAATATGTACAATGTATATGTAATATCAGACTAAAATAATGATGACTGTTGTAGTGACCCAAATAACATGAGTATGTGCAAAATGATATCGTTTTGTTTGTGTCAATACTCATTTAATGAGTTATGTTCTCAGCGTTAGGAAATATGCAAAAGAGTTCCCCCCCCCCACCCCCTAAAAAAAGTTGCACCAGAATTGTCATCTTAATTCTTATTTCCTTTTACCTGACAATGAACGTCTTATGCACATATCATTTTTTTTTTACAGAAAGACTTCCATTTATTAAGACCAATTACAGTGAACTGAACAAGTGTCACTGTCATTGCATCCTTTTGGTACGATTATGAACGATGCATTCCACATGAATATATCACAGCCATTATTTACACAGCCCGCCAGTCCCATTCATTTTTTAAAATGTGTTTCATCATCACCTTAGACAAGACGCCCCTCATCACTTTCATTTTGCATTCAAGTCCACTTTGACGTGCCCCAGGAAGTCCCTGATCACGGCCGCATAGTTCCTCGGCCATCCCTTCCAGGATCCCTCCTCCATCTCCTCTAGACATTCCTTCAAATTCCCGCCGTCCGTCTCGGAATAATACTCCATCAGCGCCCGGACCACCTTGGTGCTGGAAGCGCACACCACCACCAAGGCATAGCAAGACCACCGCGTTAGGGCGGGGTCGGCGTGTGAAGTGACCAACTCCGCCAGTACGGGCAGCAGGACAAGCCCCTCGCATACCTGGCTGCAATTATCCTTGTGCGCCCGGCATATTTCACTCAGCGCCTTGACAACTTCGGTCTTAAGGGCCGTCGAGGATGAAGTGGTAGTTTCGCCTTTGAGTATCTCGGCAATGATCGGGAGGTAGGTGGCTGCGCATTTTGCTGCTTCAGCGCCTCCTGTGAATAGAAATGTTGATGCCCGATTTTAACAACACGAGGCAAAGCTAATTCCAGAGCACACAAATGTCCATTAAAATGGATTCAGAATGGCTACAATGGGCCCATTACGGGCTATGAAAATATTGAAAACTAGGGAAAAGGAATATTGCTTGAGCTGAGGTTGCAGAAATCATTTTGGAGTTATTTTTTTCTGGGTGGAGGTGCGTTATACCCGAAACCCACGACTGACCACCTTGCCTCAGCGCCGTTATGATGGCAGTTAAGTTTGGGTGACCGCGTCAAGCCCAAAACTCAGTGCTGGCTCCAGTAACCCTAGTGGCGCACCCAAGGGGGGGGGGGGGCCTTGAGCCCCACCCAAAGAGGTTGTATAATAGGGGTGTACGTGGCGCAACCAACGTCAGAATAGTCCACCCCCGAAAAATAAAAACATTTCTTTCTGCGGCCAAAAAGTTTGGGCAAAAGTTTTTGAAAAAATGTTAACTTCTAAAAAATTATAAAAAAAATTAAAAATGTGAGCCCCCCAAAGCTAAATCCTAGATGCGCCACTGGTTAACCCCCACCCCTAGGCTACGCTGCTGCTGTTAGCATTGCTGTAGGCCTAAGTCGGAATAAGTCGGAACTGTACTAACGATGATGTATTTTTTGTAGGCTCAAATATCAACGACGGGTAGGCCTAATATTTAAAAAAAACCAAACATATTTTGAAGTCATCCTATTCTATATACCTGTGTAGGCCAAATGACCAATCTTCCTCACAGCTTCCGTTCTGACTTCTACATCGTTGCCATCTCCGAGATGTGAGGCGCAGATCATGATGTCTCTCTTAAACAGGTTGGGCTCGTTGTCCCAGGGATGTTCGCCCGCTTCGCCGTGAGAGGCAAGCGTATGTAGAGTCTTTTCCACACTCTCAAAGACTCGGCGCATCGACTGGAACATAGCTAAACATTGAAACCAATTCTCTCTTTAAGTCGAAAAAAAAATACAACTCCTTTTTCACGGTTTCTTGTTCGTAAAATAAAATGAGCTGATTGTGTTTGATTATTTATCTTCAAGCAAACCTCATGCAGCTAGCATGCACCGTCCATATCGCATTGCACTCTGCGTATTGCACTATTCTAAGATGCGCGCGTCGTTCCTGCTGCACGTCATGCACGTGCTATTATGCGCCCCACGCGGGTACAAACGGCATTTCCCAAATAATATGGGCGGCCAAAAGGGCCAAAATTATAAGATGTAAAACAGACGCATTCAGAAGCCAAGACAAACACAAGAATCAAAGAACTAACTTATGAAGACAAAGTCGGAAACTAAACAAGGGACAATACAACAATTTACAAACAAGTCAAAAGAAAGACAAACTCACTCAAAAAATGAAGGACACAATTTTAAATCAAAGAACACATTTACGAAAAGAACAACATATACCAAAACAAAGGACAGAAGATGATCAATGAACAGATTTAACAAAGAAGAGACAAACTCATCATGGTTTAACACACACAAAATGACATTGTATAATAACTGAACTGGTCGCCATTGCACCAATGGGCATGCTACATAATTGGTTTTGTACCATATTGACTCCTGGTAGAAGTTTGGAGAGATCACCGAATTTCATACCGATCAGCCGAAGCATTCATGAGTAATTGTAATAAGTATCATTTTGGGGGGTTGTAGCCCCGCCCCCTGATATAGGGTTTACGTTAACATGAGTAACTGCGTCAAAAAGATATTAAGCTACTCATTATGAAAGGCTATCATATATTTTTTTTCACTTATAGTGATGATACAAAGAAAGTAACAACATTAACGTTTTATGACCTCGGGTGGTTCCAACATCTGGTCTGGCCCATGGACTAAAAGGACGAAATACAGCGCAGTTAAACAACAAAAGGACTAAGACCTATAAAATAATAGTAAAATCTTCTTCTTTTGTACATCAACTCACTTGATACAATCCGACAAAAGACTCATTGTCAAAATTACCCAAAAAGGGGAGATTTAGGAAAATGTGACAATTGGCGTGGAATAACACTTTTATCAACTCCCAGCAAAGTGATTTGCATAATCTTAATGTTTCGAATTGACACTGCAATAGATGGTAAACTTCGACCTGAACAAGGCAGGTTTCAGAAGAGGAAAGTGATGCATTGATCAAATTTTCGCACTTTACAACATTATAGAACAATGTCTTGAATGGAATGCTCCACTTTATGTGAATTTCATTGACCTCAAGAAAGCTTGTGATAGCGTTCACCGTGACAGTCTATGGACGATCATCAGATCATATGGTCTCATCCTTCGTTACTTGATACTTGATACTGTAATCCTCATATAGCTCATCTTGAGCTAAACTAGGATGTTGGTTTGTGCAGAAATGGCGTCTCCAGCCGCGCGGTGCAAGTAAAAAGAAAAAGCAGTCACAGCAGATGAAGACTAGCAACAGTCAAACAAAGAAATGAAAAGTATCTCTTTAACAATATAACTACATGTATATACAGGAACTGGTACGTGGATTACAGGAGGTTGCTGCCAGGTGGAGGAAGCATCTCCCTGATGGAATGAAGAGCAGCTTCCTTGAAGGCTGGTACAGTTGGTATGGTGACAGCAGACGGCGGCAGATTATTCCAGATGCGTATGGATCATGTAGTCATGTTGATTCACATTGGAGAGTGGTTGACCAATATTGGCTGGGTTTCCTTAATACGAGTAATCGATAGGACTGCATATTTCTGGATGTTAAATTCCATCAGCCACTCGGTAGCCCACTCTGCTAGAACCTGAAGGTCTTGTTGGAGTATTTGATGGTCTTGATGATCCTTAATTTCTCTGTAGACAATGCTGTCATCAGCAAATAGCCTTTTTGGGGAATGGATGTTGTCCTGAATTTCATTGATGTACAGAAGAAATAAGGCTGGTCCTAGACCGAGCCCTGGGGTTCTCCAGATGTTACTTTTCCCTATGTCGGGTGCCTGCCATTTACGGACACTGCTTGCTGACGACCGTGAGATATAATTTGATCCAACGCAGAGTTGACCCTCTAATCCCATAGAAATCAAGTTTGACGTAAAGGTGACGGTGCGCGCCCTTATCGAAGGTCTTACTGAAGTCCAAGAGAATGACATCAGTCTGGCCTCGATGCTCCAAAGTAGTTGCCCAGTCGTGTACAGATGTCACAAGTTGTGTGACTGTAGATAACCGCTCTCTAAACCCATGTTGGCTGAGGTGTTTTACCATGCGACTCAAAACAATGTGTTCTAACAGCAGGTCATGGATATTGGCCTATATAGTTTGAAGGATCTCATTTTGCGCCCTTTTTTAGCGGTCACTATGGCTTGTCTCCACTGCACTGGTACTTCGCCTGTGTCAGTTCCACGGCAACAGATTTTTAGTTGTCTCGGCGGAGCTTCGTCAGGGCAGGTGCTTTTGTTGGATTTAGATTCTGCAATTGCTTGGCTACATCTTCTTCATGAATTACGAGATGAGAAATGCTGGGATGATGTACCTCCTTTATCCAGGATATTATAAGATGAACTTGAGGAGAAAACAGATTTAAAATGTTCATTCAAGCCTGGGCTTTGTCCTCATCGGTGGTGCATAATTTGGTCTGAGTACGTAGAGCTGGGATACCAAAGTTCTCAGTCCTCATCAACTTGACGTATGACCAGAATGTTTTTGGTCTGTCTGTCAAGCTTTAGTTCCACCGACAACTTCATCGATGCAGTTTGAATGAGCTTGCTTGATGTGCTTTGCTAAGCTGTTTCTGATTTTTCTAAAACACTCCCTTTTGGCTGATGAATAATTGGTCTTTTCTAGCCAGACTATACTTTCTGTCATGTTTACTCATTTTCCTCTTGATGGCTGGTGTTATCCATCGCAGGTGTCTTTTGCCACTTTTCATCCTTGACTGAACATGTGTGTTCAACAAGCTTTGCAACTTTTCTCCGATAATTTGCCAGTTCGTGTCCACATAATTTTGCCAAGGATTACTCGCAACAAACTGGTCACTAAATTGCTGAGTGTCAAATTTCAGCTGATCCATGTTGCCCTTTTTGTAGTTGTAAATCTTATGAGGCAATTTAGCTTGATGTTTGGGTTTCATGTTGACATCAAATAGCACTACATGTATAAACATTGTGGTCTGAAATGCCAGGCATTATTCTGACATTCTGATGAGGTGATGTGGGCATGTTGGCATCACGAGGTCCAAGATACTGTTTGAAACCGGGCGTGTTATTTCCTTTACCAACTGAGCAAATGAGTTTTCAAAGCCAAGGAATGTTGTATGCTCAGATCAGCTGTCTTGGAGTTTGTGGTAGACCAGGAGGACCAATCGACATCAGGCATAATTGATGTCACCTCCTATGACTATGTTTGGACAATGACGGTTGTGCTTGTTTAAAAGCTTGGTGACAGCTCGTCAACAGCCTTGCTCTTATTTGACCATATATAGCTGGCAACGTAGGGTGGTTTAAGCCAGGGTTTTCAGGCCAGAAGCACGATTTTGGGGTGGTTTAATATGTGGACCTGTTTGACTGGTGAGTTGGGGTAGACGTTTGAGGTTCGGAGTGGACAAATGCAGATCATGACTTTCCGAGGGATTCGAGGAGAGAAAGGGTTAATAATTCGATGGAGTTGCAAACCAGGAACTGTTAAAATTTGGACAGCCACACTGTTAACAGATCCAAGAGAAAGAGTTTGAGTTGTTACATAAGTTTTGGTAATTTTCAGATGACATTCCACAGCAATCTATGTGGCACCATGAATCACACATGGCATGGCACAACAAATGCCATTTGTGTTATCGACAACTTCAAATTCTTGCAAATTCCACGAGGGAACTGGATTGGTTTCTATTTGACCACTCAGTAATATCATGAGGAGAAGGTGATGCGTGTGGGGCAAAATTCCACACACCAGTGCGCCAAGACAATTTTTGAGTTGACATGATGTTCGTTATCTTCTAAAAATACAGCCCTGTTTGGATTGACTCTCAAGCGAGAAAAAAAGGGAATGTACATCATTGGCTTTTGCTGTATGATTTTCAGAAATGAACTATTTGAGAGGTTAGTATAATAGATCAAATATTGTTACACTGACATTTTTAAGTTTTGTGTTCGAAAAGGTTGGAAAAACCAAGAAAAACAAAAAAATTCAAGTAGTCTGGTTCCCTGACTCCACAAAAGATAAAATGGATCAATTTATAGATGATGGACAATTGTAAGGCAAGGGAACCAGTCTAGCTAGCCTGCACCCGTTCACTGAACATGTAACCAATAGCAAACAAAATTGGACTGAAAAATGGTAAATTTGGAGCAGTAGTTGAAAAAATAGTTAGGTTTTTCCAACGCTGGTCGGCCGACCACCGTTGGAAATGTTTACAAAAATACCATTTTCTTGAAAATGACTTCACACCAGGTGCCATAATTTTACAAGATGCTTGAGACTGTCATTTACCAACATCCTAGTAAGGTATTTCGTAAAAACTTGGTAGTTCGATGTTTGCAAATGTTGTATATTCCCTTTAAGGCATCTTTTCTAATCGCTCATCCCACCACTCCACAATATTCCCTTGACCTAGCCAAGCAAGCGTTAGTATTCCTTGGTTTATACTTTCCTTGTTATGCTTAATTGTTAATTAATTTGTCTACATGTATGACTCTTGCTAACCCGCGCGCGGGTCGTACTCCTGCCGTTCGTGCGCTCAGGAGTATACTCGCGTAACACGAGTAGCACGCTCGAACGCACCCCAAATGAACGATCTCTAAACGCCCTCATTAGGCAGGTGCATCGTTATAGTTAATCCAACGTGTTTATGTCACGGACTCGGCGAGTAGCAAGCGGTACTACTGTTGCTGAGCTGAGTCGTATTTCACTACCTAGCTCTAAATTTGGTCAGTAAAGTGCCAAACAATCTTTGGTCTGTGCAGTGTCAGTCTAAGTCTTTGGTCAGTTACGTCAGAAATATCGGTAAGTAAATGTAACTCTTTTTATAATATCAGATAAGGTTTAAGGCTTTGCTAGTTCTAGCATTATTTCTCCAGTGTAGTACAGTCGTTTGACCGGTTCCGCAATCGCAAATCGTCTGAAGCGTCTTGTGGCGAAAAAACGCGCTTTCATAGGAAGCTACCTATCTATAAATATGCGCAAATTACATTTTTAATTCTTATGACACTTAAGGAAGTGACTGCATGGCTGGATGAATTGGAACTGAATCATTGTCTGCAGGGGAGCACTGTGTTTATTAATATTATTTGTTTATTTAACTATTATTATTTATTTACTTTAGTTTTATTCCCTCCCCCTTTTTTTCATTTTACTTTTTTTAGTGGGGGGGGGGGGGGGGGGGGGAGTGTTTCAATTTGTTCAGGGTAAAAACACAATATGCTTAATTTTGTGTGCACCAACATCCAGTAGGGGGAACCTGGGGGCCGGGAGGGGAGGGGGAACCTGGGGGCCGGGAGGGGAGGGGGAACAGGCCTCAGCAGGCCAGATACATACAGGCCACATACATATTGTTTCACATTCAAATTAAATTTCACAAACAAATTAAATTTCACAAACAAATTAAAACAAATTGTTAAAAATGTCATAAATCCTATGGCTGTTTCATAGCAATGGCAATTTCTAATTATAATTTCGTTGGAAGTTAAAGAGATCGAGGGTTCAGTAGTACTCCTCATACGTTGTTGCACATATTAACTCTATACGTGTATCATGCTTGGGCAACTGTATTAGCAAACCTCATCTACCGTTCGGTGATGCTCTTAAAAGAAAATGTCAACACATTAATCACGTACATCCCGATAACCCTTTCAATATATTGACATGTGATACCTGCATGTGTAAAAAGTAAATGTAATACAAAACTAAAGCACTCAAGAAGCTACCCCTTTTAAATCCAAAAATATACCTGTCATGTAAGTACCGTAAATGGGGATGAATCGCAGAAATAGACATGTTCTGTGGGTTTTTCATGCAAAGTAGCATAGTTTTCAAACACCTCACTTCTCTTTCACATGTACTGGTTAATAAAAATGTATGTAACGCCTTTAAATTTATTGCCTTTATGACACCTGCATGTCTGTTTAATTGTTATACACAAATAATTTAAGCACTCCAGAAGCTAGCACTATACAAAAAAGAACTTGTCACATAAATAAATTAATTCAAAGGAATGGTGATGAAGACACACAGCTACATGTACTTTCACTATAATATTCAACTTCTTCTTGACCTTCACAGGTAAAACTGAAAAAGATGTGCTGATGGCCTCTTATGGCCTATCAGGAGGCTGGCGTAATCTTCTTCTTTGTCTTTGGCATTGTCTGGATGAAACAGACATTTTATATAAATCATTTAGTTTTTGACCAAGTTGAGACAAAAATGAAAAATGGTTTATAGTATTTGACAAATTTTGTGCTCCAAGAAAACAATCAAAATTTGTGTCTCTGTACTGACGAGAGACTGGTCTTCATTATGAAATATTAGTGGACCTATTTTTCTTTTTGTTTACAAGGGTGAAGAGTAAGGTTAGAACCCACCGAAAAAGGATAATTTTAGATTTACTAAATTACTGGAAATGTCCTTTGGGTTAGAAACACACATGCGTTTTATTTTCCATATTATTATGCACTATTTTTAATTGTTCCCCACAAACCTAGCCTGGGCTGACTCATGCACCCTTGATGTGGAGAACTTTGTAACTCTAAAATGAATCCAAACCCCTGAGGCACAACCGCTTCAACATCAAGTATGGGGTGAATTTTTTTTCGAGCAAAGGAAAAACGTTTAGTGGGAATTTTGCTCACTAAGAAAGATGTTTGTATTTTAAATTTTGAAGTCCAAATTGTTTTTATCCAAAACCTACAGTGCTGTCCGGAAGCAGGACAGAAACAAAATCATTTTGTTTCAATTTTGTTTTCAATTTTGCACTGAACACCCAGAAATGATCATCAAATTCGACATTTTTAAACAAGGATTAATAGAAATTCTCAATTTCTTTGTAAGTTGTAAAAAAAAAAAAAGATTCATGCCAAAATGAATAAAGTACGCCGCGCTAGGGGGCCGTCATCAACAACACTTGTCAATAGCAGCACCGCTTATTACAGTGCACACCATGGCCAGTGTATTGTATAGGCAGTATGAATGCGTTTGCGGAACCGGCCAAACGACCAGCAGTTACTCTGGTGGGTGTAGAAAAAAAAATTCAAAGACTTCAAGTCTTATATTTGTATGGTGGAATAATGAATAATTTCCAAACAAGTTGCATCCATTGCCAAGATTTAATTCCCCTGAACAATCGTGTAGCAGGCCGACAAACATGAAATCACGCTTCCGTGCGCGTTCCATTTCGGCAGTTCGTTAACGGCAAGTGACGGTCGTAGGGGATTTATTTTTAAATGTAAGTGAGTATCCTAAAACTAAAACCATTTTTGAAAAGTAGATTGAATAACCTTTCCATCGGTACCAAAGTTTAAGTCCTTGGCGTTTTCGTCTTCCTGAAAACGAGAGCTAGTTTTCCGAAATTGCGGAACCGGTCAAATTGCGGAACCGGTCAATTGACTGTAGTATTAATGACTAATGTTCTCTGCCTTCATTTTCAGCAAAATAGCTGTAATTTGATTCAGGGATACATGTTCAGTGTATAGGGATCTCGAATGTGATTGTCATATTGAGTTCTTTTTTCCCTTAAATTTAATGGTGGGCTCAACCACTATAGCACAGACATCCTACAGCGATCATTCAATAATGTTAGGCCAAAAAAAATAATAAGTCGGTCTCTGGTCAGCGCGCGCGTCGATTTTAATCATGCGCGTCAATCTTTTTTTTTTCCCAAAATGTTCCGCGGTAGCTCCAACAGCGCCCTCTATTGCCGCACCTCCTCAATTTTTTTTTACCAAAGAGCACCAAGGAATGGGAAATTGCACCAAGGCAAATGATCGAGAGCACCAAGGCAAATTATGGAGGACACCAATGTACATGAGGACACCAAAAAAGCAAAAAAGTACCCCACCTTTTCTGTACAATCCAAGCTTGAAGAAAAAAGAAAAAGGCAAAAAAAAAAAAAAAAAGCCGCATCGCCGCGTCAATTCCGGAACTTTGGTCTGACCAGAGACCGAATATTTTTTTTTTGGCCTTAGTGGAGCGATCTACCAACGAATTGTCTATGGACGTACATATACAAACATGTACGCGAAGCCGTGACCTGCTGTCGAGGAATGGTTTCCGCTCTTAAAAGCTGCCCTCGGGTAGTTCCCGACTCCCTATCATCGTTTGAAATGCACATGTTTTTACAAACGAGATCCAGTCTACTCATTATCATAATCGATGCATCGCGCTCTGTAACAGAATCGCAGAGCAACATTTTTTTTTACATTACAGAGATGTCTGACAAAGATTCCTCAGGTGTAGGCTCGCCTATCCAGCTTGTCACTGTGGACACCAACTACAGTGCAGATTCTGTTGAGTTCTGTCCCCTATCAGGCTTTGAATGCCTCCTTGCTTGCGGCACATACCAGCTAGCAGAAGAGACGTTGACCCTTGAGCAGGAACATGGAAACCATCAGGTATAAGACTGCTCCACCCTGTCATCTTGATAAATCTATGTCAGATCATTATTTTTTTTACAGAAAACTTCACTACTCATGCACACAGCTAAAATTAACTAGCAAATAATGAAAACGGAAATTTTATAAAATGAACAGTAACAAAGATTTTATAATTTTATGTGAACATAATCAATAACCATTAAGGCTTAGTGGTCAGATATTGAAGTGATTTCTGAAATAATGTTTTGATGCCATCCTTATGAAGCTGTCCCACGATCTCAGTTTCCAAACAGAGAAAATGGCCGAATGGTAAGATCTGTCATGCATATTGATGGAGTGACCAATGACCAGACCCTGTTCTTCCTGGTGATGCCCTGTGAGGCATTGAGTGCACATATCCTGGCTTCTCCTAGTTGCCTCAGTTCTTTCTTCTGTCTTCTCCTGACTTTCATTACATGAAATTAAAATGAATTCAAAAATCCAAGACAACGCTCAAATCTGAGTACATGTATTTGGATTTGATTTGATCTTTCCCTTTGCTCTCTTCAAAGGATGACAGACCAAGACAAAGGCTAGGCCAGATACGATTGTACTGTCTGGATCAGCGTGCAGCAGAAACTGGTTTGACAGAATTGCAAAAGATTGAAACAGCAGCAATATTGGATATGAAGTGGTACAGTAAATCCCTTCTTTTTGAACAATTTTGATGCAAATGTGTATCTCATGAATATGTTTCTATACTGCAATTAAAACATTGAAGCATATTGAAGCATATTAAAATACATGAATATAATTCCCTAAACAAAGGAGACTGGCAAAATGTGCAAATGCGAATGTGCACTCTAACGTTTGACATTTACTGTGATTAACATTACGATTGCAAAAATAATGCACACAAGTCTTTAGGAGACATGGTTATTACATAACTGCATTTCGCAGTTTTACATGCAATCAAAAAGGACAACTTTTGTTTGCACAAAATTTGAATTGTACAAAACATCTTCAAACAAGTTTTCTTTGATTCATTGGTTCCTGGTATGGTTTTGCATTCATTGTTTATCCGGCTGGGTAAAATCTGCACACAAGTGTCATTTTTGCAAAGAAAATCAGCTAATATCTAAAAAATATTGTCATCTTTTGTTTGTAAATCTCTTGTCAAATCGTGGCGACAATATTGCCTAATAAACTGTTTAAATGTCTATTAAACTAATTTTGCTCAGGTGCCATTATTCAGTTGCAGAGCAGCCACTTCTGGGCATTGTTAATGCCAGTGGGGAACTCCAACTGCTTGCTGTTTGTTCAAAGGTGACCAGTTAAATTTGTTCCTACATGTAGCGTTTGGGATGGGGTAAAAAAAGGCTTGGGGAATTCAGCACGATTGGAGACAAAAGAGGAAGGGAGGGATACAGGTCTTTGCAAGAACTTCAGTTTTGTACAGTGGAGCTGGCTTTCATTCATTGTTACAAGCTACTCTGCAAAGCCACCCCCAATTGGCACAATCTGATGAAAATGCAGTCTAGAAAGTATAAAAACTGACACACATGTAACCGCTATACTACAATGTGTAAAAAAAAAACCATGTCCTACTTCTGATCCTAAATGACTCTGTTGTTATTATGTCCTATTCTATGGCCATCTTGGCAGCCATATAGGAAGCCATATTGTATTGCAAAAAAGAAGAGTGAAAATGGGAGGGGAATGGTAAAAATGGATTCACTGACTTCTTAAATCCATATTTGTGCACTATAACACTTATCAAAAATGTTGCAGGGTGTCTAAATGGGCATACATGTACGTACATGTATATAGTATATGCTGAAAGCCATATTGGCGGCCATCTTAGATATCTCAATTTCTTCAAGGATGCCCCAAGGTGGCATCATCCAGATTTGGAATCAGCAGGCCTCAAAGGCCTAGAAACCATCAAGAAACCTTGTGTGAATGGTAAAACCGGGTTATCGGGTTTCGCCCCTGGGCTATTTGAGCCATTTACTCCTAGTTAAACCGCCCCAAACCGCCCATGGTTTTATTGATTTACAGAGGAGAAAATACAATGTAATACATTTTAATATAAGTGCTAAAGGGTTAAATTCCCACTTGGCTATACTGTTTTTTTTAGCAAGATTGTTACTCAAACCATGGAGGAAGCATGCTCAAACTAGCAGCAGAATTAGTAAGCCCAAATCGCCGTAGTCCTTAAACAGAATCATGTTCAGCAGAAGCTTTATGTATGCAACGTTTGAGTGCGGAAAGCAACATTTATACAACATGTTTGGGTGAAGGGGCTCAACCTCCATCACCCCTTTCTCTGGACAATAATTTTCCATGGCTTTTCTTTCAAACGGATCAATGCATGAACTTCAAAATTGGTATGAACATCAACCCTGTGTACATGAAGGGGGGATTAAGTGGGAGCATTAAACACCCCTCCCCCCTCCAATTTTTGCACGAGTACCCTTTTTGCACGAGTGCCCTTTTTTTCATGAGTGCCCTTTTAACACAAGTGTCCTTTCTGTTTTAAAATCCTTCAAACGTCGGCAATTGTGCCCTCATTGAAGAGTACCACCTATATAAAGCCCGTGATCACTTTGAACAGCGCCCCCATGGGAAGACGGTGTCTCGCCCGCCCCCCCCCCCCTTGATTTTACGGAGGCTGGTTGGCCAGTGAAAAAACACTACACCTTTCAGCAAGGGTGATTGATGTGCCCTTTTTTACATCTAAAAGCACCTCCCCCCACCCCCCCCCCCAAACTTTGTACCATGCCTGTTTTCACTTGATCTTGCAAACTGAACCTGTGCAAACTGTGCAAATTCTAACATTTCCCTATTTTGCTTGTGTGAATTTTTGAAGGGAGCACAGTTTGGAATAAAACACAAGAGTATTTCTGATTACATTGTATTATTTGTTGACATGTTTGTGTTGTGTTCCCATGCAGGCTGATGGGGGTGCTGATAGCTTTGTGTTACAGTCAACTGCCTGCCATAGAGTTAGCGAGGAGAATGATTGCTTAACCTTGTCTCTAGACTGGAACACGGGAAAATATCACAGGCAAGTATTGATATGAATTCAACAATCAACAAAATTTATTTTTTGTCTATATATTTATTTTTTTGTCTATATATCAAGGCTCTGGATTTAATCACATTGGATGGGGGTTATTTTTAAGCTGTTGACTTCCGAGTTAAAGGTACATGTAGCAGACAATATAGGGGGATTTCCATGCTAAAGTGGACACGGCTGAAAACTGGAAAATTATGAAATCTTCAGAACTAAAACTAAAAGCACACAACCTCAAATGTGGTATCCAGTGACAGGGGACAAGACCTTTCATTTGAGAGGTGTGCCCGTGAAATGGAATATGGTCAAAATTTATTTTTTGCTAAATTATGTATTTTAGGTAGCAATTTTGGCACGTTTTCACATTCAAAATGCATTTGTTATGAATATAAGGCAGAGAGGGTTCTTATTCTATGGCAAAAGAGTCTTTTGTCTATTAGGCCCCTCCCCCCAAAAAAGTCTCTGGTTTCTGGTCTGCATGCGCATCCACATAGCCATGCGCATCGGCAAAAATTTTGTTTTCAATGTTATATGATGTCTCAAAACCGCCAAGCTCACTAGTTTGACTGGAATCCTGCTGCTGCACAATTTTAATGTGTTTTTAGATGGGGTTACGATCGAGTATAAGCTTTATGGGCTCCCATATAATTTGCACTAAATATAGTCAAACACCATTTGCAGACGGTGTTGTAGTTTTGTAATTGTGCGTCTGGAAGACGGACTGAAGGAGCGATGGTTGTGTATCTGGAACCTGCACGGGCGGATCGGGGGGGGGGGGGGGCAATGGGGGCCATGGCCCCAAAAAACGAACCCATTTTTTTTTTTAAGTGACGTCGCAATAAAGGCAGGCACTGCGTACAGTCCCGTACACCACCATCTTTTCCTCAAAACAAATTGGTCAAAGTGGTCATTAATTGCCTCAGATCGCACCACAGAGCATCTAGAATCAAAAAAAAATTCACGGCCCTTAAGTGAGCCCCCGAACCCCACGCCATAATTTTTTGCACCCACTTTTTGGTAGACCACAATTTTGTTTGGCCCCCCCCCCCAAACATATTTTAATTAGCACAATATGTAAAGGACCAGCCTGGCAGCACATGCACGATGTTGCCAGGCATGCATCTTTTCCTCGGATCAGCTGATTTCCTCTTTTTGTACTTCCCATGTGTGCCATTGAAAATAGAAAAACACTGTACAAAGTTTGGGAAAAATTTGAATTTCCCCTTTGCTTGTGATTTCCCAGTTGCATGCCTGTTTGCTGTGAACGGTCTGACGTTAACGTTTCCTCTGATTTTTCTCTTGACTATCCAAATTTCAAGAAGAATGTTCGTGTTGGTCGAGATTTTTAGTGGGTGCAGAATTCTCAAGCCTTATGGCCTTACTGAGGTCACCTCAAGCTCCACTCTGAAGGATATTTTTGAGTGTTTTAAGGGGATCAAAGCATCGTCTGCAATATCAGCCGACATATGAAGAAGAAAAAAGTAGAGGAAAAAAAAAAATGCGTCCCCGCACCACTTTGGGGGCCAGCTCCATACCAGAAACTGGAAGCTTGGTTTTTTTTGCCTCACCAGGGTTACTGAAATAGTACCAGTATCCCTCGAGATTTTATGATTGATTATTGTTTAAAAATTAATATTTAGGCCTGGGTGACTAGTGAATTTCAGTAGTCATGACTAGTTGCGATAAAAAGTCGCGACTAGTCAAAAAGATGGTATAAACTCAAATTTTTGAACGATTGTGCTTAAATGGGCCTTGTGGCAAGAAGTGAAAATGGCACATTGAAAATGTAAGGGGGTACAAATACTCTAGTTATTTTCTCTCAATTCCTCTTTTTTTTTTAGAAATTCGCAGTCTGTTTTTGTACTGGAAGGACTACATGTACATCTTATAGTGTGTAACCACATCGCTGGCTACATGTGCACCATTATTACATGTACAATGGCGCATACAGTGTGTTGGTGCAGTCACACTGTGTGACTCTAGTGCGTTTGTTGCATTACACAAGCACTATTTACAGACTGTTTAGTCGCTTCGGACTTACAACTGCTAAGGAACAGTGGTGATCAATCACCAACTGTGCACAAAATGTGATTTCTTACACGTCCGCAAAAGGTGAACCCTTACGACGGGAATCACAACTAGCATGAACAGCCCGACTTTTTGGGGTCGCAAAAGTGGACCCCAAAAGTCATTCTCGCACTAATAACACAGGAATACTACAAAAGCGCACAGTTTTTAAAGGATAGTTGTGTGGATGTTTATATCCTACTTTTAAATGTTCTTTCTGACTAACATCATTTCGTTAAAAATGCGTCTTGTAGCCCAATTGGGCATATTCCAGGATGCAGTGTCCCTTTAACGTATTCACAAGATACCATATGTACTGTTTTCCCTACATCATGATCTAGGACTTCCTTTAGAACCTGGCCAAGTGACTCCATTGATTGCTGCACTTATGGGTTGAATGTCCCACTGTTCAAAATGAAAGGCACAGCTCGGATGATGCACTCTTCATACTGTTCTAAATAAACATGTATTTAGAAAATATACTTGATTACACTATTCACACAAATTTTAAAAAAATCATATTCAGGGTTCCGGAAGTGTGTAGGATTACAAGAGGAATAAAACTGAGCCCCCTTCCTTTAATAACAAGAAAGTATTCAAATGCGACAAATTCTTTGAATTTTTTATTTGTCCTTGTAGTCAGAATCCCTGTGTCATTGTCAGTGATTCCAAGGGCAGTCTTACACTGTGTCGGCTCTGTGACGGTGCATCAAGTGTTGAGAGTGTGCTTCACTGGCCAGCTCATGGGTTTGAGGCTTGGATAGCAGCCTTTGATTACTGGCAACCCACCGTGGTGTACTCTGGTAAATTAATGTGCTGAACCTAACTCAGTTTTGTTTGGAAGGTTCTTGATTTTAATAGCAAAAGTCCAACAATGTGCAGTAAACCGATGTTGTATTCTTGCTACTAGAAATGAACCTTAAAGTAATATAATGCATTAACTTAAGATTCCTGGATTTTGGAGGGTTTTGGAAGATTTAGGAAGCTTAGGGCCTATTTGAGTTTCAAATGACAAGCATTATTGTGTTTAATTTCTCTAATTGTCTGAATGGATAGTCTTTTTCATGATTACATCTTGTTAATTGATTCAGGTGGTGATGACTGCAGGTTCAAAGGATGGGATACAAGAACACCTTGCAGTAAACCACTGTTTATAAGCAAAAGGTACAAAGTCATCCATTTTCTCTAGTCTGATTTGGACTGGACCCTGTTCATGGAAAGTATAAGGTGCTGAGTGAATGCACACAACTAGTGTGCGAAGGACACTGTGTAAAGTGGAAGTGCATGCAGGAATGTACATCCTCCTGAAGGCCGGATCCAGAACACAATTTTTTGGTGGAACCAAATCCCCCCCCCCCCCCCGGGAAAAGGGGGGGGGGGGGTGGTGGAACTATGACTCTTTATGGCATTGGTGCATGTTGGTGTACACAGTGGCTGCCTTTTTTGAGATGTTCCCCCCCCCCCCCCGGATCTACCCTTTGTCCTCCTGCACTTGCCTGATTTCATAATTGTAAATTACATATTGGCACCATATATGTGTGTATACTTTCCTTCATACCTCATCTTTCGTTCAAATGACATGCCTGTGGGTGCGCTAGTTTGCCTATGGGCTCTGTGCACAACTACCTCGTCAACAGTAAGCAAGGGTGGCTTACCGGTGGATACCACTTGGAGTGACATTCAAATGCATTGATGACGCCTGATGCTCACACAAAGACGCATTGGCTTTGTGCACATTCAGAATCAAATTAGTCGTGCATAATGTATGCCATATACACGCGCTACCTAGTACATGTAAGCGCACAGAGCCCATAACCATGGACACGTGGTGGCGTCCTCAAGTGTCCTCACCCTATCTCATTTTCACCACTGAGGGGGTAGTTGTTCACAGAGTCCATAATTGTACTATCCTACCTGTCATGTCTTCATGTCCAATATGTATGAATTCCCAAATATAAAGTGTCAGTGTCCGATATTGCAAAATATTGATTTTCTGGGTTTCATCAACTTTATCTTGGTTGTTGTTTTGACAGTCACAGCATGGGTGTATGCAGCTTGCATAGCAATGCACACAGGGAGAATCTACTGGCTTCTGGAAGGTAATCACAAAATAGGCACAACGCTTAGTATGTGGATTTATGATGTATATATATTTTTTTAAAAGGAAAAATAGGCCAAAAATTATTGAATGCTAATGTCCCTGATTGTCAAGCTAATAACTGTTCCATAATATGCAATGTTGTCTCAGTGCTCATTTATTTTGAATGAAGATAGGTAATTGGATATTATTTTCCACCTGCTTAGCTATGATGAGTCAGTGATGCTATGGGATACCAGACATATGCGGCAACCATTGACAGAGACCAGTGTCGGCGGGGGTGTCTGGAGATTAAAATGGCACCCTAGCCATGGCAATCTGCTCCTGGCTGCTTGCATGCATAATGGCTTCCATATAATTGATTGTGCAACTGTCGTTAGTAAGTATGATTTGTCTTTACAGACTTGTGCAACATTTTCTCGTCATTTATGCCACATCCTGCTTTATCAATCCACATGAATCAGGCATGCAACTTTTCCTTGGATCCGCTGATTTCCTCGTTTTTGACTGAATGCCATTACAAATTGAAAAACACTGTACAAAGTCTGGTGTGGTTTGGAATGTCCTCGTTTTTTTTCTAAATTCGCAGTTGCATGCCTGGTGAATACAGTAAGCTTTTATTTCTTAGCCTATTTTTCCGCACACAATTAATAGGACCTGTTTGGTTTGGGTAAATTTTATACCAAATACTTTACTCAAACCAAATGGCGTCCTCCTTCGGGCTCTCTGTACAACTACCCCCTCAACGGTAAGAAAGGGAGAGTTGGGGAGACCACTGAGAGACATTAGAATGTATAGCCAATGATGTCTGGCTCTCATGCAAAGACGCTATGGCTTTGTGCACATTCAGAATAAGTTGTGCTTCGCACTATCAGAGATGCCACTTTTCCACTGAAAGTTGTAAGAAAAGTGTCCTCTCTTGTCCGTGCATGGAGCCCATTGTAGCTGCCATATCTCATAAAGGCTGAGAAGTTGCCTGTGCCCACTGTTCAGCCAATCTTGTGAACTTGAATAAATGAGCATCATTCACTGATGCAAGTGCCAGCTAGTCAACTGCCATAAAGTATCTAATAATGGTGCTAAAATATCACTCGGCCCTAATGCCCACATTTTATTGCCCTGGATAAGAGGGGAAAAAATGTCTTCGTAGTTGATGTTTTTTATCCAGCGAGCCAAGTCCTAAAAACTTAACAAATTTATTTTCAAATCTAAAGCTGATAGAGTGGAATATTTTCTTGTTGTCTGTGGACATGTAAGACAAGTTGAAACTGATTCTACAGACTGTTTTTTTTATTATTTTTTTACTTTTGTTTACTTTTCAAGATGGAAATTGCCAGTCTCTTGTTGCTTCATACATGGAGCACCAATCCCTAGCATATGGAGTGGATTGGTGCCAGCATGCAAACCTGCCATGTGAACAACTAACTGCATCCTCCTTCACTGATGAGGTGGTATCGTCCCAAGAGCAATCCAAACCAATGCATTCCAATGAGGACAGGAATATGCCATCATCACCACACAAGGCAATGACAAATGCCCCAGCTGAAACAGCAAATCAGGACACATGTGAATATGCTACCAGACAACACAAAGGAGACAACTGGCAGACTTCTCAAGCTACTGTACAGAAAACTACAGAGATTTCTGGCAGTGATGTGTCTGATCAACAGAAACACAGTGCAGTTAGTAGACAGACAGACCAGCCATCATCTTGTGATACTATTGCATCATGCTCTTTTTATGATCACAGTCTCCATATGTGGAAAGTTAATTGGACTGTGTGAAGTAAACACAGTGTATCATGAGTTGAGCCATCCCTGCTTCAGACTCTTACCCTGTGGCAATGCTTTGACCCCATGCAAGTAAAGTGTACACAACGCTCCAATTGTTTTGGGACACATTCACATCACCTAGGAGGCACTGCACAAAATCACAATGAGTGCGTTCGATTACTTCCCCCAGCTTACTCGCGCCTGGCTCCTCGCGTGATGACAGACATGCGCAGTGGAGCTAAATAAACGAACGATTTCGGGTAAAGTTTCGTGCAAAAGCTGGAAAGTTTAACTTTGACAAGACACAGGCTGCATCCAAATCAACTGTCTAGAGCTAGGTCTAGGTACACAGCCATTGAAAATACGCGGGGACGCACTGACAATAGTTGAGCCGTAGCTCTGGTAGCCTGTTTCGGAAAAAATGTTGCAACCTGACGCCACTTCAGTGGTTTGTGTACAAGGTCTGATCTGAGGCGCCCGCCGGCAGCCATGTTTATTGCATGGCCTTATGGGATACAGTAAACTCCGGCTAAACCAACATCGTACAACTCGTCAAATCGCCCAAGTTGGCCATCTGACTAAAGTCTCGATTGTCCGTAATGCATTTCGATTAAATTTTTTATTTTTAAGTCGGCTTTTACAAGTCGCCATTTCGCTCAAGTCGTCGTGTTACTCTCGGTCCCCTTTCCATAAAAAGCATTACAAAATCCTTTGTGTAAGTCGGCATTTTTAGAATTCAACAAATCACGCATTGGCATCGACTTCCTGTACTTCGGTTGGCAGTGTCGAGTGAAAAGTGGTTTCGCACGGCTCGTGATTGCTGCATACATCGGTGTTGAAAAAGGATGTCCTACTGCATACCACTACGCGGCGCTATAGGATCTTTGCTGCATATACATCGCATATATGCATCGTGAGCACATCAATACCAGTACCCCCTCTAGGCTGTACGCATGCGCTGTCCATTTTGGGGGTCGTCTTATTGAATGACTACTGCTGCAGTCAATGCGTGCATGGTATATACCGGACCACGCACGCATTTAATTCATTACTGTGTGCACGTACGCATGTATCGTGGTCTGTACTATCAATACCCCAAACGTGATGATACAATTCGAGGGTTAATTTGCTGGATTCAACTTGAGCATTAAGGAGATAATCCAGGGTAAATGGAAGCCAATTAGTGCAATGAATCATGTGTGCAAAAGACCATTCATGTAAGTCTGCAAAATGACGACTTATAGCATATATCAGCATTCGCGTAAGTCGTCACAAATTCTCGGGTCCCGATTTAGCCGGAGTTTACTGTACTTACCCGAGTAACCAGCTCGGTGAGTCAATTACTTGGGCCAGGCTCGAGTAAGTGCGAGAAGTCATGTGAGAGGTAACTCAAACGGTTGCACTTGCACGAGTAAGCGCGGGGGAAGTAATCGAACGCACTCTACACAATATTCAACCCCCCTCCCCACCAAGAGACTGGAAAATGGCGCTGCAAGAGCCTGTACCTCATTCCCTTAGCAGAACACAGTCAGAAATTTCCTACATGTAAGTGCTGACACTTTTATTTTATTCGCATTCTCATTGAAAGTATTGAAATAAGATGGAATGAAAAGTTGATTAAAAACAGCAGGCTTTCAAGCAGACCCAGCTGAAAAAGTAGAACTTAAAAGGGTACTTAAAGGGTGGATGCACATGGCATGTAGGGAAAGAGCATGTTAGTAATATAATATAGCTCTATGGTAATGACATGTATGCTTGATATTCTTACCAATTCCCTGACAATTTTGATGTCCAGTTCCTCAGCTTAAGATGTAGAAACCAGCATTTGACATCTGTTGACATACTGACTTCTCAAATAAAACCACAATGGATTGCAAGTATCAAGTTGCAATATTCAATTCATTTTTATGTAAACTATTGCAAAGAAACTGCTTACTGCTTCTGCAATTCACAAAACTAAACATAGAATTTCCATACAAACAAACTAATAAAGTGCAAAGTACATAACTTATGTGCGTACAAATAATTTAGTTTTAGAACTCAACATAAACACATGCTTTTTTCCTTTTGTTGTGCAGTTTGAAGTGCTTAATATCTCCTTCTGAACACATGGAATTTGATAGTCTGATTTTATTCTTTTATAAAAATTACTGTAGTTTCAATCATCAAAAATTAATTTATCTTTCCAAGTTCCCATGTCTAACATTACTAAATCACATGCTGAGAGCCCCTTTAGCTTGAGTGTTTTCTGTGACCCAGACCAACCTGTACAAGTGTGTATTTGCCTGCAATTGGGGACCCCTTATTGTCCCTCTTTTGTTTGTACATGTACTGTTTAGGAAGACCTCCCATATGTTTTGTAAACAAATCTAAATTGAGGACCTCTCGGGAATTGGGGACCCTTTTGTCCTTTATTGTTCAACGTCCCCTATTGAATGCAGAAAACAAACTCCACAAAACACCATGGCGTATGGACTCTGTGCGCAAGCACGCACCCTCCCCCCAGAGGTTACAGAGGGAGAGCTAAAGGAGATCACCGGGAGTAGACCATGGGCCAAGTGGATTTACCCACCTGACCCGAGTACTTTCTGTTTAAGGTGTCCAACTAAAAGAAATACAACTTTAGTGTGAAGGCCTTTCATTTGGCAGATATTTTAGAATAATTTTGAATTTTAGAATAAAAAATTTGTACATTAGGCCAAAAAAAAAAAAAATTCGGTCTCTGGTCAGACCAAAGTTCCGGAATTGATGCGGCGACGCGGCTTTTTTTTTTCTTCAAGCTTGGATTGTACAGACAAGGTGGGGTACTATTTTGCTTTTTTGGTGTCCTCATGTACATTGGTGTCCTCCATAATTTGCCTTGGTGCTCTGGATCATTTGCCTTGGTGCAATTTCCCATTCTTTGGTGCTCTTTGGTAAAAAAAAAATTGAGGAGGTGCGGCGGAACATTTTGGAAAAAAAAAAAGATTGATGCGCATGATTAAAATCGACGCGCGCGCTGACCAGAGATCGACTTATTTCTTTTTTTGGCCTTAGTGCAGTATAATTTATGCGAGTATTCAAAATTCCACTCACATGCTGGACACGGATTAGCCTAATATACCTCGCACTATTGTATCTGTTGTCATCACATTCCATACATGCCCACTCCACCCAAAAGCACCCAATTCCAGTTACTCGCGCATGCAACTAAATTCCCCTAGTATGTAACTAGTTACCAAGGTTCTTAGTAAGGTTTCAGGAATCACAATTTAGTTGTCAACTCCATAGTAGACTACCATGACTATTAGGCATATTAGTATCCTACTAAGGCCTAGTTGGCTGCTAAGTGAGTAATGTTTCATGAATATGGCTGCAGCAAGACACAAATACACACAACCAACCAACCAAAGGAAACAAAACAAAAACATTATTTTGTCAAGGATGGAAAAACTGAGTATCAAGTTAGGAAAGATAATCCGAGAGTCACACAATTTCAACTATAATAGTAAACTACTGTACAGGGCGAGTAGAAAAGAAAGTGACAGAATAAGACAAACGTTTAAAAAATATGTGGCTTGCTCCACTAAACAAAATAACGGAGGGATAAAGTACATGTTATCAACTAGCAGTAACTGAAATTCTCATGTAATTTGCATAGTCTATTCCCAAAGTACATGTACATCTATTTCAATGAAAAGATCACAAAATTCAGCTGTCCACCACTGATCATTTCGTACACCATGTGCACTCGCGTTATCTCTTGCACGTCACGCCACGTACGAACAATTTGTATTTCAAGACTGCGCCGTGCCTGTACAACATGGATACTGGAAGTCTCGGTTTTCTGCTTTAAAAAAATGAATATTGTGTTGTATTGGGACGACAGTTGGACGTACATTTATTGTAAGCTTTTGCTCTGTAACACGACATCGAAATCTTGTGTTTGAAAGGATTAAATATCTGCAAAAAGAAAACTTTTAAATTATAAGCACTGCGCATTAAGCACATCGCCTGCAGTCCTTATTTTTGAAGGTCACTACTTATTTACATACATTTACATACATTTGCATTGAGGTTGGCTCATGACTAGAGCGACGTCTGAAACCAAGTCGCTCCTGAGTCGTTCTGAACGAGTCTGACCGTCGATCTTTCGCCATCTGGCACGTGTAGTCGCTTCTATTTGTTTCAGACGTCAAACTTTTCATGTACTTAATTCAAATCTTGCCTTTAATTTGGATCGGCGCGACTCTAGCACGCCTGTCTGAACCCAGGGTAAGTAAAGTAAGCATAACATCTGATAGCATGCGTCACTTTCAGTAATTCTTTTTTAGAGATGAGTGGAAGAACATGCTCTTTTTAAGAAATACGTCATGTTTATCAAATTTGATTGCTTTTAAGAAAACAAATCATAAATCTAGGTGACTTTATTTTTGACTCACCCTGTATAGTGTACATGAGTTACAATTATGTAAACCCTCCATGATCAGTGAGTTGTGAGAGAAAACTTCTCAAGCCTAATTAAGTGAGTTTCAAATCTATAAAAAATGCATAATCTGTCTTCACTTTTGATATCAATTGTTCAAATTAAAAGAAGTTACAAATTTAACACGTTACATTATGATTTATTACTTAAAAACACACAGAAGAAGGAGGAATATGTGTTGCATCATGTACTGACAACAGGACTTTTTTTGTTGGGGGGGGGGTGTTTCAAGCAGGGATGTACCATACTAATTTTCAGAGTTTTTAATAAGGTATTGTTAATACTACACTGACTGAGAAGAAGTTCACTTTGGGGCAGTTTTATAGTTGCCCCAACCATGGAAACACCGGATGAACTTCCAGGGCTCCCTGCCTTTGCGGACCACAGCCAGCTTACGATTGGGTTCGTTTTCCTTATTGCGCATGTGTTGGACGTACACCTGCGAAATTAAATTAAATCAATGAGTAAGAATGATTAGCGTTCAGTGGCCTACTCAGATGAACTCCACAAAGTGGGACACATCATGCACACACATGTTTACGATGCATAGTGTGGACTTTCCTCTTATTTTCAAAAAAATAAAATAAAATAAAACAACTCATTTTACTTGCAAAGTGAACACTTTTTCAACCGAATTTGTTCATTGTGATTTCCATGAGCTAGTGTTCCTCTTCATTTTGCAACAGATAACCCTAACCAAAAAATGCCTCTACTTGTTTTCATAGTCTAGGGGCAAGATGTTGTGGTTTGATATGCGATAACCTGCCGCCACGAGAGGGCGTCATAACAACGAACCGCTATCGCCCACGAACCGCCAGCAACAACGTCTAGAAAATCTTGTTGAATGGGGGAAACTAGTGCGTATGTTCTACCTCTGAAGACAATCACAGTCCATTTTCAGTCCCACGCATACTAAGTACAACAAAACTGCCCAGTGAGGTTGCACAAACATCTTGCTCCAGCTTATATGCTACTGGAAGAAATTTAAGAGTTTGGTTTGGAACGACTATGAAAGGTTTTGAAAGCGCGCTGCATATATTAGGCCAAACAGGACCTGGGCAAGTCCACACAACATCTTCACTACCTGCACTATGTGGACATCTTTTGTTTGAAGGTACACACAGTGACTGCACTACCTGTCCACACTGGTTTCTTGTGTGGTGGGACTACATGTACACATGCTTAGTATACTTATGTGCAAAACCCTGTAACATCTGTGCATGAGTGTTAGGTGGAACTTGCATTAAGCGTTTGTCATACCTCTTTCTTTTTTGCCACTTTTTGAGGGACTACAAATACAGAGTCCATACAAGATTCAAAGGCCAATATGACACTTGAGATACACAAATATTACATGGTAAATAACATTAAAGCTACAGTCCATCATTTGCAGCTATCCAAAAAGTAACTGACATTATTATTGTTGAAAACATACTTGGCTGAAAGAAAGTAAGGGGACTAAACTCCCTGTGAAATTATTCTTTCTGGAAAGCTATCATTTTGAAGAAATCAACGAAAGGCGGCCTTTAGACGTACCGTTGGAAATTTCCGTTGGTAGTTTTTTTTTTTTTTATTCGGCAAAGTGCACGCAAGCGTTGGTACGACGCACAGGCGCGCAGTTGCTATAATTCGTCGGATCGTTGCGCAACATCACGTAGCTGCAATATCGTCTCAGTGAGAACTTGTCTCGGACGCTAACTTCAGGCCCAATTCAAAACATGATTCAGCAAATTTTGATTTGAAATCAAGATCCTAGAATGCTGTTTTTCTCGGAAATACAGCTGAAGCTGAGCTGAAACTTCATCAGGTTAGTTGTTCAGCACCCTTCTTTAGATTTTGACCACGTTTGTTGCTTCAAACGAACAAAATGCACAAATTACAAATGATGGACTATACCTTTAAGTGTAAACAGTTTACCAATCTACCTGTTTAGAACAAAATAGATGGAGGACTTCTTTGTTTTTACTACCACTGTAATGCAGGCTTTCAGGGCACCACAACTCTTAAAAGGTAAGGCTATATCTGCAATGGGCACTTTGGTCTATGTATGCATGTACATTTGTATAGATATTATCTGCAGTGTGTCGATAACAAAAACGACTTGCCTCAATAAGACTCGGGCCAGTTACTGAAATTTATGTACATAATGTATATCGACACATACATATACTCAAAGGGAAGAGCACAGAGACTCCAAATGACTTTTAATATGTTGTAGTTTTATTACACAATGAACCTAAAGTTGTCTGACATCTGATGAAATTCACACAATGAACCACACTAACATGAATGATCAGCAGTAACATGTCATTTTCAGATTTTTGTCAGATGAAATGAAAGTCAGCCAATCACAAGTAAGGTGACAACTGGTGATACAAAATACAGGTCATTTGAATAGCTTGTGACTTGAATTCAGTCTGGAAGACCTGTGATTAACAATGACTTGTGAGGACTGGACTACATCTCTGCAACTGACCTGGGCACTCTTGAAGGCCAGCTTTTTCTCTACTTCACTGCTGCTTGGCCCACACCATAGATACACCTCAGAGCCTGTATCTAGAATCATCACATCATCATCGGCAAGATCATCCTGATTAAAGATAAAAATGCTAACAAATAGATCATCTTACTCACAGCAGGATGCAGCTATGCAATGTTCCCATTGTCAAGCAGGTCTAGAAGCTGACAAAATAAACACTGCTTAGCCAAAAAGACGGCTTTCAATCTAAATCTGTACTTTTACTCTTGGACTTTAAAGGCCCTGTCACACTGTCACGTTCTGGCATGGTGTTCTTACCGCGACCAAGAAATTGACCAAAACGCACTTGATCCAGCACTCAAGACAAAAATTCTTGAAGCATTGTTTGTATGAAAGGATATTACACCCTTCTAAGCATCAACATAAACCTCAAGTTACTACTGACCCAATTTCATGGTGCTGCTAAGCAGTAAGCGCAGCAAAAAGGCACGCTTACCTCATAGCAAAAAGTTGCTTTAATCAGTGACGTAACAATAGAAACGTCCATGCGCGTGCAACCATTAGCACATCCACACAATGAAATAGTGCTTGGAATTTGCACAATTTTCTGCTATACATGTAGTTACCACAACTGTTTCGTTGTTAAGCAGTGCCATGAAAGTGGCCCCTGATTAATTTAGCATCTTTTCTAAAACTACATATATGAAACTGACATGCAAGAAACAATTCATTCTCTACCTGGCAAAAGTCCGAGCATTTCTCAGACACTGTGAAGAAACCCTTCTCATTGGAACACCTGAAGAGCCTAGAGTGATGCATATAGTAAGCCTCCTCATCATACTTGCGCTGGCCACCCAGCGCCACCCACCAGAAGTTCTCTGGCTCCTCTCCCTCACAGAGGAGCTGGAAGCTGTGGGTATCCTGCAAAGGGTCATCCCAACCAAGACAATGTATTCAGTTTAGAATTCAAAAATCTGGCATACCAAATATAGGAAAAGTTTATAGAAGACCCATTTCCTGTTTACTGAGAGGACTGATATTATTTCCACACAAATCGAAGCCATCAGCCCCTTGATCGTGAGAGCAATTCGTAGACATGACCTCAAATGATGGTAACGTAGAAATGACCTCAAATTTCAAATTTGATTCACTAGGAGCAAATGACTCGACTTGACTCAAGTCCCTCATCAGAAGACTTGACTCCAGTCGAAGGCTAATAACACTAGAGTCCCAAAAGTGTGCGAAAATATGTGTGCAGTGATCTTTTACGGTGCAAACATATTTAGGTTTGGGTACTATTACGGTGCAAAGTTATTTATGTTCAACTTGCAGCCGCCTAAACCTCGTGGTTTTATAATGTAGCGCACAAACTACAATCACGAAATCAGACATTAAACGCATTTCCTAATTCTCGGTTCATCATTGGCTTCAGGCGATTTCTTAAGGCCGTAAGTTGGATCTTCCTAATAAACTGGTGCTTTGTGTTCTTCCATTCTGTAATTTATTATATGGTGTTCAAATGTCAGTGACTTGAATTGACTCAAGCATAAATTTGACTTGACTCGACTACTTTCTGTGACTCAACTCTACTCGACTCCACCTGCTTAACCTAATGACTTGACTCAATTCAACTTGAGTCACTTCCTTAAAATGTCTCGACTCATTCATTTGGGCGACCAATAATGATTGTGAGCAATGGTGATGTCAGTTTTTATTAATATTTACAGGGCGAGATTCTTATAAGGGCCGTAACGCAATAGCAGCTCTGTAGTCGTATGCCTCATTTCGTTGGGCTGGGTCACAATTAATTGCGCAAGTGTGGTCAATTTGATGACGTCATTTGAACATGTTGCCCAATAGTTATTCTGGGTAATTTTTATTTCTGAACCAAGCAGGGTCCCGACTTTAAAAAAATACCAATATTAGCTGGTAGTACAATAGTTGCCACTTCATATTTTTTAAAGCACTTTTTGGCCATAATCCACTCACCTAACTCAAATTCTTGTTGTCCCCTTTCATATGATACCGCATTTGAGGTTGCGATACTAATAGTTCTGAAGATTTCATAGTTTTTCCACTTTTCAGCCGTGTCCAAATTACTGTTGAATTGCCCATGTATTGGTTCTACTTTCAATCAACTAATAGCGATGTTCTTGACTAAATATTATCAACTAAACACCCCCTCCGCACCCCCTGGATCCACCACTGCCTGTTGAGCGATACTTAATATGGGGACCGAAGATGCTATGCAGACAGCAAAAAGTCCCCATAACTCGGTCCTAATAATAGAAAACTTCTGCACAACGCGGTGTCAGCTAGGGCAAAAGACAGATTTTAGTTCACGTGTATATACATGAAGATTTAGGATTTCTGCCTTTGACAAAGAGGCCATTTCACACAAATTGGACATGGCTGAAAGCTTCAAAATTTATGAAATCTTCAAAACTACACGTACATGCATAACAACTTCAAAAGGGGACAAGACCTTTCATCTGAGTGGTGTGCCAGTGCGATGGAATATGGTTCAATGTACTTTTTGTAAAAAAAAAAGTTGTTAATGTATTATAAGGTAGTCATTTTGGCATCTTGTTTTTATATGCAAAAGGCAAATCTGATTGTGAGTTTGTCCTTTGAAGGCAGAGAGAAAGGTTCATGTTCTATTTTGTTTTGTTTTGTTTTATTATTAAATTGTGCCAAAGATGGGTGGACAAAATGTTGCGTGAGTTAGCATAACGCGAGTTACCGAAATACCTCCCTCTAGACAGGCACCGTTCTAGAGCCTATATTTTAGGGGGGCCAGCAGGGGTGGATCTAGACATTTTTGCAGGGAGGTGTGCTGAAATGTAGACCTTTTTTTGCTCCAGACACTTGGGCCTCTGAAAATCAAGGGGGGCGGGGGGGGGGGGGGGGGGGGGGCAGGGGGCGGGGGGCTCGTACCACATTTTCCATGGGGAGCGCTGATAATAATAGTGTACAGATGCCCCTTTCTCACGAGTATTGTTTTGGGGGGTGAGACAATTCGCATGTGACGTCGCCTTCTCAAATAGGCTACTGCCTATGGATTTTTTTTTAGGGGGGGGGGAGGGGCTAGACAATATTTTGGGGGGCTATAGCCCCCTAGAACCGCACCTGCCTCTAGAGATTTCATGATCATTTATTTTTTATAAATATTGTTCATAACATATGACTTACACCCTAACACCTAAGGATGTATGGGCACTGAAAAGTTTTTTCCAACAAGCCACAGTACGAGGAAACTTTCAAATGCAAGGTATTTAACATTTTTGCCATGTCCTTGTTTTTGTATCTAGTTACCGATAAAAAAAGTTACTGCTAAACCAACAAAAAGTTATTTTGTTGGCCTCTTTGTTTGTAGTGTAGTCACTTAAATTCAAGGGATCTTCTGTGAGACAAATCCACCCTAAAAATGCTTTGACTTCATAGAATGAACAGCACAGAGTTGACGTAAGACCCCCCCCCCCTTTAAATGTTACATTGCAACGTGAGTTACTATGGAATTGCCCAACAAATGAAATTTCAACCAAGTCTTCATACATGAATGTAAATTTTACAAACACTAGATATAAGTTCTTCCATTGTCACATGCGTATGTGTATTCACATAGTACAGCTTTTGTGCCGTTTTATTGAGCATTGTAAGCCCAAGTATCTGCATGTGATCAAATATCGTACAGTTTCCAGGGACATTGGAATATTTCATATCAGTATGCCTATTTAGGGCCATTCTTCGGTCACCTTGTGACGCACAATTGGTCTCGTTTGAGTTTTGAAGCTTTACCTTTTGTTATTACATCTGACATATTACTTTCACTGATTCCTCAGGTTAGTACTTTTTACTCCCTACCTCAGAGTATTGTTTCTACTTTCACAAATTTTGTCAAAATATTAGGAGAGGTCATCAAAGTTTTGTGACATCAGACGGAAAATTCACGCCATTCTCCAACGTTCTAAGGACACACACACACCCATACTAATTTTGGGGTACCGTAGTCTAGTCTTTTGTGATTTATAGAATGCATAAATAAAGTACATCCTCTGTTTTAGTTCTACTATAGCAATTGTTCTGCGGTCACTTGTGTGACATTTTGATCGGACATGTGTGTGACATTTTGTAATTAAATTTATGCTAATTTATGCACGGAAAGACCAACTTATAAAACATCTCAAGAAATCTGCGTCTTTACTTACTTTACTTTACTTACAGGAATCATTTGTATTACATCACATAAAAAATAAAAAAACAAAAATTTTTTTAATATAGTTTCAATTTCTGAAGAATCGCCCTTTACAATGATGTGATCAGTGACATGATAACAATGATAACTCACATCAAACATGTCATAGGCCAGATCCTCTGCTACTCTGGCTGTCTCAGGGTCAGCTCTGCTGCCAATCCAAGAGTAGACAATTCCCTTACTGTCCTGGTTCCTGAATGGTACCTTCAGAATGTAACTACAGCAATGACACACAGATTTTCATGTAAGCTCTTCGATAAAAACTTCATTTCGAGGGGTGGAAACACATGTTCAAGCAAATCAACGTAAAAGTAACCTTATTCTCTCTGGACAACTTAAAGATCGTCTAATCCACACTACAGAGTCCTTAACTTGATCCAAGAAATGTGAAAGCAACTAGAAATGAAGTGTAAACCTATGGCGAGCAGGCCTTACTTATTTTTATGTAATTATATTTCAGGGATTTTATACATCAGGGATTTTATACATCAGGGCTTAATTGACCAAGGATTTTGTCATGGGACGGATTCACTTAAAAAAAAATACTGAAGGAACAGCCATCTTTGTTTTCCAGTGTTTTCTTCCTGAGAATCCTCTTGCCGCGATGGCACACGCCCTCCCATCAGAAGGGACATCCTTCAATCTGAGGGACACTGCCAGCGGGCATTGCCTTCCCTGACATTAAAATGACCAGCGTGTCAAAAAAACATTTTATATCTGTTTCTAAAGGGGTTTTCATCCTCTTGCGTTAAAATTAGCTTCGAAATTGTTGCAAAAATTTATCTTAGACCAAAACTCACCTTTTACAAAAAGATTGATTTCAAGACGATATACCAATTAATGTACGTTATCATGAGGTAAGACGACCCTTACGAGCATTGCTAAGGAATTTAGGACGTGTTGAACGTTTGGTAAAATCAGTCTTAGGATGAGTTGTGAGTTAGGATGAGTTCAAAGTTAGGATGAGTTGCTCTTTCTGAGACGCATCAGCATTTCGTGAAATCGGTCCCTGTACTGTGATTTGATCCATGAGAAGACTAACTTTAATGTAGTAATGCAAAGGAAGTACTTGTAGATGACAGAGTGCAAATACAATCATGGAGGTCATAGGTTAGATTGATCCCAAAATGACCATATTACTGTATAATGAGCATCTTCTTTAATGTCATGAACAAATGAACCATCAAGTTCACACTTTGAAACCTGATGTATACTGTTAAATCGTCCAAAACATCCATCTGGGAAGGGGGGGGGGGAGCTACTTGAGGTATACTTAAGTTAGCAACTTGAGTTTACAAACTTGGTCATGAATACTCGGCATCATGTGCACAAACACACTGGCTCTTGTGAGTGGGTGTTGCTGCATAACCCACCAGAATTCGGAGTTCAGCCACTGCACAGTTGGATGCACCTGAACACAACGTGTGCTCAGTGGTCCGCCATTGGATCTAATGTGGTAGAAGGATGGGTTCAAGCTCTGCTCCTGTTCTGAATCAGCCGCTGATGATAACCGACGACGGCCGCGGTTGATCACAAAGTTCTTCTTGAAATGTGACAGGAATTTCAGGTTTTCTTGTTGCTGGAATACAAAAACAAACAACACTTGTTTTCTTCTCTAGGGGTCAGTTCATACTTTGTTTCATACGATCATTACCATCACACCAACAACGCTTGCATTCTTTTGGCCATTACTCTAACAAATTGTCCTTGCTCTAAATCTCACATGAGGTATGGAATTTAAAAGGTTCAATGTTTCAATTTAGGTATTTTTTTCTTTGCAGTGTTTTGAATAATTTAGAAACGAAAGAAATGAAATAATTTGAAAGGCCTTTCTTCAAAATGCAACTATCAATAAACCACTTCACAGAAAAGCCAGTTGTATTGTCCACAATGGAAAATCAACAATTCTAGCATTTCTCTTCTCTTCATGTTTGAAGTTGTAATTTTGCATAAGTTATAAGAAAACAAACATTTGTTCCTCAGCTGGTTAGAAGAACAAATTATTAGTCTTTAGCAAAAGCCTAAACTTAAAGTTTTGTTATGAAAAGACCATACATTCTCAAATAATTTTCATTATGTATTATAGCAACAAAAAAAGAAGATCATGACATATGACTCAATTGACAAAACCTTAGTGGGCGTACAGGTAAAATTAGACAATATTGATTCAGGGTAATTATCAGCACTCAGACTCTATGCGGTCTTAAACAGAGTGATTAATACCGACCGACCACATATTTATTCCCATTCATAAATACCTTTTCGTTAAAAAAAATCCAATATTTTGGTCAAAAAATCCCGATTTTGTTCAACAAGTTCACTTCATGATTTTTGAAACATCCCTCTAGCTAAATAATGGAGTGTTCAGCTGGCGATTAAGATGTAAACAACCCTTTTATGGAGATTGACGCGCGCGTGGCACGTTCTGTGTGATGTCGCGCAGAACGCACCTGGGGCGTTGCATTTTGAATTTAGAACTGTAAAATTCTGACTCACTGGTAGTGTTGTGCATGCCTACGCGAGGACTGTGAACGTTCAACCAATAAAACGGTAAAAGGCACCGGATTTCATGGGAGTCCACATTTTATGTGACACTGGAAAAGTGTTTAAGACCAGCTAGGCATGTCTTTATCATCCGTTTAAGACCGGCCATGTGACGGGCTCTCGACCAATAGGAATGGCTAAACTGTCTGAGGTATTTATGAATGTGGGATAATGATGCTGCAAAGGCGTTTTACAGGTGTTAGTTTCCAATGTGCCACCTTTCAACAGTCAATATCCTGCATAACATATTATGCAGCAAATCACCCATCATTCATAAATATATTGGGAAGTCTTGTAAATAAAATAGTCATTGGACTCACTTAAATTCAGACAACCATCATGTGCGATCAAAGTATACATTATAATTGCTGAGTCCTTGTGCAGAAGGAATACAGTTTTGTGAGAGGACATCCGTTTTTCACAATAACTGGCACCTCAGTGGCAGGTAGTGATACACTACATCATAAGTCATCGCTACAGATACCTCTCTAACCTTACCTGACAGAGCCGCACAACTTCCAACTTGTCACCAAACAAGGACTCAAACTTCTTCTGTAAACTAAAGGTGAAGGTCAGCCAGCCCATGTTGCTGGCATCCCGGCCCTGCCAGAAGTAGACGGTGCATTGGAAGTCCTCCTCAGGTTCCTCCTCATCATCCTTGTCTTCATTGTCTATGTCCTCATCCTCTTCCCGTTCATGGGTGTCAGCCTTTTTCTCTTCCTCCCCCTCCTCTGGAAGGTCCTTAGGCACCCAGTAGCGACAGAGGAACACATAGCTGTCCCCACTGTAGAAGTGACCTTTGTGGCAAATTGACAAATATTGTTTAAAAATGCCACAAGTGAGACTTGCGCAAATCCCTCCCTAACCAAGATGGAAGATTTCTATTGTTTTAGCAATAGTGACCTGTCGGCCCCAAAATCAATAAGCTTCTTAAGACTACCAAGAGCAACCTACAAATCAAATTTCAAGTTCCTAACTAAAGTATTTCTCAAGTTATCGTGCTGACAATGTTTCTATTGTTTTAGCAAAAGTGACCTTGGCCTATAACCTGTCAGCCCAAAATCAATAGGCTTCTCAAGACTATCAAGAACAACCTACAAACCAGATTTTAAGTTCATAAGTAAAGTATTTCTCAAGTTAACGTGCTGACAAGAGTTAACCTAACCAAAACATAGCACACATACACATACAAGTGTGTATTTGCCTGAAATCGGGGACCCCCTGTTGTCCCTCTTTTGTTTGAACTTGACCTTTTTTAAGCAAATGTTTTGTACACGAATCCAAATTGGGGACCTATTGTCCTCTATTGTTCAACGTCCCCTTTTGAATGCAGAAACAAACTCACATACACACAGAAGGAATACGCTATTACAATATCCTCCTCCGGCTTACAGCCAGGGGGATAAAAAGCAAAATACAGAATGACTAAACAATGTCAACCAATCCTGGCTATATCTTCTTACCAGAGGTTCTCCTCCAATAAAATCAATATAGAATTTGTGTTGGAGGGAAGTGGGTTTATTATGAGCTTGCTAAATAACTTGCTAAAGCAAACACAATAAATAGTATAAAGCAGAATTCACCCTTAACTTTGTTCTTCACCCTTCATGACATTTATAGGATGTAAAATTGGACCAGATCACACTACATAGGCCACGTTTGTTTAAGGAGCGCCGTACATGCAGTACTGTCTGTATCCCGATGACCTACTCACGCCAATTGCCAGAGTAAAAAAGGCTACACGCTCATTCATAAAAAGGCCAGACAGTATACTGAAGTCTGTGTCCTGTACTTTTTTCTGCTTTTATGTACCTACACAAAAAACAGTGTTAGGCCAAAAAAAAAAAGTCTCCGGTTTCTGGTATGCGCGCGCGTCGCCGCAGCCATGCGCGTCGGCAAAATGAAAAAGTTTTTTTTTTCAATACAAGATGATGTCTCAAAACCACCAAACTCACTGGTTTGACTGGAATTCTGCTGCTGCACAATTTTAACGTGTTTTTAGATGGGGTTATGATCGAGAATAAGCTTTATGTGGCCTCTCTGGACTCCCATATATTTGCACTAAGTTTAGTCGGGCACCATTTGCAGTCATCAGCCGACATTTGAAGCCAAAAAAAAAAAAAAAACAGGTAAAAAAAAAAAAAAGCCGCGTCGCCGCACCACTTTTGGGGCAAGCTCCATACCAGAAACCGGAGACTTTTTTGGGGGGGCCTTAGTCTTCCTTTTTAATTTTAGCCCGCCGCACACGAAAGTATCTGCTGAGCAAAAGTCATTCGTGACCATTCACTAAGCATGTACATGTAACACAAAAAATATCACGTCCTTCAGGTTGCCTGCCTCATGGCCTTGCAAGGCAGAAAACGTAGCAAATTTGACAGCACAAGGTGATATCATCTGAGCTAAGTGCTGAACAAACGGCCTAGAATGACATTTTGCTCAGCAGGCAGATCTCTTGTTCTTGCGATTTCGGCACAATATTCGGTGGCACATCGGCATGAAAAAAAAATCAAATGCGCGGCAATATCAGATTTTTTTCTAAGACCGGCTAAAAAAAACAAGCAGATATTCATGGCTACGCAGAAAAGTTTCATACCTTATCTCACTAATTTTTAGTTGCCAGGCAGGCTACTTAGAGAATGTTTTTGACTAGCCCGATGCTGTTTTGACTTGCATTTGGCTAGCGGGCTACCACTAAGGTCAAATCCTGGTATAAAATCTATATGGTTGACTTGATAAACAGTTGCATTGACTCTTGTACAAAATGCGCTTTATTAAGCGCGGTTTATTACTGCTATTATTTTTGCTAGACAAGATATTTCTAATTTCCTAGGATGTGATGAAGTACTTCACAGAACTTTTCTTTCAACAAAACTCTTGATATCCATAAAAAAAATCTGGAGGATACATACCAATTTCTTTATCAGGAAGCCGTACAAATTTCTTGCCCTCTAATACAAAGGATTCCATGCCATCAAGATCCTCATTCCAATCCTCCATCAATTGATCCTGACAAGGAAAAATAAACAGTCATGAATTGTTCTTAACCTTCTGTGTAAGAGGCCCTTGTTAAACAAAATGATAATTTATCTTTAAACTATGACTTTTATGCTCATTCACCAATTAAAATGTCCTGAAAAACACCTGAGCATTAGTCATACCAGACATTGCTACATGCAAACAAACACTGCAAAAATGAATATAGTCCTATTTTGTAATTTAAGAACTTGTTTATAAAACATCATAACCAATTATATTGTTATCAAGGGATTAAACCTCAAATGTGCGATGCAAAATCTGGTTTAGGTGGTCTTCTGTTTGTGGCCAAGCAGGGTGGGCTCCTTCAGTTTTGCTTTTAGAGCAGGTTGTAGAACTACACCCTCTCACAAATTGATTGTTAGCTCCAGATGCCAATTTGCTCAACATGGCTGAGTTTGTCTCTGCAATCCGTCAGTGCAGTAGGTAGCAGGATAGTGGCATTCCAACTGTCTGGGTTACTTACGGCTTCATGACTAGGCATAGAGGGTTGTCTTGGCAGGAAGAGAGCTGATAAGTCAGTTTTCATCTCGCTCTGTCCATCTGCTGCATCCTACAGATCAAACAATCAAAAGAAAAGTGAACATGGTAGTTAAAATGAAGAAATGTAATCACGTGTTTAGAAAGATACGAATATTAAGAGTGTGTATGCCAGGAATATTTCCTAAATGCATGAATTCTCGGACTTTGTTTTCATGTGAAAACTGCAGCCAAACATCATACATGATCTAGTATCAATAGTGAATGTTGAAAGATAAGTGTCTGTGCTCTTCAACTTGATATGAAACCTGCTCCAACAAAACTCAGACAAACTGGACACATTCAGTCTGAGGAGCCTACCTACAATACACTGGCTACACTCTGAAAATAAAGGTCTAACACTGAGCATTCCCATCATCCTGTGTTCAAAAAAGGTGATAAGTCCATCCTGGCAAATTATAGGCCGGTTGCTCTCACGTCAGTCTTGTGCAAAGTACTAGAGCGAGTCGTTGCATCGGCCTTAACCGATCACACAGATATGTTAGGCTTATTAAACAGCAATCAACATGGCTCTATAAAACATCGTAGCTGTGTAACCCAACTTGTTAACGTTTTGCACCAGTGGGCGTCTGCCCTCGACCAACCACGCCCTCCCCGTGTTGACGCTGTTTTCCTCGACATGTCTAAGGCATTTGACAGGATGCCGCACGGTGTCCTGCTTGAGAAACTGGCCTCACGTTTTAACATCCGGGGCACCGTGTGGCATTGGGTCAGATCCTTCTTAACAAACCGTAGACAGCGTGTGATATTCCAGGGTAGTGCTTCGTCTTGGGCAGATGTTTCTTCTGGTGTCCCACAAGGGAGTGTTCTAGGTCCTACTTTGTTCAATTTATTTGTTAATGACATTTCTGACAGTGTTTCTTCTAGATGTGTTATGTTTGCTGATGATGCGCTGCTTTTTCGTGTTATCCAGTCCCAAGTGGACGAGCATCATCTTCAGACTGATCTTAATCACCTTCTTCATTGGTCATTGTGTAATCACTTGGCTTTTAATCCTTCCCAAACAAAGGTTATGCACATTACTCGAAGAAGAAATATTCATCCTCCTACTTACAATCTTGGTAATTCCCCTTTAGCCGCTTCCTCATCCGTTCAGTACCTAGGTATCACTATTAGCTCTGACCTTAGCTGGAATTCCCATGTTAATGTAATTGTTTCTCGTGCCAATCGCCTCTTAGGTTTTATCCGATCAGTTGCTGGAGGTTCATCCACCCGAGCATTTTTCACACTGTACAAATCGCTTGTCCTACCTGTCCTCGAATATGGTATCCCTTGCTGGGGCCCGCACACGCTATCACAAGAACAACAGATTGAGCGTGTGCAACGTTCAGCAACCCGAATTGCCCTAAAACAACGGCGAGGTCAGATGACATATGAGGACAGGCTTGACCGGCTTAACTGGTTCTCCTTATCATCCAGAAGACAATACCTACTATGTTCCTTTGTGTTTAAATGTTTACACGGTTTATGCCAATGTGAGACCATCAGTGACAACATCCTAATCAACCCACGCCACCCAGATGTGCTTACATTCCGCCATCTTCATTCACGCACACAAGCTTTGTTTCATTCCCCCACCCGCAGTTTCCCTAGAATATGGAATTCTTTACCGCCTCATGTCAAAGACTCAGCTGTTGTCGACTCCCTTCCTCGATTCCTTAGGGCCCTCAAGCAGGCATTCTTATCGTAACTTAGGTCAAACCATTGCTCTTTTTTTTTGGCTGTCATTTTGATCACCCCTGCGGGGGCCGTTGTTTTCCGTGTTTGTAATCTGTCTTTTCAACGTTATGTGCGGGGGCTGCATACCCACGGGTAATAGCAGTTCATTTTACTTTTGCGGTCCCTGACCCACATAACTGTCATTTGTCTTGTCATGTATTCAGATTTTCGTCCCAGGTCCCCGCTACCCTCTTACTGTACTTGTTGGTTGTTGTTTTATGCACGTTTTACTCAATTTTGTTTTGTTTTGTTTTTGTGATGGTCGAATAAATAATAATAATAAAAAGATGGCCTCCACATCCCCTTACAGCCATCTGATCCTCCCACTTATTCATGTTTAGCCTATTAGCACTTGCATGCATACACTATATTGGTCATTTACTGACCGGAGAATATTGTGAAAAATGCTGTGGAAAACAACATCCCTCAAACAATAGAAAATACTGCTCTTCCTGTTTATTTGGCTGTACAGCATGTTTTGTTTGTTTCAAAGAGTATGAAACACTGTTTTCTGTCAATTAGTCCTTTTGTGTGTATGACAATATATCTGTGACTTTTGACCTTTTAAAAATTAGAAAATTAATAAAATGTACAGTATTTTGCCAATAGGTCATGTGTTTGCTGCTGGTAAAAGGTATCTATTTCCAAATATGCATACAAAAGTTGGTAAATAACATTTCAACAATTGTTTATAATTACGATGTCATATGGCCTCACTATGACATGTATGACCTTTTACGTCTGAATATATAAAAATTGAAAATTACACAGAAATATAAACTAACAAATCTGTCTGTATGCAAATATTTGTAAATAACGGAGATAAATCACCTTGACCATGTTGACCCTCTATGTCATCTAATTTAACTTGACCTCTAATGTGACCTTTGACTTCTTAGATAAGTAAAAAGTAAAAACAAAAAGCCTACATGTAATCGTACAAGCATGACAAGACAGTAATCCCATAGAGCAATTCCATGTCCAAAGTAAGTACAGATACATGAGAATGATAAAAGTACTTTTCTGTCATTGGAAAATTGGATGACACAATAAAAAACATACTAGAAATATCATTACCAACATGATGAATGAACACGATAACAACCAATCTGCTTTTTCTGAACATTACAATGTTTATTCAAATCACGGTCACGATGTGTACAGTGTGTACACATGGCCTTTTCATGGTCTGTGGAGTCTACTTTGCCTCATTTTAGTCACTATCACCTCAAAGCCTCTAAGTCTTCACTATCAGAATCATTTTTACGAATGTCTTGCAAGACAGCCTTGGCAAGGCCGCCATGGTGTTTGTTCATGAGTGTTTACATACGAGCACAATTTTTCATACATATCTGAACAGTATTACATACATATATGGTGCGAAACTTTTGAAAGAGCTCTTCCAGCACACCAGAACGGATCCAGAACACAATCTTTTTGGGGGGTGGGGGCAAAAAAATTGGGTCGAGCCGTGCCCAATGACTAAGGGCATCGGAGCGTCGTTCACCACTTCAGGCGGGCCACCAATGGCGCCTGGCTGGCGTTGGTAGATATGACTGACAATAAAGCGGAAATCGATTAAAAGGCTTGCATAAAGTTGGCTTGGGAGACCGAGTCCTCACCCTGGTGGCGTTTGCCCCAGTTGGATCGGTCTGACGAGTCCACCGAGCTTGAAGAAGAATGGCATGATCGTCGACCTGCCTCATTTTTCTTACTCTTCTTTCTTGAAGAATGGCCCCGGGGTACATCCATTGAAAATTTAGATGAAGCGTGGGGTGCTGGGACCCCTGAACAACGGATAAAATCAGATGACGAGGGCGGTCCCTTAGAGCGGTATATAATAGAGCCGGGCAGCCCGGGTTCCCCCAGGTGGCCCGCTGTGCATCGCTCATGTAATGTCCGACTGACAGCGCCTCAAGCCCAATGGGTTGAGTGAACACTGTCCAGTCTGGATGCCCGACTGACAGCACCTCAAGCCCCATGGAGAACAGTGGAAAGTTTTTTAAAGCAGAAGTGATTTGGTCTAATGTTAAGAGTTGAGAGGTCGCAAGTTGATAATGGGTCGCCATTTGCCTGACTTCTTCAGAACAAGAAGGAAGGTTGAAGTGATGCAAAGGATGGATCCGGCTGGGAGTAGAATGATGGCATTCTTGTCCTCAGAAACTTCATTTCCCTCTCTTTTAAAAGCAGCCAAGAATGCAGGGTCTGTGGGAACAGGAGTTGGTTGCCAAGGTCGTAGAGGATTACTGGTGAATTCCAGGTGGTATCCTGAAGAGATTGTCTGAAGAACCCAGATGTCTGAGGTTATGTGAGAGAACCTCTGGCTGAAATCTTCAAACGACCACCTACTAGATCTGAAGCAGGAAAGATAAGTACTCTGCTGCAGTCAGAACCCCTTGGTCAGTAAAAACAGGCCGTGGTTTATTCTTACTGGTCTGGCTGGAGACAGAAGTAGAATGAAGTTTTGATGAGCGTTGGGGAATATCCAACTTGTTTTGGTCTTCAGGCATTTGGTCTCTTGCATCGTGGCCTCGTGAAACCTGTTGTCAAAAAGATTGCCCCTCCCAGGGGAAGATCTAGCAGGCGGTAATTAGAACCAACTCATGGGAGGAACAATTTGATATCCAGGACATTTCAACAGCATTTGTCCAGGAAATGGAACATCTCAGGCAATTTACTCGCATCAGACAAAGAAGGATCTTCATAACATCATGCATGGGCATCAGACAATTTGTGGATTTTCACTTAAGTCCTTGGCTTCTGAAGACAGGGGGGGGGGGTCGAAAAATATCTTTCAGAAATTGTTTATCTTGAACCTCAACCACGAGCTGGACTGCGAATGGGCTCGTGGATCCTCCCACTCCAATACCCAGCTTCAGACCGTGAGTAATCAATTGAAAATCCATGTCCGAATGGAATCACGACGTGGACCACAAATGGGCCAGTGTAACACACCATGGTCCCCCCCCCCCTCTGATGTACGGATTCACACCGTGAGTAATCACTAGAAAATTGATGTCGGCCCCAACGTCGATTGTTCTGAGTCCAAACGGGTCAGTGGGATCCTGAGCTGTACCACGAATGGGCCCATGTAACACCCCCCCCCCCCAAGCGACTGGTGTAGTCACTGTAGCGATGTGGAGAATGCGACCTTGTCCTTGAGTGAAAAGTACGCCAAGATCTCTCGAACAATGCGACGTGTAGTGGTTTTAGCCTGGAATGCCGCATGGATACGATGTCTGTGACTTGTAGTCCAAATGACGAAGAACCTTTGGAAATTACACCACGCTTGGAGCTGGAAGCGGTAGAGAAAATCTCATGGCTTTCCCGGAAATCTTGGTTCTGTGTATGACCATATAGCTGTAGTAGTATGGCTAAAACGTTATGACCGTGGTGAGGGTGCCGGTAATGCCCGGGTCTCTGTGACCATGCAGGCGGGGAGGTCGAATTACCAAGTGGCACAGTGATGCTGAACGCCAAGTCCCGCCATCCCACATTTATATGTGAGCCAACCTCCGATTCTGTTGCTTGCCTGTGCTCTTGTAGACACCCAAATGTATGCGAGATTTGCTGGGGAGCAGCAGTGACTCTGGCTGGAGAAGGGCTCGTCCCTGAGGCATTTCTGACCGTCGTAATCAGGGGAATGGACCCAGTCGTAGTTGCAGAAAATATTACACTTGCAGTGTTAATTGGAGGGTGATTTTCCTGATGAACGACTTGAGCTATTAAACAGTTTCTTTTTGTTTTGGCAACATCCGCTAATGTTACAAGCACAGCGAGAAACTGTTCGCATGCATTAAAATCACACTATGTGCACTTATGCATCGCTGAAAAAAACTAGGACGAGCTGTTGTGTTACAGGGTCCTTTGTGGGACAAGCAGAGGGCACGGAGGGATGGCTTGGATGCTTGGATGCTAAATCTTTTCGGTGAGATTTGTGCGCTTGTGCGCTGATATGCAAATGTAGGTAAAATGCAGGTATGATATTCATTTTTAATTTGTGGCATTTGGACCATTTTGAAATTTTGGCACTCTGTAGAAATGCCCATAGGGGTATGGGGGGGGGGGGTTGGACTATTTTGACGTGGGTGGTGCCACTTACACCCCTATTATACTACTCGAAAATAGGCCACATACATATCACCAAGGGCAAATCATGGAACAAAAAAGAAATGACAGCCTCTTGGGGGGCCTCAAGCTGTTTAATAATTTATTTTTTTTAAAACAGAGGGTTGAAAGTGCAATGCTGACTGCAGCTGATATGGGCATTTTATTTCCTGCCATTTCCCACTGCCTTTGTCACTAAAGGGTTAGTATGTGATTACTACCTTCTGTATTGCGGGTTTCTTTAGAACAGCCTCTGCACGGCGGGTATAGTCAACGGCAAGAACATCATCCCAGCCCGAAAACTTGGACTTGAATACCTGACTTTCAGTCCTATCCCATGAAAAAGACAAGAGAATGGATAAAAGGTGAAAAACAATGGTACTTTTTTTTCGAAATTTGTTTATCAACTGACTTGTGCTATTAGATCCAAGACAAAGGTCAAACACAGGGATATAAAAAATATTACAGACTTCTCTCTTTTTAAAGTGTTCTATTTGAACTCTACTTTTGAAACGTAACTATTTGTTTGTCCAAACTACATACTATAATGTAATGAAGATTTGGTGGAATTGAGTGTGTACCACATTTCCTTGCAGTCTTTAGGTTTTTTTAAAGCTTCTCTGATATAGTTTTAAAATTCCGATACCAAACCAAGGTAGTTTCATGTTAATAGTGTTCATTTAACAATGTATTCACCCAACAACTTTCAAACAACATGCTTCTTAAATCTTAAATCTTAATTAGTACTATGAATATGTATTTATCCTGACTAACATAAAGAAAGTTGTTTGTGAAACAGATTTAAAACTAGCTGAAGGCATTATTTTCTGTGAACATCAAGTTAAAACAAGAACATATTGAACAGGAAAATAATTTAAATTTAAAACATTATTTTGGGATGAAAATTTTGTGAGACGAACTTCAATCTCTAAAATATAACAATAAGCGTGAAGGGGGGGGGGGGACTGGAAACCAATATAGGGAACTGGTTAAATCCCAACTTAAACAAAACAACTTTGAATAAGGGAATAAATGTGTGCTTGGCTGGTTTTAAACAGTATGTTTGAGACCGTTTGGAGTCTGGATGCTGATAATTACCTTAGCCGAACATACTTTTTGGTAAAAAATAAAAACATTTGGGTCCAAAGTCTAAACAAGTCAAACATTATAACTATTTTGTTCAACAATTTTACTTCATGTTTTTCAAACACTCCTCTAGCTATATTATGGAAGTCTATCTCACGCAAAGTCGTAAATAACCACTTATATGGAGAATGCAGCTGTGCCAGTGTAGTGTAAATTTAGGACTGTGAAATACTGACTCACTGGTAGTATTGCGGATGCCTACGTGAGGATTGTGAACGTTCAACCAATAAAACGGTAAAAAGCACTGGATTTCAAAGGAGTCCAAATTTCATGTGACACTGGAAAAGTGTTTCAGACCAGCCAGCCTGTCTTTATCAACCGTTTAAAACCGGACACGTAACGGGCTCTCAACCAATAGGAATGAGCAAACTGTCTTAGGTATATCTATGAATAAGATATTAGTCCAAAACACTTTCACTCACTATCATTCATTCAGATATATTTGAGACCAACTCTGCATGCAAATCAATTATATAACAGATAAAATGATTAATTAATCACTACAAATTGCAAACATGCAAAAGTAACTCATCAAGTTGCATGCTCCGCCTACATCTTCATTCTCCAGCTAATCAGGTGCTTGGAATTGTCAGTAGGTGAACAGTCATGACTGGCTTGTTGCCAAGGAAAAGGAATGGGGGCGGAGCTTACCGCATGTGCTCAACCATTGATTTGAGCACCACCTCTGCGGTGCATGTATAGTCCACAGCTAGGATCTCATCCCAGCTGGAAAAATGCTGCTTGAACAAATAGGGTTCGTACCTAAGAATAATGTGAGGATTACAGACAATTTGAGCCCACATGGACTATTGAGTCCCAATGCCGACATGGTGGTTAAATGGTACTTGGGTAAACAAGGGTAAAAATCTAAGAACTACATACATGTACCAGTACCAGCAATGTTGGTGTTACTGATTACAGCAGGGAGGATTCTGTTGATTATTTGTCTAGTTGTGCAAATTTATAGCTTAATCTATCATGGTTTATTTGTAAATGGGATGGATTGAGATTGACTTTCCCTTATTAGGGGTAGCACTGTTTCCAAAGCAGTACCATTGCATCATTTATATGAATGACCTTTTTTTAAAAATTGATTTATGTGTGTGTGTGTGTGTGTAACATCCCTTGTAACTCAGATGTAGTTTCCCAAGCGTAAACATTTTGGGCAAATTGGCTCCAGCACATGGCCTTGATTTAGTTTATATGGAGCAGATTTTTAAGGGTAATGTACACCATCTGCAAACATTCAAATATGACACTGCCAAAACATAATGACATATCCTACTTGATTGTGAACAAAAAACAGGATCACGTATCCTGTGTGATTTTTGGGCCTAATATGCTGTCGTTTTCGAGAAAATAGGAATTACCATCATTTCCCAGTCAGTCCGCGGTCCGCAGCGCACGCGATAATGAGGTCAAATCCCGAACTTTATGTGCACAGGCTACGTCACGAATCGGCCACGAGACTTACACGTGTTATTGTGAGAGTTTGGCAGTTTTGTTTTCACGAACTACACGTTGCAAAAGAAGTAGCGGGTCTCCAAGCTGGCGTGGTAAGTCAAAAGTGAACGTTTTTCTGAATCGAATGATATAAAATATGTCGAGATTCAGTATGTTTTTGGCAGAATTTTGTTCACTCGAAGTGGGGTGTGATTTGGAGGAGGATTTTTGTGGTGTTTTTAGTTCCTGCGCCCTGACTGGACTAGGTAATAATGACGAAAATGATCACCACACATCGATAAAGGAAGCAATGAGCTTTCCTTCGATATGTATTTTCACTTGTGGCGACATGTTTGTAGTTTATTTCTGCGACACTTTTCGTGCGCAAGATTTGAAGTTTTTCGGCCATTTCTTTCGGCTTGTACATGCAGAGCGTGTACAGTATGATCATCATGCACACGATCACATGTAATTTTTAGGGATTTTTGGCATGTTTGGGCATGTTGGGGTGGCTGATTTATTCATGTCAATTTGTCATACATGTTAAATTACATTTTTTTATGTACATTTTGTTCACCTGTTCACAATTTATAAAAATTTGTTTATTTACATTTTTTCATTTTCTTAATACTAGATGGGATCATACATTTTTGTTCAGCTTCCTAGCTATTTACTCCAAAATCCATCTCTATCAACTTCTATGGATGTCTGCTTTTCATGAAGATAGTTGTTTTTAAATTAAATTACAAATGTTGAAATGTTGGGTTTTTTTTCTTAATGCTGCCCAAATGGTTTTTGTTCAGTTAATTTGGGAAAATTCCCTGGGAAAACTATACAACATACGGTGCATTTAGACTGTATATGTACACTAATTTGCTTTCGGTCATACAAAGAAAAAACTTGTGAAGAAAATCCTTTTGATATATTTACAATCCTCATATTTTCATTCACTATCAATAGAGGAACCTGTCCCGGCAGTTAAATGCCTCGGTACTCAGTTGTCGTTGACAATTTCATCGCCTCCGACACGGGAACCGTCACGTTCAGTTCAGTGCCTTGGTCCTCAGATGCCGTTGAAAATTTATCATCTCTAACTTACTTACGAGAATGTTTTCTGAGACTCAGATTCATGCAGCATTAAGTTCCTGCAACCAAAGATTATCTAAAATTTACTACATGTAAACATTGCTTCATGTACATAATCGTGATTAGTGACACTGTGCCAAAACTGTGGTTATTGTTATCATCTTCACTTCACTGTAAATTGTTTAAATTGAACCTGTTACTACCATATTTTAGCAGTTTGGAGATTATCGGAGAGTTGATGATATTTTTGCTGTTGATATTTGTTGATGTTTATTTCTTATACAAAGACAGATGTTGTCAGATATGTATGCCAAAACTCATTTTTTAAAAATGGTTTCCCCTCTTATGCGAGCTGATATTTTTTTCTGGCGTATTCTGCCCCCCCCCCCCCAGTAAGATCTCGGCCATCGAGTGACGAAAAATGTTGAAACTCGGTACATGCATAGAGCAACTCTTCATGAAAATACCCAAGAAATTTCGTGACTATAGGTGAAAGGGTTTTGGAATTATGGCTAATTAATTATTCATATGTACGAATGGTAATTCTGGTCTGTGTACACGACATATATGGGAAAATTCAGTTTTCACGGCGCGTTAAAGAATTCGACGTTCTTTGAAGTTGTGGTGGAGTTAGCTGGTCTTCAAATCATCGAACGAAGTCTAGCCTGGAATGCAAGGCTGTGTATGTGCTGTTTCAGCGTGCAGGCATTGCTGGCCATAGCTTACTGGGCTCAACGTCCACACACACGGCAAACCCGATCTGTGAATTGTACACATGAAGCCCACAGTGCATGCACACGCGCATTACTGCCCCATGTTAGGTCACAGCCCATGCTCCAAAGGGTCAACAGCCTTGATTATTCTGTAACTTCCGGGTTTTGCAGTTATGTTAATGAAATGAGCTGCTTATGATCGAACAGGATCTGATTGGTCCTTAATTTGTCATGCCATGCTGCACATGCGCAGTGGCATTGGATTACCAAACCAACAATCATAAGTTACAATCCTGGCCAAATCTCGCTGGGCCCCAAACCCCCCGGCCCCCGTTTAATGTTGTCTCTCATTGCGCCGTGTGTGCTGGAGAGAACAACATTGACCAGGGGAGCGGGGGAGTGGGTGACCGTGGCAGGCTCAGGAAGTGTCCCAACCATTTTTGCCCGGATTGTAGGTATGGCCAGCAATGCGCACACGATGATACAGCACATACACACCTTGCATTCAAGGCTACGCGAAGTCTGGAATCAATGCTTGGGGAAGTAGTGTCGGTACTTCAGAGAATCGATTCCTCAACAAAGTGGAATTGATTCTACATTATTCTGGCATGGAATTGCCTAAGCGTACTCTGGGACCAGCTCTACTAGGCTTTCCTTGTCTTGTTTGCACTTCTGAAGGTGAAAATAACAAAATGGTGAATCTATGTGGCTACTTCCAGATACATGTATCAGATAAGCAAGAAACAAGCGGTGTTTGTTTAATGTGGTGACTTGCTTTTTTTTGGTTAGACCAAGAGAGCACAGAGCCACTTTAATGCACCAGTAGACTTGACCAAGTCTCTTGGGTGAAACGCCTTACCCTTCCAGAACCCTGACGACGCTAGCACAGTTTGGGCGATGAATGATGCTGCAAAGCTCCTGGGAGAGCTTGAGGGCAGCTGCTCGGACCAGCCTGGTAGACTTACGGCCAATCCTACAACAAAAAGACAAACAGTATACAATTTAAACATCAGCAAGGGTTAGCAATTCACACAGGAAAAACCAAAAATGTGAAGCTATAATATTCATTCATAAATAGCTGAGATAGTTCCTACTGATAGAAAGAATGTCACATGGGTGGTTTAAAACCGCAGGTAAAACAATGCTGTGTTTGGCAGTATATCACACAGTACAGGCAACGGGTGCATGCCAATTTCCATAAAAGGAGATATTTAGAACTATGCGTGTGAGGCACATACATGTACCATAGCCCAGGTGGACTCCCTTATTCCCTATGTTACAGAGGGAGTCCAGGGTATGAAGTGCGCAAAACAGGGTGAAAACATTTTACATTTTCAATCTTTTTACCTTTTTGATAAAGCCAAATTCGCGTCCATGTATTCTTTAAGTCCTTATCTATGCATCCAGCAGGTTCAGAAATTCCATACATCACGATGGATGACATAATCCGGAAAATAAACTCGAAAATATTGTTAAATTGGGTCATGATTGTAAACTGTGTTTTCATCGTTACAATGTTTGCACAGGGTATTTTGTGCTGCACGAATGCACGCAATACGCATGCGCGATTTGAAAACTCTCACACGCTGTATACAAAATTATGTGCCAACCACTAGGAGTCTGGCAAAAGTAAATGAGTGAAATTCGGTAAAAGATTCAATTGTTGAAATTACATGTACAAGGCAACATTTATCTCACACAGACATAAAAAGTGTGCTCGTTGTGAAAAAAAAACCTCAAAAACTTTTGGATGTAAACTAACAAACAAAGACTTACGCCTTTGTTCTTTTGTTTTCCACATTGATGAGAACCAAAAAATACTTGTGCTTCCGGTTGAGGCCAGGTGAGGCCAGGTGATTTTGCAAACACTTATTATAATATTTCTGTCATCCATACTTTTCATCTATGTATATAATAATTCGAAAGGAAAACTCTGTTTTTGTTTTTTTTTCGACGCGATCAGCAAGTTCCCTTCCCGGGAGGGCTATGCAGTGGTGAAGGCAACTGCGTCTGGCATGCGGTGGACTAGTTCCCGCCGCCAGGCACTGTAGAGATAATTGCCAAAGTGATGTGCGAGGATTGTATAGTCTAAAGTGATAATCGATCACGACCGAGAGGTGAGTACAGTCCCATTGTTTATTGGCCGCTGATTTAGGTGCATAGCTATATAGGGGGAGGAAAAAAACTTATTTCTGCAAATTTATCACGGAACTTAATCAGTCTTTACTATGAATGTATTTTCCGTTTTCATGTGTTTTATGTCAAGGTCTAATGCCTCGTAGCAATATATGTAGTAGATTTTTTTTACGAATTTTCTGCCGCTGTTGCTTTTGCATGCGTGCGACACGTGGTTTCACACGGTAGTTATGGCATAAACGGTGGGCAGACCATGCAGCGCAGATCAGCAAATAAACTGCCACAGACCTCAGTGATAAATATGCCTACTTCTCAAGTCAAATTCAAGCTGTTTTCATCATCTTTCATTTTCTGTTCTATTTTTTTGGGTATAGTAGGCCCTAATCTGGTAACTCATGGGGAGAAACTTCCAACCGACATTAATCATTCAGGCAATGCACATGACCCGTACATGACGCCCGATGCCGATGTGTACACAAACATTTTATTTTCTCGAGAGTGTCAAGTCAGTGCGGTCACTGACTTGACACTGGCCCATGTGGTTACTCTGCAAATCGCGCGAGAGTATATTGCGTTGATCGCAATACGGTGTACAAACTCCGTTTAATGGATGAAATCAGTCTACAACCATGCCACAACTTGACGTTGTTTGGGAGTTTATTTTCCTGGATTACTGTGTCCATTGTGGTGTATGGAATGTCTTAACCCACTACTCCTGTAGATAAGGACACATAGAATACATAGACAGGAAATTGACTTCTTCAACAAGGTAAAACAAGAGTAAAATAATGTGCTTTTTTGAGTCGCATTACACAGAGGTCTTAGTCCCTGGATGTCAGCCGTAATGCAATCAAGATGTCGTCCAACCTGGGCCAACATGTACCATTGACATTGCGGGGGGGGGGGGGGGGGGGGGGTCACAAAACATGAATTAAATTTGTTGAACAAAATCATTGGAAATTTGGGAAGTTTTAAATTTTTGACCAATAGGTATTTATGAATGGGAATAAATATGTGCTTGATCTGTATTGAACAAGAACGTTTGAAACCGGCTAGGGTCGTGGTTGCGGAAAATGCATCTAGGCCCCTGATTAAGACCGGCCAAGCATATATTTATTCCCTTATTATAAATATTTCTTCTGTTTAAAGGGGGTTTAACTAACCAGATAAAGACGTCAGCATTACAGTCTAATATGTAGACATTCTTGGTTTCCAACAGCCACTGTACCAGCTTGCCCTTTGGCAATTCAACTGGGAATAAAAAAAATAATTTTAAAAAGTAAAAAAAAAAAAAAGATAAGAACAATAAATATCTTTATTACAGATTTGATTTGAAAGTATCAGAATTTCCATAATTAGTTTACACAAAAAAAAATCTAGGAAAAAATGAGATGTTCTTGCTTAACTTACCCTGAGGAAGCTCCAGATATCCCATGCCCAGTCCAGCTTTGTATAGCTTGGGTTTCTCAGGGACAAAGCTACCAACCCAAGGCTGATCAAATACAAATGGGTAAGAAAATAAACATTGTACAGCTACCAAAAAATATGATGAGAAATTTATATGCTAACAAAATCAAACTATTAGTTGAACAATAACCTGAAGTACATAAAAACAAATTTGAATCTGGTGTTGAAAGTTATGTAACCAAATGTCACATTCTAGAGTTCCAGACAAGGAGCATAACTGCAATATTCTAGAAACATCTGCCCACATATCCCCTGGCTCTAGTAAGATTCATGGTTCCAAATTGGAGCATTGTGCTACAACGGACTCTGTCCTGTCTTTTTGCTTAATAGCTTTCTACTTACAGTTAGTTTGAATTTCAAAGATGTTCAAGGGCAATTCCGTAAATTCGGACGTACATGCACGTCAGACACTTTAACCCTCCTGCTATCTGAACAGTCACAGACAGTCAAAAAATCAATCCTCTTCCCCTGCCATGCCTTCTACAAAGGCTAGTCACCGACAGTCAGATCATATTTCAAGCAAGCACTGTGACTAGTCAAATTAGTCAACAGACAAAAGCAGACAATTGATAGGCACAGCTGGCTTATCAATCACCTATAGTTGAAGGGAATATACATTTGCTTTTGCTGTGATTTTCAGAACTGGGTGGATTTGGGGGGTTAGTATTTTATAGCAAATATTGTTACACTAACTTGTTCCTGTAGTCTGGTTCCCTGACCCCACTCAAGATGAAACAGAACAATTTATAGACATCGCAAGGTCAGGGAACCAGTCTAGCTGGCTTGTACCCGCTGATAGGTGTATAATCGATTGCAAACAAAATGCAGACTTACTAACTATGGTAAATTGGGGGCAGTTTTTGAAAAAAAACAGTTTTTTCCAACGCTGGTTGGCTGACCAGTGTTGGAAATTGATACAGAAATACCACTTTTCTTTAAAATGACAGCACACCAGGTGCCATGATTTTAAAGGTGCTTTATACTGTCATTCACTCACAGTCCAGTAAGGTATGTCATAATAATTTGGTAGTTAAGTTTTTTGATGTATGCACATTTGGTATATTCCCTTTAAAGTATACATATCCAGTATACATAAACAGTCACAGCAAGTCAATCCTGCTTTATGTAGGCTGGGAGCTCTGAACTGTTGAAAACAGTCACTTGATCGATTTTGACTGAAAGGACAACTTGGCACAGAATGTTTGTTTGCATAGGAGGGTTAATAAACTGCTGTTGGGAATGTGAATGTGACATCACTAGTATTTGACGTCTATTGAGAAGAAAACAATTACAGACCAAACTAAGGTACAACACCACCTTGACAACCTTGTACGTCATGTGGTCGGATGTACGGTGCATTTTACGGAATTGCCCTTGAGTAAACCATTGTGTGTCTAGCAGACTCCCCTTAAATATTGGACTACATATGCTACATTTGATCCTATACCCTACCCTGATGACAAAGTTGTCTGTTACACCCCCTAAGGCTTCCCAGAATTCCTCAGTCTCGTCACCCTGCACCATCATCGTGATGGTTGCAAAGTTTTTGCGCTCCATCTTGTTGATCTTTTCCACCAGCAACCTTTTACAGAGAAAAAAATTGGAGAGGGAAAAAATAGGAACTCAATTTCCCCACTATGGAACAAGTTTATTGAGCTTTTTTTAGGTCAAAACTTAATAAACAATACTAATAACACATTTTTGTTGGAGGGCAAAGTATTTTTTGTAACACAGTCTTGTACTAATAGATTCAAATTAGGCAGTTGACTTTGTCAAACTTATAGTGGTTAAAGTCCCTGTCGCACAGTACCGTTCTGATATCCCGATGGTGTTACAACCATAGATATTGGCAAAACTGGATGAGAACTTGACGGCAACTGCTCTTAACGGGAACTCGTGTTGGGGACTTGTGGGGGACTGCATATAGGTCGTGATAGACACTGGAAGGTCCTGATAATCGGCAAAGTGCCCTGAATGTTTTGAGCAGGTTCAAAACAAATGGGAGACTCTCCTGTCCTATTCACAACAGGGTAAGGACGCTGCAAGGTCGGGGCATGGACTTAACTCAATCGGCCTGGACGTGGGACCGATGGGAAGGCAGTCGGCAGCATCATTGTGAGAACTGCATGCAAGGAGCTGCATCGGGACTGTCTTTCACTCACGAGTCTCCTATGTCTATGCTGTGCCTACACAGTGCCTACCCAGACCTCTGCTCGTTGCTGTCATGGGATAAGCAGTGATAGACTTGGCGCTAACGGCTTGGACAAGACAAGGACGGGTGGGGACGGGAGTGTGAGCCACATTTGTCTTGAATAGAACTGCCTGAGAACGGCTTGCACTGGACAGGGACGGGACAAGGACGTGGTACACACGGATTATGGTCTGGATCCAAGGCTGGAGCCATAATTGTTTTTATTTCCCATGTGCTAGCCACGTTTAAATAATTTTTTTGGTTGTGACCATCGTATCACACAAGAGGCTAGAGCACGGCACTGTGTGACAGGGGCTTAAGCTGTCAATACTAGTTTACATGATTACCTCCTAAGAATGCTTATAAAAGCATCACACTCTCATAGCATGGAGCATGCTTTACTTATAACATTTTGTCAAAGTCATGAAGAAGTGGCCAAACTAGTAAAAATATTCAAAGTCTCTAACCTTGTCTTGGATTTTGTTAAGGACTTGCAGCGTTGGCCATACCAGATCATGATTGTCATGCCAATGTCCACAATGAAGACAAAAAAAGGGTCCAGCTGCTCAGGCTCCATGGCAACCTAGCATTCACAAATGTTCAAAATCTATTTTATAACAAATAAGCAATCAGTGTGGATGGTAAATTATATGGCTTAACAGAAAACTAACAGCATTGCTGTTGAAATCCCTCAGCCGGAGTCAAGTTATCATCCGGAAACTATTAACCTTCAACTCACCATGATGACCTTGACCTTTGGACCCCAAAACCAATCCCAACTTGCCTGTACCCAAGGGCAACCCCCCACCTAAGTAACAATCCCAAACAACATTTCTAAATGAAGTTATCATCCGGAAACTAAGCTGCCCGGACGGACGGACGCCCGACTCAACGGGAAGGACATGTAGGGTGATGGCATTGTGTTCCTTTTATCCCTTTTTCTAAAGATTTCACATCCGTGGTGATGTTTTCTACAGATTTCACATGTGGGGTGATGTCCTGAAAGGACCATCACCCCACATGTGGGGTATGGTCAGAACGCCCTAACGAACGTCCGTCCGTAGGCGATGACAATACCCCTCCAGCCTCTCAGGTGAGGGATAAAAACTGAAAAACTCAGAAAAAGCCATGTGTGTTGTTCATATACAGACACACAGATATCCAATAAGTATATTTAAGCACAGAATGCTGGAAACATACGTCATCATCATTACTTCATCAAACTGAAATATTTCAAACATTTAAGATCTAGGCCACTGAACTGGAACCCAGTGGGCACTATTATTTGTTGCAAATGCAAAATGACAAGATGAAGATGTCATTTCTTCATGTTGAAATTAAAATTTCCAAATTTTTCCTTCTTGCTAGTTTAAAAGTTGAAACTCAGAAATTAATAAAGGCCATGTGGTCCTGATGATAATGTCATCATGAGATTTTGTTTGTGAATTTCTAAAATTTTCCGAAGATCTTACAGAGGTTATACACAATTTTCTGGCCTTCCTTTTCATAATATTGTGTTTACATATATGACAAGGCATGATTACTTAAACATTTGTAAAAGCACAAAAGCCTCAAGTTCTGTTTATGAACAGATATAGGTCTATTTTTATATGCTTTTGTTGGGGATAACTCATAATTTCTGGGAAGAGACAGACAAGTTTTGCCCTTCACCGAACATTCTCTGTCCCATAACCAATGTAAGCGAGGAAACTAGCGAAGTCATTTTCAAGTTATTAAATTACCTGCTTATAAAATGACCTCTGTGAAAGAAAACCAATTTTTGAATTAAACACCTCCCTCGATGATGTACTTCAACAATTTTGATAAACCTCATAAAACCTACTTACAGCCTCAAGATGCAGACTTTGTGTGCCTGACACCCTGTACATACGTAATGTATGATCATTCTCCTCCACACTGAAAAACCCACTAGCTGTACCACCCTCTATGTATGAGATTTCATTGTCGAACAGGGCCAGGAACTCAGGGCTCTCATCCTCCATTTCCTCACGGATTGTTCTGGTACGGGCACCAAGCATGTTGCGTAGGTTCACTGCATGAATCGCGGAGCAGGCTTTCTTGTCCAACTTGAAACAGCAACATGCAAAAAAAGGACCTTGTCTTCAATTTGTTTTTAGTTCAGGGCTAGCAGTTAACAAGCACAAGTGAATAGGCCTTTTCACTAATAATGATAATTTATGCATAACTGGGCCTTGTGGCAAGAAGCGAAAGCAGTCCATTGAAAATGTACAGGGGCATAAACAGTTGGGTCATTTTCTCACAATTTCTCCAGAATTTTTGCACTTTTTCTTTAAAAAAGACCCTAGATTTTTGGGGGGACAAAATAAAAAAATTAAACATTGCTTTCGTCCCGTGCACACGAGGGCAAAGGAAATCAGTAGGGCTCCTTTCTGCACCGGTAAAAAAATTAACTGAGTGCTTCGGGGTACCATCACCAATTTACGGGCCGAAACGCGGCGCTGAATCGCATGCTTAATCACGGGCTGCGCCGACACAAACTATGCTACTGTGCACCGACTGTCACATCGATTGGGCACTGGGTGAACAGGCCCAGCGGGCCCCATCAGGGGCGGATCCAGGGGGGGGGGGGTCATCAGCAAATCAATGCTGAAATGAAGACAGGTTTTTTTGTCCAGAAGGTGGGGGGGGGGGCCCTCGTACCATACTTTCAATGGGGACTTTCAAAATCACAAGGGAATGAAAGAATTTAAAAAATATTTTCTTAAGTTAAATTGTCAAATATTGCATGTTATTTGTATCTCAGAAGTCAATAATGTGAAACACCGCTGTCAACTTTGAAAGTATCACGAAGTTATACACCCCGTTTTTGATACTTACGATTATTCCTAAAGGGAGACCAATTTTTCACACAACATTTTGAAGGATTTCTGGTACAACTTCGGGTTTGAAATACTACAAGTTTTTGCGGCAGTGTGACTTTTCGCATGGCACCTACGGGGCCTGTATGCCTAGTGGCCGGTCGACTAACCATCAGTGAACGGTGACATCGTTTGTGCCGGCGCAACCCCCAATTCAGCCCCCGGCTTAGTCTGGCGCGATTCAGCACTGTGATTTGGCAGATGGTATTAAACCCGAAGCACTCGGTTACGTTTTCCACTAGGAAAGGAAAGGAGCCCTGCCGATTTCCTAATAGTTTCTAACGCTGAAGCATAACAATTTTATTGATAATTCTAGGGGAAATCGAGGAACATGATTATAAAGAATGTAAACGTTTTATATTAATATGTTTTAGTTGAAATGACTTAATTTATGAATAATTTTTAAAGGTATTCAAGGAAGGGGGAATGATGCCTATTAAAGGTACAGTCCATCATTTGTAATTTGTGCATTTTGTTCGTTTGAAGCAACAAACGTGCTTAAAATCTAAAGGAGGGTGCTGAACACCTAACCTGATGAAGTTTCAGCTCAGCTTCAGCTGTAAATTCCGAGAAAAAACAGCATTCTAGGATCTCAATTTCAAATCAAAAGTTGCTGAATCATGTTTTGAATTGGGCCTGAATTCAGTGTCCGAGACACGTTCTCACTAGCCGATTGCAGCTACGCGATGTCGCGCACTGATCCGACGAATTATAGAAGGCGTGCGCATGTGCGTCGTGTCAACGCTTGTGCGCACTTCGCCGAATTAAAAAAACGAATTACTAACGGAAATTTCCAACGGTGCGTCTTTGGAAAGGCCTTCTTTCGTCGATTTCTTCAAAATGACAAGTATGTTCAACCAAGTCTGTTTTTCAACAATAATTACGTCAGTTACTTTTTGGATAGCTGCAAATGATGGACTGTATCTTTAAATGTTATGGTCTGACTAGTACGATCTACAGCATGTCTAAAAAATTAATGTGAATCAAAGTTTTCATTATGAGGACGAAACTATAAAGCAAATCTGTGAGGTTGTGAAAAGGTTGAAAAAGAGAAGTGGTGACACCATGTCTCACAGAAGTGAGCAGCTCATTGCTTGAATGGTGTGTGTAATTTAAATTGAGATTTTTAGATATGGGATGAAACAATGTTATTATGTAATGCTCAGCTGGTGCAAAAGACTTCCTCCAAGTTTTGGAGTAATTGGCTGTTTCGGCAAAGTTGCCGAAACAGTCTTTGTTTTTGTTCTTTTTTTTTTTTCATTTTTTTCTTTTTTTTCAGACTTTGTCTATATTATTTGTACACATTTTCATTCCACCCAGGACATTGACACTTTAATACGTTTGATTGCGTTTGTACTTGGCATACACATACCCTAGCACCTGCAAATGTGTGCCGAACATTTACATCATCATGACATCATCACGAGTCACGTTACATCACATTAAAGGTGCATATTTTGAAGGCCTATATCTACAGAACTACAGGTCCGATTGGGTTGAAAGTTAGTGTATACTTAGACCGGGATGTGTTATAGATGAAAAATGAAGTGATGTCATGATGACGTCATCACATGTCATTTGACGTCACATTAAAGGTGCATTTTTCTAAGGCCTTTCTTTATCAACAGAACTATAGGTCTGATTTGGTTGTAACTTGGGATGTGCTTGCGCCTAACAGGCAGCATCGAGCTATATACTCCCCAGGGAGCTGAGATGGTATTTGGAGTATTTAATTGGCCCAATGATCAGGGGTAATAATAATACTGTAAGCACTGTGATTTAGTTTACTAATAAGAGCGTTCTTAAATGCCGATTATTATTATTATTATTATTATTATTATTATTATTATTATAGTAAAAATGACGTGACGTTATGTTGACGTCATCGTATGTCACATGATGTCACATTAATGGTACTTTTCAAATGCCTATAATTTACAGGACTGACTGTCCAATTTGGTTGTATTAAAATTGTATGTAACTGGACCAGGTGTGTTAAACAGGAAAATTGAAGTGACGTCATGATGAAATCATCACATGCCATGTGACATCGCATTAAAGGTACATTTTCAAAGGCATATATCTACAGAGCTCTATACATGTATTTTTAAAGTCCCACATATTTTAATGCCTTTTGTCACTGACGCAGCATTGATGTTGCATTTTAACAGTGTGCAATCTTCAGAAATATACATCTGATCACTCTGCAACATGTATCAGTCTAACCTGACACATGGTAAACATGCAATAACAAAATGCCGAAACAGCCATGTGTTTGTCCACAAACATAAATCTAGTTTGTTATTGAGATGTTCAATGTCTGTTTGAGTCCAAGAGGACGCTTGTATTTTCTCAGGATCTTCCTGGCCAGTAATATGTTATTTCTAACATTGTTAAAGGTGATCTTGCAGAAGATGGTGTTCCTGAACTTAAGCAATCTTTTGTACGTCTGCTAATATAATCGAGGAAATATTCTTTCATCAGTCGAGAAAGGTATCCTCATAAGAAGTCTAAGGATGTGATTATAATCATGAATACTTGCAGAGTGTGACCTGTGATGATGGCATTCCCCTCTTGCAATACTCTTGAAAATACTTGGATTGTTGTTCAAGTACCTGAATTTCTGGATAGGTTTTTGGAAGATGCGGTAGTGAAATTTATTGTGGATTATGGTGTGGTATGGTGATCAATAGATAAGGTCAAGTCGAGGAAGTTCATCACTTTGTTGTTGATCAAGAAGTTGATGGGTGAAGGTGGGTTCACTTCAAAAAATAATCAATCCGTCATCGATATTTTGCACAAAAAGTAGGACGTTCTTGCATTTAAAAGAACACCTTGGTAATCTATGGAGCGTTCCATTTCCCTCGGCTGAGCCCCAGGAAACCAGGATCACCTCTGGAAGTTAGTTTTACTACACCAATTGAAGCAGTCAATATCAAACATTTTTGTATCTTACCGATGTGGAATTGCCAATCCAATAGTATATCTTCCACTGCATCATGTCATTCTCGTCTAGGAAACTCTGCAAGAAAAGAAAAAAAGAGACAGCTCTGAAATTATTACCAAGAGGAATAAACCAAGATCTCACAGTTGAACAAAAGGCACTTATTTAGGGTGTTTTTTAAAATCTTTTGTACGAATACGGCATAGAATCCTTTGAGGAGAGATACTGACAGAAATGTCACTTGTTGATGTGAGTGTAAATTCCAAGGAAACCCTAGACAATGTATCACAGAATCAAGTGGGATTCAAACCAGAGACAAGACAGCTAGAAAGAATGTCCCGACAATGCAGGCCTTGACCTTAATGGGCAACCGTTGCCACAATGCTTGTGTTTTTGCCATAATGCTCTGCTTCACAAAGGCCCCATTTCACAGAATAGGCCAATGTGCTCTCATCATAGCATATAGTGTCAGTCCAAAGAGTGAAGAATATTACAAAAATAGTCTGTGACAATTTATCTTTTCAACTGATCAACTGTACTGAACACAGTGTGATTTTTATATTGAGTTTTGCCCTTCGCCTTCATATTTTCATAAACACTGTCTACCCACTGTTGTCCGGGGGCTTGTGAGAACAAAAAGTGACAAGCTTATTCAGGTGGGAATCAAGCCCAGGACCTACTGCTTACTAGTGCAGATCTCTTACCACTTGACCACCGAGCTTGCCAGGGTCAGTTGGCTGGTTCAAGTCTGCTGTAGCAGAGGGTACCACAACCAAATATTTCATAAGATGACATTTGCATCGCAAGCCCTCGGACAACTCTGAATATATAGTGTATATGTCAGCGAAGGGCCAGAGCTGTAATTGAGTTGGTCACAAGTCACCACAAGTCACCACAAGTCACCACAAATCATCACAAGTCACCACCAATCATCACAAGTCACCACAAATCATCACAAGTCACCACAAATCATCACAAGTCACCACAAGTCACCACCAATCATCACAAGTCACCACAAATCATCACAAGTCATCACGAGTCACCACCAATCATCACAAGTCACCACAGATCATCACAAGTCACCACAAGTCACCACCAATCATCACAAGTCACCACAAATCATCACAAGTCATCACGAGTCACCACCAATCATCACAAGTCACCACAAATCATCACAAGTCACCACAAATCAACACAAGTCATCACAAGTCACCACAAATCATCACAAGTCACCACAAATCATCACAAGTCACCACAAATCATCACAAGTCATCACAAGTCCCTCAGTCCCAAGTCAACTCACAAGCTCTTTAAATGAACTGTGACAAAAGCATTCCTTTGTCATTGTTCACCTCTTGTTACTTCTGACCTGACTTGTGATTGACTTGCGATTGACTTTACAGCGTGTGTCAATAAAAACGCAGGATTAGAAACAAAAATATTAAGAATATAAACCACCCCTATTCATCATAATGTTAACCCTCTTTTCAAAGTACCTTTCCTTCTCTTCACTATGCTTTTTATCCCATCTCATTTGGACAATCCTGTCCAGAGATACAGTACATTGAAGAAGGGTTATAAATTCCAAGCTGGTCTGATTTGTGAAATCACACATACCTAATGAAAGGTTTGAATTCAGTACAGGTGAAAGTATTTGTGGATCACAAAGAAGGACATGTGTGGCAGGATTAGGCTTACATAATCCTTTAGTCCACAATCACTGTTATTAGTCAATAATTCATGATGCTTTGAAACAATGATAGTCCAGTTATTAAATTTAAGTGTTCCTTATCATCAGTTGTTTCAAAGAAAGTTTTGTTCTGGTTTAATTGTCTTCAATGCATACCTACATTGTACATAACTGGTCGTTGTGTTAAGGTCATTGAATCAGACCAACCCGCTTCAGAAGGGCTTCACAAAACTTGTCATAACTTTTGAACCAAAAGTCCAAATTCCACCAATCTTGTCAAAGATGAAATTATGGACAATCAAATCCTTATCAAATTAGGCACACCAGTAGCATAATTTTCTCAGAAAAAAAATCCGCCTGCTCATTGACATCAACAGATTGGCAAGGATTGGATGATGCAGGCCATACCAAATCCACTAAAGAATTTGGAACAACTCAGCTTGATTACGCGGCCAAACTTGGCAATGGACTTGCCTTTCCAGCTTCCACAAATTTTCCAGCGGATTCAGGTCGGGGTTTTCCATTACCGGCAAATTCCCAACTGCCCCCATTTTTAAAGTGAAATCTTGGGTTGTGTCGGCTAGATATTCCTGTGTAATCAACGCAATATGCGGCGGTGCATTGTCCTGCTGAAACAGGAATTCTGGGCCGATCAAACGATAGTTAGACAAGATCAGAATGTTCGTGGATAATATCAACAAAACCACCGTGTTACCAGCTGCAGGTCACCAGCGCCTGCTGTGCTGTGCTGATGAACTGAAGCAGCCCCAGACTATACCCAGCTGGTTCTACGCAGTCGTTATATTCCTCGAAGACACATCTCTTCGGCTCCACAGCAGGCATGGATCAGCCCCTTTTGGTGATCATCAGGGGTGTGATTGGACAAAAACGAAAAGTCCACGAACTTCGGTTGACATGTAAACATGTACATGTATTATTGTACATGTACATGTATTATTGTACATGTACTTGTATAGATGTACATGTACATGTATACATGTACATGCACGTATGTCCGTATATAGGGCATGTACATTTTATGTACTGTAATTTCTGTAATGTTTGCAAATTTTGTCGCTTCAGTAAAGAAAACAAATAATATAATAAATATAAATCCATAAATAATATAATCCATACGTGATTGATTCAATAATGTCTTTTTCTGTGTGTGATGTTATTATTTTTGCATGTTTGCAGAGAGAAAGAAACGATTCACACACAAAAATATGAACGGTGCTTAAAAGTTACTAATAGTAATACTAATCTTACTTTAAACTCCCAGGCTTCCAAAACACTTTTGAAATTTTGTGTTGGTGATGGCTATTTTTCAAAGCACTACTGCAGCTCAAACTGATTTCCATCCACAGTGACACTTTATTACCAGTTCTTCTAACCATACTCTTAAATTCCTTGACAAAATCTCGCACTGCTGATGGGTCTCATCGCGCCAACCAATATTGACACCAACTTGTTTGCGAATTGCTAGCTCACGATCGTCACTGCACGTAAATGCACAATACACACACATCCACACGCAATACAAACACGAGGTGCAAACCCACTGAAAATTATTTTTAGTCTGGTCCTCAAGTACTCCACTGCACACACTGCATTGATGTCTAGGTTCTTGACTGCACTGCTTATTAGACTGTGTCACCAGTCCATCCATTATCGTAAATTAGAGCCTATATTTCGCCAGAAGTTTTCGGGCGATATTAAGGAAACAGAAAACGTTGGAAATTCGGAATCCGCATAAAATTCCGCAGACGATAGACTAAAAATCCGGAAATACGGAAAAATCCGGACAAATCACACCCTGGATCATTGATCAGGGGGGGGGGGGGGAGGGGTATATATCCCCCCACTGTTTCACCAGGGGGGATAGGCTATTGAATCATCCCCCTACATTTTCGTAATGAGAAATAAAAATATGGATTTTGAGGTAATTTTTCAACATCCCAACAACCAAAATGTATTCAATAGCATGGAAAAGTGGTGAAACGAAGTACACAAGCTTTTAAAATGCGGCTATTTCATGCCAATTGATGCTATTTGATCCTGAAGAGTGCCCCCTAGTGTAATGTGGTGTCAGGCCCCCCTATTGATAGGCTATTGAATCATCCCCCTCTTTTTTCGTGATGAGAAATAAAAATGTGGATTTTGAGGTAATTTTTCAACATCCCAACGACCAAAATGTATTCAATAGCACGGAAAAGTGGTGAAACGAAGTACACAAGCTTTTAAAATGCGGCTATTTGATGCCAATTGATGCTATTTGATCCTGAAGAGCACCCCCTAGTGTAATGTGGTGTCACATTATGGGCAATTCCACGGTAACGGAAGGACGTTTTCACTCATTAAACAAAATTTCAAATGTGTGTATCACAGACACTGTTCATAGTTACAGCAAACAAATGTCACAATTGTATTGCTATAATGCTACTTTCACTTTCCACACTTTTGGGGGGCATGAATGCCTCCCGTTTATGAATTATGAATATTAATGAGGTCGGTAACGGAAGGACGGTAAAACGGACAAGGGTTTTCCAACTTACTCGCATTTTGCGTAAACTCTGTGAATTTTATGGGGCAATTATATTTTAAAGGTAGGAAATGGAATCCCTGAAGCTTTATCTATACTATACCGCCTTTCATTTGACTTTAAGTGTTTCGGTAATATAATTACAACGTTTTAAGCAGATTATAAATTGGTAACGGAAGGACGGTAACGGAAGGACAAAAGGTTTACTCAATAATAGCATGAACAAAATGTGAATTTACACTAATTATACAAGTGAAACAAATTGCTGAAATGTGTAACTGAATGTGAAATCAACAATATGCAGACCTGGCATAAATAATTATACCCGAGAAACTATTGAGATAAAGATAGAAGCCTGCTAATTAATGATAACAAAAGAAAAACGAAAACAACCCAAAACACATAATTCACGAACGCAGGACTACTACAGAAATAGACTTCAAACCCATCACCTCAATCCTTAAAAGTTTAAATACACAGTATTTGAACTCTTGAGTATATTGGTTACATGTTCACCAACAACTTTTAATAATAATACCGGTAGGTTCAAAGGTTTACCTAAAAGGGTGGGGGGGGGGGGGCGACCAGCCTACATGTACATTTAAGGTAAAAACATCTACCGGTAGAACTGATGGCTTCAGTTAGGTGTTGCTTTCAATTGAACTCTAAAACCAATGTTTGAAATCAAATTACAATGATTGAGAGTAGTAACAATTAATTTATAAACATCTAAACTGAAATTGTTAACTTGGGCATAATTTGTCAAAGCTTGCACCTCACATGTCTTACACATGTAAATTGAATGAAAGTGCCCCAAAGTACCAGTACTTTCTGCCATCTCATTTTTGACTTAATTTGCTTCTGGAATGGCTTCACAGAATTCGTATCTTTCTCTATTGTCCATGAATGCTGATGGCAGCAACTTTATGATTTGATTTTCTGCAACAACTCCATACATGTACATGTACAACTGCAAGTACTGGTACATCAGCATATATGTACATGTACATTGTACATGTTGTACATGCCTGTGCCATCCTTTGTAATAAACACCTTGCCCTGCTTATCCCGCTTTTGTGAAGGTGGGTCACATGAATGTCCTTTCAATGCTCATTATACATGCATGTATTTGCAGTGATTTTCATTTTTCAAACATGAGCGCAAATGTCGTAACATTTGATAAAAATACGATTTGTCCTTCCGTTACTGTCCTTCCGTTACCAATTTGGTAACGGAAGGACGTGATTTAATTAATTGTAATTAAAAAACGAGAAGTACAGCAGTGTCAGTTATAATGTCATATTGAAGGCCTACCTAAACTTGCTTTGCACGATAACTTTCAATGCATTCATACTGCAAGTTTTAAAAATAAATTAAAAATATGTATTTTTTCGGTAACGGAAGGACATTTTCGAAGGCTGAAATATTAGAAGTCACTGAAGCGAAACAAATTACGCAAAATGTTGAAAACAAGTTTCAGTCAGTTTTTCAAGACCAATACTTTTTCATGACAGAAACTGATGGCATTAGTACATATTTTTGTGTGTCTATTGGTAGAATACTTTCATATCACTATTAATCACATTTTTAGGATTAAAACAGTATTATTACATAATCCTATTTTATGGTACCGAAATGTATAAAAAATGAAATTCCGACTTCAAATCTTGAAAATATAGACTTTTATCTTTCATTTGATGCCAAATTTGTTTAAGTCACATGTATTTGAATTTTTTGGTGTCATGTCCACTTTGGTGTGGAATTGCCCTTATTCAATTTCTTGTACAGTACTATGAGAACATCATAGACATAAATGATTCTGGTATGTGCACTCACATAAAGACTACAGCATCACATTTTTGTATCCTACATTTTTTTTCAACCGGCCTTTGTGCCCTTACAATTGGCCGTAATGCCCACAGATCGTTTAAGGCACCAGGGACCCACTGGTCGAGCACCTCAGAAAGCTACAATACAGGCCTAATAATGGGATGCCACCCTCACAGCCTTGGTCAAAAAGGGCGTATATTTTTCAAACATTTGTACTTACATGTAACAAGATGTAGCAATCAGCTTCATAGAACTTGCCATAGAGTGCTAGAGATAAAAGATTACAGAAAAGAGATTCACGTTTGTTGAGTTACAAACTCTGGTTGATCGAGACGACAACTATTATATGGAACATTGCCCGCTTAAGTTGTGAATATTGTCATTAAAAGAAAACCACAAAATTCATCCTTTTCCAATGAAACCATTTGAAATGCATCCTTTCGTGTTGTTCAAATTTCAGTATACATTTTATTTACACGTACATGTTACTTCCGGTTTTATGACATCATCAGTTAAAATGTTCAAACTGAATATTGATTTAGTTCAGACAGGATAAACGCTCATCATTTGTAAGATCACTGCAACGTAAACACGATGATATCCATCATGTTCTTTGAATTTTGTACTCAACATTGAGGGTTTTCCCAATCCGGTTTACAGTAGGAGGTACTTATTTCAAAGGTAGGCATTCTGTAGCTGATGTGTTTGGCTGAATAATGAATCATTTGGATATTCAGGGGGATTTATTGGATGAAAATGATGAAGAAAATGTCTGTCTGCAGATGATTGTGTCGAGTCACACCCTGACCGAGTAGCCCCAGATTTGCTTTATTTATTTACCTTTTTTTAGTAGTTTTTTTAGAGTGGCTATAGGGGGCCTGGGCCTAACTGGTATATAGTTCTACACACAATTTTGACAAATCCAAGACACACCTTCGATGTGTGTTTTTATTTTGAGGGTTTAGGCCACTCTGATATTGATTTCTTTGTGCATTACATGCTTCTTGGGACCTATTGAATTATTCCAGCTGCTTTTGTTGTTGTATTTTTTGTCTGCTGCTGGCTCCTTAAACCTCAAAAATAATTTTAAAAATCCTGGATTTCATGATTAGTGGGTCATGACCTTTTATCAAAGGAAAACATTCTAGATCCGAAGCCAAACCAGAAAGCCTATAAGACTGAAGTTTCACTTCTTGTTAACTGTTGATGATACAAATGACTTTCTCTCTTGTCTTTACTTGTTACATAGAGTTCAAATAATCATGACTCAAATTGACTCAAATAATATTTGACTCAACTCGACTTGACTACACACTGTGACTCAACTCGACTCAACCTTCTTGACCTAATGACTCGACTCGACTCGAGTCACTTTATAATTTGACTTGACTTGACTCAAGTCACAAAAGTCAGTGACTCGTTACAACTCTGAGAACTACACACATTTCACAATCATAAGGTTAGGGTACCTTCATCAATCATCAGAGGCACGAAGTTCTCAATCTGCCAGATAGTCAGCCCCTCGATTTGTCCCAAGTCATCAGGGAAAAAGTCACTGTAGTCTAGCTGTGGCTTCTCAAGGGCATCTAGCCAACTCTTGGGCCTGGAATATTAGGGTTTGGTTTAGAAGCGGAAAAGAGAAATAATTACATTGCAGTAACCTTTGTACGGCACAGTTATCCCCTTAAAATACACTCCTCAATCTGGAAAAATGCTGTTCAGTATAAACCAACTTGCACAATCAAATCTTGGCACCAACATTCATGTCAAGAAATGGCTGGTCTCACAAGTTCTGAATGCATCACTACACTAAGCAAACTGGGACAGCATTTGGGTGGATATAAAGCCAGTTCATACTTCATTCACATTTGCTAATGAAAAGCAAACCTGATGTCACAAAGAAATTCTCTGCAGTTGAATGTGTTCAACTATTGTGAATGCCAAGTGTGAATACTTGCTGTGACATGATAACATGTACATCATCACATCCGGTCTTTAATACATGTATCTTCCACTTTCAACTCATCCATATCATTTTCATCTTTGCGAATCAGGAAAAAGTTGCGTTATTTCAAAATATTATTGTATTATTTTAAAATGAAAAGTTTAACTTTTATCCACTCAAGATTGTATTGGATATTTATGTCATATAATATTTCTACTGAAATCGAAGCAAAATACCAATCCCGTCTGATTTCACCCCTTCAAACTGTTTTCTTTCGATATATTTTTGGGCTAAGCAGTAACAAATGTATGCATGCACTAACCCCCACTCCAGCTCTGCGAGTTTTATGAATCCTCACTGCATACAAGTATACAAGCATGCTATCCAGTCTTGTTAATGGAGACCAATGGTTTCATGCTGAAGATCACAGTTAGGAATAGGTCTGGGCGAGTAGTGGAAAGCACTCGAAAGTAGTTGAGCACTCAGGAGTAGTTACTAAACAAGTTTAATCTTTTGGTCCAGGAACCAGACTATTTGCCAACCACATCTCAAAGTCACTAGGTGGTTTCAGAGAAAAGCAGTGATAAGTTGATTAATAGTTTAGTTTATTATAAAGGCAGCATCTGTACTTGCTGTAAGACTATCTACTCCACATATCATGTGTTTGATTAGCCTTGTTTCCTGCCTTCTGTCAGGTAGGGGGTATAGATAACTGCACAGAACAAACAGGAAACTGACCACAGCAGACTGTTGGAATGTTGTCCTATCCAAACCACTTCCAAATAGTTTGAGACATTGACCTCTCGTGAGACATTGACCTCTCGTGAGACATTGACCTCTCGTAGTGTTGAGGTACAAACCTCACATCAAAACGGTGCATTTAAAGCTTTTGTAAATTTTCTCCCTTTTCAGTACTATGGAATACATTCTCATTGTTAGGAAGTTCAAAAAACACCTAAAAAATCTGTTGTTTTTTTTTCTTGCCACGAAAGAGTGGGGGGGGGGGGAATGATGCAATAGCCCATCCCCCCGATAAAGAATTGGGGGGATATATACCCCCCCACCCGGGATTTACGCCTCCGGTTTTCATTAAACTTGTTTAATTGAACTTGTCTAATTCGTTAATGGATTATTTGTTGGTGTTTTGGACCAGTACTCATGTATTGAGACGTGCCCATGGTAGTACAGCCCTTGGGTTAATAATGAAAATATAAAAGTGGAGAGCACATCATTTCACAACTTCAATCACATTCACGAACTGAAAATGTTGCTATGGATGCACAAGCCTTAAAGGACAAGGCTGGTAAAAACAGCAACACAAAAGAACACAAAAGAACAAATAAATATAGTCAACTTGGAGAGCTCTGAGTAATGGCTGCCCCTCATATTGCTTACTTCACTTCTTCCTGCTCATCGGAACCCGAAGTTTTTCCTTCATTCTTGTCTTTGGCCAAATCACTCATTCCCTAAAAAAGGAACATCAAATAAAAATGTGTATAAAAACATTTTCTCATTTTTCTTGCAAAAGATTTGTTTTTGCAAAAACACATTACCGACCAAACTGTCATGTAATGTACATGTTTACTGTCTGTAACTGCCCTCAGTGTAAATTTGCACAGCACCTTTTTTTTTTATCAGCAGCTGCATGAAATTGTGCCCTAGTCCCAGTAGAATCCTTATTGCTACCCAGTTACCAGAGTTGTAAGTAGGTCAAGATTTCACAAGTCAATCACAAGTCAAGTCGATAGTAACAGGGTGAGAAAAAATGACAAAGACATGCCATTGTAACAGTCAAGTTGAATTTCTTGCCACTTCACTTGAGATGGGAAAAGTTATCATTACTTATGTGGACTTGTGATGACCTGGTTATAACTCTGCCACGTACCTTTAAAACTTTGGCCTGTTCACCAGCCTGGTCCTTGGTCTGTGCTCGTGACATGCTCTCTTGTCTCCGTCGCCTTAGACGCAGCTTACGTGCCAAGGGATCCTTGGAGGCTGCAAGGAAAATCTGAAAACTCAGGTCCCAAATTCAAATTCAAATAGCACTTGTACAGCAGCAATACAGCTTTTTGCAAATGGCCTAATGCCAGAGTTGTATTCTCGTCCATCACTAGTCAAATCCAAAGTTAATAAAAAATTCATAAATACCTAAGACAGTTTACCAATTCCTATTGGTCGAGAGCCCGTCACGTGCCTGGTTTTAAATGGTTGATAAAGACATGGCTGGCTGGTCTTAAACACTTTTCCAGTGTAACATGAAATTTTGACTCCGATGAGATCCGGATGTGTTCATCTTGATGAACTGAGTGATATCATGCATGCATGTGGAAAGCTGAAGAGCAGTATAGACAGGCTTCGTGTTGCGCAAGCAAGTGTGCAATGTATCTTTAATGTCCAAACAATTTGTGCAAATTGTTTATTGCATAGGGTAGGATTTGGGAGGATTAACAGATCTCGTTAGTTTACCTGGTGAACCTCCACCTGGGGTTGGTGGTAGCGCTCCAACCAGTCGAAGCTGGTGACTGAGAGAGAAGTCAATGTTGTAAAACTCCACTCCACTACCCTTCTGCTGGGGCATTGGCTTTGGTGGCATGACACAATCTGGATTATCTCTTATGTCCAGAACCTTTAAAGGAGAAACCATCAATTAATTTTACCTGTCCAGATTACAGTTTCAGAGTGTCTCAAGACTTCAAAATGCTTGGATTGTTTGCACTGTCTCTAACATGAAAAACCTTTAAATCTGTTGGATGAGGCAAGGCTTTTTCAAGCGTTGTGGGAAAGACCAGATTGCTTAATAACCAAAATGACAGCCTGGCTGTCGTTTTGGTTATTAAGCAATCTGGTCTTTCCCACAACGCTTGAAAAGCCTTATGTTTGTTTGTGATTTTCTTTTAATATTCTTCTCCCCCAAATCTGTTGGACTTTGTACAAGTTTTTAGTTATTTAAAAGACTTACATCCAAATCAAACTTAGTATGTGCATACATGTAAACCCCGTTTGGTGAATTAGTATTTCAAAAATAAAATTGCTTAAAAGGATTCTTATCCCACAGACACTTAAAGATGAAAAAAATTTCCATTTTTTGAGTCAAGATTAGACTATGAAACTGTCTTAACACTCAGAATGAGCACACTGTCTGCACTGTCTCCCATTTCAAGATTTTTTCAAGGGTCAGCAAATTTTATAGCACATATCAGAATGTTGAGTCTAAGAACTCAGAAGGCTCATACTGTTCCCACTTGAAACAGCCTAGGAACAACAAGAAAGATTGTTCAATATACATGTATGAGATAAGGTTTAATGTTTGGAATACTGATTTTTCCTTAGACTCCAGAGTTCTTGAATGTTGCACTTTATTGTCCCCAATTTTCTTGGAGAATACATTTCTAAAACACTATCTTACCTCTAGGTCTGTGATCAAGTGGATGGCTTCGGGGAGTGTCAGGATTCTATTCTTAGTCAGAATCAATTTCTTGATTTTGGGACATCTACAATTACAACGTGAAAGACTTCAATTTTAAAATACTGCAAGTAAAACTTGAGCAATCTCCTAGCAGTTTGTATACAGGGTGAGTAAAAAAAAACGAAACCCAAATGTCGGGACCATTGTTGTAGTGAAGTTCTGCATGTAGCACTTTCAAAATCTAGGATATGAAAGCCCAATTCATAAGGTTTCTTTTAGTACAAGCATCATTCAAATCACTCATGTGCGTGAATTGTTTTCATTTTGCTGAAAGAACGCACACCTTTTTTTGTGATCCGTGGACAGAACTTTAGAACTGTGGTTGTGTTTAAAATTCCGTAACTTGAAAAGTACATGAGTGATTTGAATAATTCTTGAACTAAAAGATAGCTTATGATTTGGGCTTTCATATCCTAGATTTTGAAAGTGCTACATGCAGAACTTCACTAAAACAATAGTCCCGACATTTGGGTTTCGCTTTTTTGACTCACCCTGTACATGTACATGTACAGGCAGTTAGTAAGGACAATTTTCAGTGACTGTGTTGATTGTCAATCTGGCAGGTACCAGTTCTCAGTTGAATGGGGAGTTTGGGTTTAATGGGGAGTTTGTGTGAGACACGGGACTCTGTGCAGCCTAATGTCAGTGAGTCCTGGTACGTTCCTCTTGCCACTGCAGCATGTAGAGTCATTAATATTAGAACTGCTCCTGACATATATTAGAGTCATTAGTAATACTGAGCTGAGATCTCCAGAGACCTCGTAAATATTCATATTGGAAAGTATTTTTGTGACATCTGCCTTCTCTCCACAGACCACCTTTCAAGTTTGGTTGAGATTGATGACTGAACTTACAGTGAACCTAACCAAAATGGCACACACACACACACACGTTTATTTATGGTGTAAATCTAGGATTTTCTTTTGTTCCTATTCCCTTTACCTTTGTTTGCACTTTTTAACAACAGCTCTCCTTGGTTTTGCAAACCGAGGAGTCTTCGATTCAGTTTCTGTCCTCAATTAATTGATGATGTTGCATGTGTGTCCTCGATTTACATCACAAACAAACGCACATGCATATGCACACAGGAATTCACTATCACAATATCCCCCTCAAGCTTACAGCCAAGGGGATAAAAATCAAACTTTAAATTAAGAACAGTTAGTCTAGATTAATTAAGATGATTAGGATTTTCCTAAGCTGATGTTAAATGTCTATGCCAAGTTTAAAAATAATTAGATCAATGAAAGCGTAAAATAATAGGGTGTAGAATAAAAATGTGTAGAAAGTCTATGAAAAAGAGTGGAAAGAAAAAAAATCAAAACCCTTAAAAACACAAAACAAAGGCTTTTCTTGACTCGTTCGTAAAAAGCCAACCAAAACTATGCCAAAACAGCTACAAATTGGGTAACTGACCTGCACAGTCCTTCAGGTATTGACTCCAGGTTGTTGTCTGCAGCCACAAACTGTTCCAGATTCATGAGTTTGCCAATTCCAATGGGTATGCCATCAAAATCAATCTGGTTGCAGCTGATGTACAGCCGCTTGAGGCTGGTAAGTTTGCATAAAGCCGATGGAAGACAGCTTAGCTTGTTCCGCGACAGATTCAAGGTCTGTAAGTTGACCCATGTGTCTGTTACAGAGAGAGAGATTGATTGATTGATTGATTGAAGTGTCTGATTAGGCTTGGATACAGGCGGTAGTTCCCCCAAATGATGTTGTGCATATATGTATACGCCGCACTACCGAGATAGCCTGGGACGGTCAGGGGGAAGGGAACGACCTCTGTCGATATACCCCCGCTGTACGTCTCACTAGGTCCTAGCCCACTGCAAGCTTAGGGGAAACGAACAGGGAACGGTCGAGACTGCTGTATTCCTCAAAACGTTTCGATAGTCCCCTGAATGACCGAAAGTCTGACTTCGGGACAGGGGCCCCATGTGCAGGGCGACTAACAGACCTTGTGGAGATAACCACATGCACACTTCTCTCTGGGGATACTACGCACTGTCTCCCCTAAGGCCTTTATGGAAAACAATGATGACGGGAAAGGATTGAGAAATAACTCGGGAGACGTACCTGTCTCGAGGCGAGTTATGCCCAAAGCCAGCTGGCTTGGGACCCGTCTATGGAGTCATAATTAAATGCACTGCTTTTTTTTTATATTAACTAACTGTAAAACAGAAGTAATAATAATAACTCAAGAAAGCCGACTTGGCTAAAAAGGGATTGCACTTGATCCCGCGAACCCGCGATTCATGACGTGGCATGACAGGTAGGCCCTGAGACGGGGCTCATTGGTTGATTAAATCTTTTAGTGTTTGAGCCTGTCGGCTGAATAAATATGCACATGAAGTAGCTATTTGGGTAAGCGAATGAAGTAGACTGAAAAGGCAAAGTGCATTGGGCAGTACTAATAACCCATGAAAAAAAGTTACGATAACGATGTCTTTTTTGGGGGGGGGGGGGTTTTCATTGTTTCGGCAGCGGTTTCTGGTGGATTGGCCGAACACAGCTTCGAGTTAAGTGGAGGTACCGATGCAGGCATTTCGAGTGACAGAGTTATTCATGTACATAACATCATAGATGCTTTTGACGGGAATGAAGGGTGATTTTGGACAGGTAATTTAGAAATCATCAAGGTAACTTGGATTAAGGGGATAAAAGTAAAATGGAGAAGTTAGAAATCTTTCAGGTTTAAAACAAATAGGGACCTGATTCTCATTACTACACTGTATCAAGGCAGAGTCATATCTTCTATTTTTTTCTAAATGAGGGCAAGTAAAAACTCGATTTTACACTTGTTGGTAAACCCATGTTGACTACTGTGATATTTTTACAGTCTATAGAAAGCATGATGATCTCAGCTCCCCGCTGGCATACATCACTCAAGTGGAACAAGATAATATGCCCACCTCGGATCAGTCAACAACTGTTGAACAAACCTGTGCATTGTCTACAGCCAAGATGCCTGCAAGGGGAACAGCACTTGAAGGGGTTATTCACCACATGTGGCATTTATATTTATGGCAATTGGATCAATTACAGATGTGCACAAGTACACCTCTAATGAATAATGACTCTTGGGTATCATTGTTGTTTTGGACCCACGGTCACCCCAGACACTAGAATACTTTCATTTGAAAAATGGTTGTGCTTATGCCACAGCAAACTTGTGAGAGACAGCTCTATGGTGTAAACATCTAAAGTCTGTCATTTGTCATCTAAAGATTAGATACTTTCAGGGTTAAGATAAGTGAACAAATTCTTGTTCCCGTACTCACCCATGGCGCTGGACAGCTCCGTAATGACATTGCTGCTTAGGTTTAGCCTCTTGAGGGAGCTGAGCTTGTACAGGCCTTCAGGGACCCCGCTGAGATGATTGAAGGACAGGTCCACATCAGACAGGTTGACCAGGGCATCCATCTGAGGGGGGACATTGTTAAGATTGCGCTGGGTGTTGCGTAGGTGCAGGCTCTGAAGCTGGGTCAGGGAGGTGAGTTGTCTGTGGAGATAGTGAGCAAGGCGAGGGAAGAGAGTCAAGTGGATGAAGGAGAAAATCAAATAGAAGTGTTCTCCACAAGTGGTTTTAGCAGGGTGGGCCAACCTGATACAATGTTATATTGCCCCTCTCTCTACACCACCACAAGCTCATATTTTACCCCTTGCTTGTTTTTTTTTACATCACCCACTGTAAATTTGAGTTTCATGACATAGATTCCTGATTTAAAAAAATATGTAAAAATACCCGCAGTTTTAGCTAATACTTGGGCAATTCCGGAAACTTGGACGTTTTTTTAAGCATCCCTGGAAGAACTGTAATTCCTGAAAAATTGATTGTAATACCGTTCTCAATAAGTGCGACAGGTCCGAAAAACCCCTCAGGTCCGAAAAACCCCTCAGGTCCGAAAAACCCCTCGGTTTCGGACATACTTGGAACAAGTATATTTTTCATTTCTTGTGGTCCTATCAAAATCGCTTTGAAGTATTTAGTCCTTTAATGGAAACTGATGCAGTTTGATTTGTAAGAGGGACCAAACTGAAGAAAACAATCAAAGAAAACATTTTTTTTTATGTTTTTGGTGAAATTGACCTACATGTATGTTCATGGTTTCAGACATACGTGTTTTTGGTTTAGGACGTATAAATGTGGGATACAGTTTTCCGGCGCTCGTCTCCGGAAGACCACTTTGGCTCAGTGGAGGGAGGGTGGTTAATCCAACAGCCAACGTGCTGTTAACCGACCACAGGCCAAGACCACATCGAGGCTTGATCACATTCACGAACGAAACCTACACTCTTCGGTTTGCCTCTCTCAGGTGAAGATCTTGTCAAAAAACACTTACTAGTACGTGAATTATAATGACAAACCTCGGCCGCCGGTGGCGACACCCGACTCCAGATTTTACAGGAAAGTGCCGTAAACCATTTCCAGACTGGCAGCGTTAGCCTACATCATCCGATATTCTCGAATTTTATCCTGATTCCCAACAGTTTCAGACGCGATGGCCGAAATTTTGCTTATATATTTAACTTTATTGAACCTTTTCTTTTTATAATTTTAAAACTTCATTTTATATTCATTGCTTTTTGTTTTTGCATGTGCCATTCAGTTGGAGAACCCCTCGACAGAAAACATATTTCTTTTGGGTAATCCTTCGGGAGCTGAATGGTTCGAAAGGGGTGTTAGAGAGGCTGTATATGTGAAACGGGAGGAGCTGTCTCTCAACATAGGAGGGGGTCTGCGCCACTACTTGGCAGGGACCTACAGTTCAGCTATCAAGAAGATCCCTCGACGTTTTGATAGTTCTTTGACCCCGTCACGGGTCATCAACCAATTGCCGCCAGAAGATCAGTCGGCCTGAAGAAGCGTCCGGGATAGAACGTGAAACCGTCGCAAGTTTAAAAGTAAGTCCAGTTGACTAGATTATATTATTTCAGTGTGATATACAAGTATCAATATCTTATTTTGCAGTCAACTTTAAACTTCAGGTAAAAAGCTCATTTTGAGATCTCGCCAAGATCTTTCCAGACCACACTGAGATCTAATTTGCCCAAGAAATAAGTAATTTTAATCAACTTGAACATGGAAACAAGCTATCTGTTTTCCATGTTTAAAGTTCCTCGTTTAATTCTCACTTAACTCGTATGTTACGTTCTGTGGAATGCATTAGTGTGTGGTCTTCACTACGACACAGATGCAGGTACCTGTGCATGTATGTATTCATGCAGAGACAATTGCACATATAGAAACTGACCTGAGTTGTGCATGAAGGAGTGGGTTGTTGTCCAGTATCAAGGTCTGTAGATTACCAAGTCGTCTCAACTGTGGTGGGAGTGTCTCTGTTGAGGATATTCAGAGTAAACAAGAAAAATTGACAAGAGTGACATTTGAACCTGTTGTCAAGTTGTTGTCCGAGTTAATGGGGATGTTTTCATTGAAACTGTACACAATTCATGAGTTAAAGATTTGTTAAGAATAACTCAAGGCTGGTAATATACAAATACAGCATGGTTTGAGGGGAAGTAGTGGGAATTACTGGTTCCGAGGTGTAAGGTCAGCTTGACTACTTCCCTACCTTCCAATTCACGAAGGTACAAATTGCAAATTACATGTATGCGATGCTCAAATCTGTCCGCATGGTTCACAAAGAAAAAGAAATCACATCCAGTGTGGAATATATGATTTCTATGAGAAAGTTTTTGGATAGCATTTGCGCACATTAGCTATCCGCGTTAAACAGCTGCAGTTCTATGTCTTTATATAGGTCATGATGAGTTACCCAGAATTCCATCCCCACTTCCTTCACAAGATTCTGTGAAGCTCATCAGCCCTTCCCACTGCCCTGTTTGCAGGGCAGGGGGTACAAACAAAAGTTTCATTTTGCGTAAAAACTGCTCACTGTATGACGTCTGTCCAATCACTCTTTTATATTACAAATAAGTTTTTAATATTCGAGATATAACAATAAATCAACAGAAAAAGGACTTTATTTTTGTAGCAGATAGGATCCGACTGTCAACTTTTCGGCAAGACACTTGATGAGAAAACACCTCAGAAAAAAATTACCTTTAATTGCTTGACATTTATCAGTGTCTCAACCGGAACGAAAATAACGTTCCAGTTTCTTGGGATTTTTCATCGTCTTGGTAAATTTTCTCCGAATCAAGTGAAGTACCATTTGAAAGAATAAAGGAGAATGCCACTGTGGAAGACTTTGGAGAGAAAACCCTGATAGAGCCACTCTTTTCTTCTCAAAATTGAAAGAAGTGTTTGAACAAAAATTGAAGAAGTGTTACTTAAAGAGTAAAGTGTGAGTAATATAGAAACAGAAAGGTTTGAACTTAAACAGAAGAGAAAATTGATAAAACTTAAAGTAAATTACGACTTGCGAATTTTGATGTCAAATTGAAGATCTGGTTATTGATAGTGAATCTAAGAAACAAATTGTGCATTTCTGAGATTGAATGAAGATCTTGTGGTTAACGTTTCAGAAGTGAAAGTTTGAAACTTCACGGGTAAATTGGTGATTCGAAGTTGTTACTTGTTGCAAGTTGAGAATTAAGGTTAATAGAAATAATTACAGTGGTAAAACACTAAGGGTCAAACAAAGAGTGTTTGAGTTAAAGATTCACAAAATTTGAAGGAAAGTTTAGAAATTGAAAATTTGAAGAACAAGTAAGGAGTGAAGGTTTGAGAATTGAAATATTTGAAGAATTGATAGACTTGATAAAATTGATTGACACAATTGACTTGAAAGTGACCTAGATTGGAACATGCCGCTATGCAGAATTATGTAGACACAGCTTCAATGCATCTAGATATCATGAGCTATTTTACCAATTAGATTTCTGGAGACATTATTTACTGAATTTTAGAGTCTAAAATAATTTTAGCGCAACTCATGTAAAATCCTCTTTCTAAATGTGGCGTCCATTTTATAACTTTGAAATTGTAAATTTGGTAACGAACACTTGATATTTTAAAACTTTTCTGCGCCCAAATTCCATTCGATCAGTCGAGTGTAATTTCATCACATAGTTTTGGGAACTTGTAAATTTAGGTAGTAAATAAGAGACCTTTTAGGTGAATCTATTTTGAGAACCCATAAATCTAGTTGGCCCTTTTTTTTTTTAATTTGTTTGTGTCCCTATGCACTTGTTGTGTTGACTTCCCCCTTAAAAATGTCCGTAGAAAAGCTCTAAGAGGTAGTGTGACACTGACCAAGCCTCTTTTGTTGATGTTCAATCCTGCGATGAATAGGGCAAAACATACAGTCTGGGGCCAATTTCATGGGGCTACTTAGCACAAAAGCATGAAAAGTCTGCCTTGGCAAGACAGGATTGCCAACCAAATGTCCATATGATGTATTAGTATATTGTTTGTGATTGGTATTCAGCTGTTGTTTGCTTAGCATGAAAATCACATGGAGTTTTGAGTGGTAACCTGCTTTTACTAAGCCATACTTTTTTTGTGCTAAGCAAATTTTGTGTGCTTAGCAGCTCCATCAAATAGGCCCCGGGTAATGAGATACAGATCAACTCCCCTGTGTTCACTGGACCTAATCTGCACACAATCGTACTCTGAGGAATGCAAAGGAACGCAGTAGTATCCAAGAGTGAGTCCAATGGCATGCTCACGCGTCCGGACTCACGTGTCCGGACCTGTTCTGACGGGTTGGGATGCGTTCCCGACTTTATTCGTGGTCCCTAAGACTGCTTACAAAATTCAATTGAATCCCCAGCTTACCAAGTTTGTTGTCACTTATGTTGAGATAGATCAGATCAGTCAGGTTGATAAACAGCTGTTGAGGAATGCTGGAGATACTGTTAAACAAAACAACAAATTTAAGATATTTTACTCAAATGTCTGTGGTAGAATGTGACTGCGTACATCGTATGGGTAGACGTGCTTTGTATTGTGTGTTACTGGCTGTCAAGCTTTTGCAGTGGTCAGATCGACCAGATAAACTGTAGTGCTGGGGAAAACTGTCAGTAAATACATGTCATTGCACGATTGCATTATTACATTTCTGTAGCTGTTGTGGAATGTGTCTAGAGCTCGGCAGAGTCGTAAGTTTGATATCATGATGTGGTTTTTGTGTAACTTTATTGAGTGGATTTGTGACGATTTATATCAGGGCATATTGAAAGTGTTTCAGATACTCATTGGAATTGTAATGCTATACAGTATCAGCACAGGAAAATACTGTTTCATGTTAGATTACAGTGGGCATGTTTATGTAGTGTGTCATGTAATGTATTTTGTTTAATGTACCTGTATTTGTGTATATAAGGATAACATTTGTTTGTTGTATTTTTCAGATTAAACCTCGACTTGACTGAGTTGACTTGATAAATCCCTGTCAGGAGTGAGTGACCAAAGAGTTGTTTCCAAGCAGCAGGCTAGAGCAGAAAATCTAACAATCCACCACCGAGGGCTCATTTGTTTGCACTATTTCCCAACAAAAACATGTTGTTTTTGTTTTACTATACCTCATAAATATTCATCAGGCAGCTGCGGTATTTCATTTGTCCATTGCACTATGTTTTTGATCGAGCAGTATTTGGATAAAGTGAAACATTATTTTAATGTAAGGAGACAGACAGAATAGAAAGTTAATTTTGTGTCATTTAATAACTTTAACATTGAATCACGCAAAACACTGCATTTATTTTTATTGTGTAAAATTTCACCCACTTCCTCCTCGGTTAAAATCGCAAAGCGAGCACCACCGGTCGCCATTTGATGTACGCCGTAATGGACTGGCACATGCAACTGTCCGGTTGCCTGATGAATATTTATGAGGTATAGTAAAAAAGTCTTTCTCACACTGATTGGCTACAGAACACAACTGTGCAACTTAACACAGATTTACTGCGATAGGATTCCCTATCGGGAACTCTATCCATCGCAGCTCAGAATTTGATATTTTTGGCTGTTTCGGAACACACTCCTAAACTGCTTTGTTTTCATTAAGATGTTTTTTATTTTAATTTGAAAAAAAAAACTTTGACATTATACATAAGAGGATACTGGGATACATAATTTAGGACTTGTAAAATTCTGTTAGGCAACACAACAATCAGGAGCACAGGGACTAGTTCAGTCACAGGCCTCAAAAACCAACCAGACTCAAATCACTGGACTTGGTCCAGTGAGTATTTTTTTAGCAGTACTCTACTCACTTGTTGTGGTTAAGATTCAGTACCAACAATGACTTGGCCATCTCAAGCTCCTCAGGTATTCCAGACAGCTGGTTGTAACTGAAATCCTAAATAGAAAAAAGGTTGATTTTTTTATATTTTTATGCAAGCCTACAATTATATAATGGTATACCCATAGAGCTTATTACATTACTCGAGCGCTAACTCCTCATTCTTACGTGCGGAGATACTTTGAAGCCATCCTGCATATTCTGCACTTTTTTTATTCATGTGCGTGTTTGTAGAACACAATGAATTTTGATGGAGTGAATTTTGAAAGTGTACTCTACATGGAAATGCAACATGCAAGTACAACATACGCAAACAAATTAGGCGCATTGTGGACGATGAGGTGAAACCGTGGTAATGAACAAAGCCTGGTGGTCACTGCAGATCGGTGCAGTCTGATGAAGGTACCACTTGAGTGTCACTTCAGAACACCGGAGCTTGTCCTCTGAGACAGAGGAAAAGGACTTTAAGTCAGAAACAAAGATATCAGGCGGGGAGAACATCGCCGACTGGTTCTTCTTTAAGCGTATTCTCAATTTATCATTTTTTAAGGGTTGGCGGGGGGACTTTGCTCACCCCGCCCATTAAATTTACAGCAACATGACCTCGCACCTCTTTAACTCTTTCTTTCTTTTTTCTCTCTTTTTTTTTTTTTTTTTTTTTTGGCTTTTCCAGGGGGGACAAGCGCCCCCCCTGCCCCCCTCGCGATGCCCATGCCCCCACGTGATCGAGTCTCAACCAATCAGAAGCTATCAACTCTCCAAGGTATTTATTAATATGATGTATAAATTGAAAAGTCAAAAGTGGGGGTTATTCCTCATTAAAAATTGGAAGGACACAATTGAGCTATATGCTTACTACCGGTAGATATTATCCACACTGCGTAGTCATCAGCACTGGCTCAACCCATGACAGTGATTGTTCATTTATTTATTGATTTATTTACTATCGGACAAACAAGATTTAAACATTAAAAGCAAACAGTCCCGAGGATTTCCCAAAAGCGAAACAAATCACTATTTAAAGGGATCTCCAGACAATAGGTAAAAAACAACATAAAACAAATATATTCACATAAACATAATAAATAGACAAAACAAAACATTGACAGAGGACAATTTTAAGACAACATCTAGTCATAAACATACAAACAAAAAAACAAAAATATATATGTCAGTTCTAAATTTCACAAGAGGAGGGCCGCCCCACAATAAAAAATAATTAGATACATGTATATTTAAAAATACAGAGGTAAAATTACATGGATAAAACCCAGGGCCCCATAGGCCAATATTATGTTGCGGCCATCCTGATTTTCTCCCACCCAAATCAACGCAACCAAACACGGGGACGGAAGGAAAAACAGACCGGGTCCCGCTTGCACAAAAAACATCACCACTCAGCACCGTCACCGGACACAGGGAACACGACTGAAATGGTGGCAGCATGACAAAGTTCTATATTACTGTTGTGGTTTAACCTTTTAAAAAAGGAATGTTATTATTCCAAAATGTGGCAATGTATAACAGTTTTGCAGTTTGTTGAGTTGATGGCTTGGTCTCTAACATCAACAGGCAAACTATTCCACACATATGGAATATTGTTGGAGGATTTTGAAAGATTGAGGCAATGGTCACCCCTCCACTGAAGAAATTCAACAAACAACGGATGATTTAGGAGGATTGAGGCTGAATCAATTTTTTACATGGTAGCAATTTGAGGATTTAGCAGGGTAAGGATGATTCCTAGCCAAAAGGGCCTAGGGTTAGGGTTAAGCAGGCTCCACTGGCCAAATGTAAGGGCCCACGAGTGGAGAGCCAGACTTAGTGGCACCATCCCCGGCCCCTCTCCCGAAACTTTCTGGTTGTAGAGAATAGTATAGGACGATTGGACGATGTCCACCATCCTTTGGTAGTGTCATTGAAATATGTAGACTTCACTGTATGAAAAAATGTGGGGTTCCCACCAAAATGAACTCAAACGATCTTCATAGCCCCAATTAATCTATTGAACAAAACATACATGGCAGTCATTTTGAAATCCAAGATGACCCCCACATGGTACAAAATGATACAATGGAATTCCTGCTCAGCAGGTCAAATCTATGTAAACATAACTGGGGTTGGGGGAGGCATTATGTGACCCCTCCTTAGTTCCATATGAGATGGCTGATTTCCTAAAATTAAGCAGTAGTATTGGTTGACTGGTGTATATCTACAATATGACATTACAGTCGGCTCCCGTTATAACGAGGTCCGATGGACTTTCACAATACTGTTGTTATAGCCGGAACCTCGCTAAAACCGGAGCGCAGTTTTCCCCATTCGTTGTGCACAAGGTACGGTACATGTGCGTGCGTGTTTTAATCGTGTAACACACGTCTGAAGACATGAAAAGATGGTCATTTGTTGGTATGTACGTCTGTTATTAATGTATATTAAATACAAGCTGGTTTACCCGATCATAGATCGGGTAGGGCATAGTGTTGGGGATGAAAATGTGGGGAGTTAAATGTAAATGGGGGATATAGTTGGGGAGACATGCAGTTAAAGAATAGCAATTTCTGTGGTGTGATCTGAGGCAATTTCTGATCACTAAAACCAATTTGAGCAAAAGATCATCTGTGAAAGTTTTGAGTTTTGAGTAATTGAATCAGCTACATGTATTCTGAGCAATAGAATCATTATTGTAGGCTACAATATTTTTATTCGGGGAAGGAAAAGTGTGGGGGGAGACCAAACAATGTCCCCCTCAAAATGTGTGTGTGTGTGTGTGTGGGGGGGGGGGGGTTCCCCTGTCCCCCGTCGATTTACGCACATGATAATTATGTACCATGGCAACTGTCTGTAAATATTGCCGTTGGTCTGTTAAATTGGCTTTTTGTGAGGCAGTCGCATGTGGAAAACGTAGTGAAAATGTTACTGTAGTACACAGGCGAAGGCTGGTTGTACAGTTTGACAATTAATCATAATGCAATAAAACGTGAAGGTGTCATTTAAAATGAAAATGTTGAGTGTTACCCAAAAATTACAAACGGTCTGAATCATGGAGGAAGGTCATAATTAAGTTTCAGTATTGGACTCTTCAACAAACGTAAACTTGAACTTCTTACAATTTGCGAGACCGTCTGCGATGCAACTTTTATTCAAGTTGGTTAAACCATCTATATATAAGAGCAAGTTTTACTTGGCCTCCGAGAAATGTTTGCTTCTGAACGGATCCGAGACCGCGGCTTCATGTCCGTGGAAAAATGTGGGTGTCTTCCGCCGGGTCGGACACTTTTTCGTCGATGTTTTTGTGACTTCGTTTAAGATCGCGATATTTGAAGCAATGCATCGATCCTTCGTTGACCCGAAACAGGCCCCCGAAATTATAACGCGACACTGAATAATACGTGGCGGGCAGCGAACTCACAACGCTCAGCCTTGGTGGTGGAAGCATGGAGCTGTAAACACATTATGGAAGCAACAGCACTCTATCACGCGACGTCACATGCTTGTGCTTCAAATAGCGAGCACCGTAGACTCAACCTCGTTTCCAGGGTGTGGAGCAGGCTGCAGTACGCGTTGCCAGTGACGGTTTTACGCATAGCCAGGAAGTACCACGCAGTGTAGACTTTCGATTGATCAGACCGCGCTAGGCATACTAATGTGTAGTCCTTCTGAATATTCGTTGCACTCGGCACAGGGGCGGCAAGCGAAGCATATGAAAGAATAGGGACACTTGGTTGCCACGCACCATGGACAAAAAATATTTTACCAAGGTCACCCCATACTAACGTTTGGTGAACGCTTTTGCAGAAGGGCCGAGTAGAACACGTAAACGAAACCCCTACGTTGACCTCGCTGACCTCGCACTTTCTAGACACGCAGAAAAGCCAGCACGGGGGGCGGCCAGGCAGTCAACGTGAAAGCGCACACGACGGCAAATTCCTGTGCAAAATCCAGTCACGAAAAATCGAAGAAACGGATCGCCGGTCCGTACGGGAAAATTAGGACGACCCGAAGCGTCCGACCCGGCGGAAGACACCCTCCGCATTTTTCCACGGACGTGGAGCGATTTTGGGGCCGCGGGAGCCCGCGGTCTCGGATCCTTTTAGGAGCAAACATCGTCTCGGGGGCGAGTAAACTTCTCTCTTATATATATAGATTTAACTGATGGTGATGAATAAATGAAATAAATAAAATACCTTTAAGGGAACATTGTTCAATATTTGAGGACCTGAATCCGGAGGAAAAGGCATCATTGCTGAGAAGAATCAGGCAAATAGGTCACTCGCACAAATCGTGCCGAGTGACATTTTGCTTTCATTTTGCATTTGCTGGAATCGGGCAAGAGAGGGCGCCAATACATGCATTACTTCCGGGTTTTAATGACTCCTGATCCTTAGATGCCTTTTGGTTGTTGACTTTTCGGAACAGTTGGGTATTATTGTTTCTGAAGGGATTCTTTGAAATTGTAATTATTTCGGTTAACTATAGCGCACATTCGTGCCAAGTGACATTTTGCTTTCGTTTTGCATTTGCTGGAATCGGGCAAGAGAGGGCGCTAATATTACTTCCGGGTTTAAGTGTCTCCATGTGTAATTTCACAGCAATTGGTGATTATTGTTTGTCGGGAGGGATTCTTTTAAGTTAATAATAATAAATAAACAAAAGTAATAATTTCGGATTAACATTTGTACAATGTATATGTGATGGGGCGTTTGAAGATCTTGGAAACCTGTTTTCATTGGGATTGTTTTTTCGGCGGGGCCGGAGGGGTTCTTAATTTGTTTAAGATTTTTATTTTTTTATTCTTCGGATTAACCTTTTTTGGGGGCGGGAACCACGGTATGTTTTAAACTTTATTTTTTCAAGACAGACTGAATTATCTCTTTTTGGAAGTTGTGGTGGCTCTGAAAAGAGCCGTTTGTTTTGTGATGCTGTGTTCTTTACTACGTATTTTTTTTTATAGCCACAAGCCAACAATAGGGAGCAATTAAGCACCCGATGTTCGGGCGGTAGTACTAAAGGCTATTCCTTACAATGTTAACACTTAACTCCTGAGCGCCCCCTATTGTTAGTTTGTAATAATCTAGAAACATGGTACCGCAGTCGTAAGCAAACTTCAAACCTGGTCACGCTAAAGGGAAACCGCAGCGGGGGATTAGCGACTAGACCAGCCGTCCACTGCGCCGATTATCACAGTCCCATTGAATTTATTTGAAAAGATCGGCGAGATGAAATAACGTTGGGTTGAAGTCTTTACAAAGGTACATTGATGGGTGAAGCTTAAGTGTGTTGCTTGAATTGGAAGACGGGAGCATGATACCCGTTTCGGGACAAAAGGTCTGTCGTTGACAAGCTGCAATGCCCGTAGTTTTGAAAAGATGTCGTTGTAAATGGGTTGAGAACAATGCTTTTCCTCGCATTGGGTCAGCCAAAATCGTCGTAATAGCCGAAGTCTCGTTATGTCCGTGCACGTAATAACCAAATATTTCCCCATAGTAATGTACACAAATTGATCGGGAATGGGAGAATGTGCTCGTTACATCCGGGTTATCGTTATGACCGAGCTCGTTATAACGGGAGTCGACTGTATTTGGTTGCCCTGCAGTGACCACAAGAGGGTGCTTTACTATAGGTTTTTCCAGCATTTTGGGCATACTTTCACATTTTTTCATTCAAATACTTTTAAATGTGGTACAAAAAAATTCTTTAGGTCAATATGTATCCTAATAAACAATTTTAAATATCCAAATTCCAAAGTCAATGCAAGAGGCCGTTACACCCACTTTTTGGGTAAAAATCACAATTTTCTGTGATCTTGTGGCAAAATATGAATTTTTCCAACAAGAATCGGCACTTACGAAGTAGTTATGGTTGTGTATAGATGTTTTGTTATATTTGTAAATGAACTGTTCAAAAATTACACTTAAACAAAGAAAATTATGAAGAAAAGGTGAAAAACAAAACAATTTTTTGTGCCAATGGCAGTAATATTGGATCCCTAGTATGCCTTGTAGTTGATCATGTGGACATAAATTAATTTATTGGATAGTTGACTAAAGTGCATTCTGATGGGTTAATAACCTACCGTGTGACCTTATTTTCATTCGGGAATCTGAAGTGCAGCATGCAAGAGCGGATCGTGCTGTGTCAGTGACGCGTGACGTCATGTTCGCTTATTGGTCAGTTTAAAATGGACAGTGTGCCACGGCTAAATACTGTACAGAAAATGGTAAGATTACATACTGCATTTTTGTCCATAAAAAGGCACCAGTATTGTCTCCAAAAAAGTGAAATATGTTATCCAAAATTCAAAAATTCAAAACAGTTTTCAACTTTTGAAAGCAAGCGTGTCATCTCGAAAGTAAACACGTTTAATAAGAGCCAGAAAACAAATCACCGAAAGAGCCTTGCAATGCTCTATGGATAAAAGGAATGCAACAGAATATACCGATAAAATGAGGTCAAAAATGTATAGTATTGGTACATTTACTTGAGCTTACCACAACTGTGATGTCATCCAAGGTAAAGATGTCATTGGGTATACCAGAGTTGCGAATCTTGTTATGTCTGACGTTGATGGTGCGTAGACACTGCAGGGTAGGCAGGTCACCGTGAATCTGGATCAGATTATTTCTGGCCATGTGAAGATGCTCCTGGAATGCAGGCCAATGAGATGCCAAGAATATCCGTCAAAGGTTTCCGAAAATCAATGGAGTTGAAAAGTGTAAATTGTTATGGGAAGGGGTAATTGAAAATATGTTAACAAAGCCGTAAGCAAATTTGATTCTGTTACACACCTGTTCTTAAAGGAGAAACATAAAAGTTTGTTCATCCTTGCTGAATATAGCCTAGCTTGCACGGACTAAGGATGAACACTCGTGCCAACATTACAATATAGATTATAAATAAAACCAACCAAGGATATATGGACATTTTTTGCTAGTCATCTTAACACAATTAATAACTTGGATTAACTTAAGTTAATTAACTTGGATCGCCATTAAAAAAAAGTGGATAAAAACAAAACAAAACAAAACAAAATCAGAAAAAAATGCCACTTTTGATGGCCAAAAGAAAGTTTTAAAATTGAAAAAATCAGAGATTCACATTTGTTGAGTTGCAAGCGCAGATTAATCAAATAGACAGCTATTTCATTGGACATCACCCAGTTAAGTTGTGCAAACATTTGTAAGAACAGAAAAAGGATCAGAATTTTATAGTCTTTCCAGTACAGCCATTTGTTTTCTTTTCCAAGAAAAATGCATCTTTTGGGGATGATAAATTGCAATATAGGCCTACATGTTCATTTTTTTGAACCAATTATTTCCGATTTGATGACGTCATCAGTTAAAATGTACAAAGTGAATACTGAACTTTTGAAATTTGGAAATCATCATGATTGTTAATTAATAACACCTACCCGGTAACTTCCAGTTTGATGACGTCACAGTATTTGGAAGCCCAAGGTCAACATTGGAACGGATATCATTTGTTCTATGAATATAGTTTTTAGATACGGATCTAATGAAGGATTTCAATTCAAACTATAACCATGTTTGTAGACAAAAACATGGCTGTTTCGGCATTTTGTTATTGTATTTCTATGTCATGTTTTAAACTGATAAAACATAAGTGTGCAGTAGAAAATTGCAGAGTGATGAGGACAAATAGTTGTGCAGATATACATGCAGGCCGTAGAAAAATGCAAGTTCAATGTGACGTCATTATGACGTCACTTCAATTTTCATCTATAACACATCCCGGTCTAGGTACATACAAACTTTCAACCCAATCAAACCTGTAATTCAAGGAAGGGTTACGTGATTTTGCACGTAATATCTACATGCTCATTGCTGGATCGTATGTACTGCGTGCATGGTCTTGCTGCACAGTGCACTGGTTCCGGCAACCAGAAATTCAAACACCGTAAGCAGAACAGACGGAAACCAGCTGCACTAAGGGGCCATGATGCCACTTTCATTGACCAATAAAAAAATTAATCATCATCATGTCGGGATCGCCTGGGTTGTGACGACATCACGAGCCAGTCCCTGAGTCCTCTTCCTCCAGCTGTCTCGATCTACCATGCAGGTGCGCAGCTCCTCTGCAGATGTGAGATCAGTGTCCCTCTTGAGCTGGTCCACAAAGGTTAGAGTTCTTCTCCCTCTTAAGGCAGTGCCCTGGGTGGGCTCCCACAGTATGGTTGGGTGGGCAGCAAGCTCAGGGTGGCGGACGCAGTGGCCAGCAAGATTAAGACGACGCTGTCTGATCTTGTGAGTCACTCTCTGCATGCCGTTGTAGAGGTCATCATTCCTCATACGATCCTGCCACGATACGTTGAGGGCTATACGTAGCATGCGAGTGTAGCATCCATCCAGTGACTTCTCCTCCTTGGTTGTGAGGGTCCACGTCTCTGCACCATAGAGTAGGACGGACTCAATCGTGGAGATAAAGAGCGATCTTTTGAGCTTTGTACTGATGGCTGACGTCCATACATTTTTCATGCTGTGAAGTGCTGACCATTCCAATCCTCGTCTGGTCTTGATGTCTTTTCCGCTTGAGTCGACATACGCTCCAAGATATTTGAAATAGGACACGATCTTCAGCAGCGTGCCGTCTCTGGTGTGGACGGTAGCGTCAGTCGTGTTGTATGCCAGCACTTTGGTCTTCCCAGTGTTGAGATGTAATCCCATCTTCAAACATTCTTCCTCCACCGAGAGGAGAAGGGTACGAGCCTGTTCCACAGTGTTTGAGATCAGTACTATTAAAAAATTAATAAGTTTTTGCTACATTTATGTAAGTCTTCAACTTGAGTTGTCCTTCCTTACGTACATTATGTATGTGTTTTTTGTGGTTTTAACATTCATACATGTATTACATATAGCGCGGCAGGTTGCATTCATGTGCATGGTGTGGCCAGTCAACATGTCATTTCATGCTGCTAAGCTGATACTGCCACCGTGTCTGAATAATGGGCGCACATATTATGGGCGATCAAGCCCCACACGTTTCCTATTTGACCTTTACTTCCAGGGTTAATGGAAGCATGGGCGTCGCAAGGATTTTTTTTCCGGGGGGGGGGGGGGGTAAAGCACTTTTTCCCCTCAAAATCCTTGTATTTTGTGATTCTCAATTTATAATTTTTTTCGAGGGTGGGCGGTGGACATTATCCCACCCTGACCCTGTTGACACCCTGGAGACACCCATTTAGTTAAATGTGTATTAAATTAATAGCAAAAATGACTCCCCGCCCTCTTTTTCTTTTCTTTTTTTTTCTTCTTTTTTTTTTTTTTTTTTTTGCATTTCCGTGGGGGGGGGGGAAGCGCCCCCCTTTCCCCATCCTGAAGAAGGCCATGGATGGAAGTGCAATGAAAATTAAATATAACTCAAAAATGGAACCATATTACTACAGACTTAGTGAGGAATGCCAGACACACAAAACAGCATGATGATGTCATCGCTCGGAAGGGCATACCTTCAGCGGCCCATCAAAGGACAGTTGAACTTTTTCTAATTTAAAATCCATTTGTCAAAATGTTACCACATTGACCCCTAGATATTTTAAGGACAACCGCAAATGACTTTGCAAGGTTTCAGAATCTTCATGGTGAACATGTTTCCTCTCTGAACTAAATCAGTATTCAGTTTGCACACTTTTACCGACGACGTCATCAAATCTGAAATAACGTCTACGTGTACATAAAATGTTGAAATTTATCATATTCCCAAAAGATGCTTTTTATTCCAAATGAAAATAAAAGGTTCTACTCTAGAGGCTGAATTTTGTGAGTCTTTTTTCTGTTCTGACATAAAAAAAGAACCGGGCAATGTCCATCGAAATAGTTGTCTGCCAGATAACCCTGCATTTGTAACTCTACAAACGAGAATCTCTTGTACATATTTTTTCCCTTGGAACCTGAAAATCTGTTATCCAAGTAATAAAAAAAAGGGCCTTAAAATCTAAACATTGCAGCTGTAGCCACAAACTACCTGACAGTGAGTAGAGTTTTTATATACTATTTTGACAGTCTGATAAGCCAAGGAACAAGTTAATATGTGGAATCCAAAATATTAAGCTTACCAGCTTTGAAAGTGACGACAATTCATCTGGAAGCATTTCCAAACTGGTTTTGTTCAGACGCAACCATCGTAAGCTGGACATATCGGCAACATCTTTTGGGAAAAGGTCAGACTGTAAAACAAAAGATATGTGTTGCATATGAACATACTTGTGTAAATTAATGGTAAAAAAGGCAGATAACAAAAAAATGTCGTGTTTTTGATACTATAATTTCATTGGTCTAGCACGACCACGTGTCCATTCCATCAAAACAACCACTTGCTCTATATTAATTCAAGATTGAAATTATTTGGTCACTTGAAAATCACCCCAGCTATAAGTGTGACTGCTAAATAAAAAAAAAACTACATTGAATTCTATTCCTTTTGAGGTCTAGTTATCCAGTAATCATGGTAATTCGGGAACGAATTCTGACGATGTTAAAAAAGCATGGCGTCTCTGATATTTACCAGACTGTTTCCCGGCCCCCCTAAAATAGTCACAAGGCCAATGAGGTCAGGGAACTAGACTAGAGCTTTAATCATCCACTGAGTGTGCGTCAACTTTGGCAAGGTGCACCGCGGCTGTTGCCTGTCATTCCAAAATCTTTGGAGTTCTCTGCAGTGAGGTGCGCCCTCTTGTGTGCGCTCTTCACGCACAGCCATGTAGTGCATCCAGCCAGGTACTTCAGAGAGCTCCAAAGATTTTAGAATGACAGGCAACAGGCGCGGTGCACTTTGCCAAAGTTGACGCACACTCAGTGGATGATTAAAGCTCTAGTCTGGTTCCCTGACCCCATTTCCCTTGTGACTATTTTAGGGGGGCCGGGAAACAGTCTGGTAAATATCAGAGACGCCATGCTTTTTTAAAACCGTCGGGATTCGTTGTCGAAATACCATGATTACTGGATAAGGCCAAATAAAACAAAAACATGTTAAGCGTCCCCGCCCACTTCCTTTTTGGAGGACGCCTCCTCTTTTTCCTTTTTTTTTGGGAAAAAAAAGCACAAATGTCGACCGATCCATCGTAAAATCAAATACTTGCAAGTCAGAACTTCTAATTCAGAAGTTCTAATTCAGAACTTCTAATTCTGTATTTGTCACTTTCCACATCATGCAGTCGACCCTGCGATCTCCAAACCAGCCTTGACGTGGACAAGAATGCCCGCGCGGCAGTGTTTTGTTATTCTTCTAAAACCGTGCTGGAAAACTATTAAAAACACTGTAAATATGTTTAATTCTCTTGTCCAGCATGTCTGTTTCATTTTTTGTATCTTAGAAGTGTAAAAACTAATGGTTGTCGGCTATCTTGAGGGAAAAAAAAAAAGCCCCGCCTCCTCCATTTTTTTTTAAAAACCCGGACGTTAAACATGTTTTTTTTTTTTACTTGGCCTAACTAGACCTCAAAAGGTACAGAATTAAACGTTTTTTTGTTATTTAGCAGTCATACTTTATAGTTTTGGTGATTTTCAAGTGACAAAATAATTTTGATCTTAAATTGATTTTCGGCTCCCCTAGCAACAGGAGTATCCATGCACAGACCATATACATTTTGTGACTGTTAATACAGAGGAAGTCCGGTATTTCAGTCACATTTATGGGACTGGTCTAGTCAGCTGGATGCTACTCAAGCTAGACTCTCCATAGACTTTGTACACAATCGCGGAAGTGGTATCAGGTTGCAACATTTTTTTCCTTAGAACTTAGAAGGCACTTCGGAAAGATTCCCATATCTGGCCATCACTAACTTTTCCCTTCAATCACTATCAGCCATCAAAAAGTGATAATAAAATGTTCTAAAAAGTCAAATTTAGCAGGGAAAATATTTGAAGTATTTGCAAGCCTGTAGTGTAGGGCCCCTGTTTTCATTTGATCAAAATCAACTTTACAATCAAAAGCAGATTTTCTCAATTCTAATGACACCCGTTTTGCAATTTTGAACAGTTTCTTAGGGTAGAAATCACTATTTTTCTGCGCAGTTTGTGCCTTACAATTCAGCGCGCCATGCATGCTCATGGCACATCGCGCGGTGATCGCCATCTTCATTTTCGGGTAGCGTGTTGTCGCCACGATGTCATCGTCATTTTTCCCAAAAATTTCCCTCAAGAAATCACCGAATGTTCAATATATCAGGGAATTTTGTATAGTCATACAGCAACGTGAACTATAGTTGGGACCGCAAAATAAAAAGATTGGAGTGGCCCAACTATAGATGGGCCCCCTTGATGACTCCCAACTATAGTTGGGCCAGCCCAACTGTGGAACTACAGTTGGGACCGTCCTGGGACGATTCCAACTATAGTTGGGACCGATATACCATAGTTGGGGCGTAACATAGCCCAAGTTGGACGAAGTCTTCATTGCATTACGACTGACGTCCAGGATGACAATTCTCTACATAAGACCACCCAAAATTTTGACCAGAGTTTTTTTATGTTTTACCTCGTTATAGAAGCTTATTTCACGCCTACATACTCTATGTGTCCTTATCTACATTGGTCCGGGGGGTTCAGGAATTCCATATGTGATGCTGACCGACGTTAATCAGGAAAATAAACTCTAAAGCAACGTTAAACTTGTACGTGTTTGTAGACTCTTTTCATCAGTTTCTCATCACCGTACCGCGTCGTACGAAAGCGCACATGCTAGCGCCCTCCTTGGTTGGTTTTGGTGGGAACGTGCAGTGACGTCACTCCAGCCAACCGAAGTCATGAAAACACTCCACCAATGACCAAAGCCGTAACATGTTTCTGGTCACGGTCGCTAAAACATGCCCAGTCAGTGGATAGGCGACCGCGCTTACAAGTTAGTGCGCATGCGTTTAAGGGTGGTTACTTAGTCTGGTTCCATTTAGACATGAGCGTCGGGAATAATTGTCAGGTCTGGGAACCAGACAAGTGGTTACTAAGCAAATCGCACGCGCACGCGCACTGCGCGTTCACGCTGCACGCCACGGACGTACGTCATGCATACGACTAGACTCGACTCGGCGGTGAGAAACTGATGAAAAGAGTCTACAACAATGTACAACATGTAAAAGTTTAACGTTGCTTTAGAGAGTTTATTTTCCTGATTAAGGTCGGTCAGCATCGCATATGGAATTCCTGAACCCAGTGGCCCAATAGATAAGGACACATAGAATACTACGACGTAAAAATTGGCTTCTCCAACAAGGTAAAAAATATTGAAAATATTGGTCATACATTTTTTCGCCCGGTTTTGAGCACTTCATATCCTGGACTCCCTCCGTAACGTGATGTGTCAAGAAATATCAGAATGTCAATTTTGAGTGTCATTTAGTCAACTGTTTTGGTGAGTCTTTCCCTTCCTTTATAGGAACGGGGTCCTAAAAGTAAGGATTACCAATAGGCTATATCCACTAGTTATCAAAATTAAAGATGGCGATCACCTAGCCCAGGTTGGACGAAGTCTTCATTGCAATACGACTACGTAGGGAGGAAAGGGAGTCCACCTGGGCTAGGCGATCACCGCGATGTACCGTGAGCACGCACGGCGCGCTGAATCGCAAGGCACAAACCGCGCAGCAAAATCGTGATTTCTACCCCAAGAATCTGTTCAAAATTGCAAAAAGGGGGTCATTAGAATTGAGAAAAGTCTGCTTTTGATTGTAAAGGTGATTTTCAGCAATAAAAAACATTTTAGACTCTAATTTGATCATAACAAAACAGGGGCCCTTCACTTCACGATCGCCGATTTTTTGCACTCCTTAAAATTGTTTCTTCATCAGATTTACAACTTTTGGTACTTTTCAGGTCATAGCCCTATTTAAGGAATATGAGTGATGGCCCAGTATGAATTTTTTTCCGAAGTATTTGTGAGCCACATGCATGGAGCTAGATCAAACCCTACCTTGAAGTTATTTCGACTCAAATCTACACCACGAACGAAAGGTAACACTCCCGTGGCCGCCATGTTGTTCGCTGCGCCGTCGAAATCAGGGTGACCGTAAGGTCATGGCCAAATTCTGCTAAATGCAATTTAAAAATCTGTCAGATTCATCAAAAATCTGCCAAATTCCCCAGAATTACTCGAAATACACAAAAACACGTAAAATTACATGCAGATGTTGTAGTATTGCCTTAATAATGTTCAAATAACATTTTAATCAATCTATAGTCACATCATGCTAGGCAAAACATCATGACAAAGTCCGGTTCCTAGTGCTCATCATCAGCCGACCTAGACCATGCCCAGTCTTCTTCTTCCAGTAAGTCCCTCCATCCGGTTCGTTAGTGTGACGTCACCTCCAGCACTTTCTGCACGATTGGAACCGGAAGTTAACGCAGCTGGAGCGTTTGTAGCCAATGGGCGCTAGTAATCAGTGGTGCGCGCGCGTGTATGACGTTTTTACTAACGAACCGGATAGTGGAGTATTGTTGTACTTGGGTGCAAAAGTGCTCGGTCACGGGAACAAATATTGACGAAGAGTGCAGTAAACTAATTTAGAACTTGGTGCAAGTAAAAACGATGCCCCTGTGGCATAACTAGCGGAGGGTGAGAGGTTTCAAGCTAGTCCGGAAAATCTCCAGTGACTGAGCTGAAACCACGGTGGCTGGTAGGGCATTCCAGATGCAGATGACACTTGGAAAAAAGCTGTGCTGGTATGATAGAATTCTACAGTGCTGTTGTGTGAACTGCTGTCGGTGGCCCCTATTCTGGTTTGATGAAGAGTACAAGTAGGGTGGGGTAGGAGGGATGGCAACGAGACCGTGCATTATCCTGTACAGCATGATGACTTTGTAGTGTGGGCTCGACGTTCGTAGAGAGTCTGCCATTTGAGATTTTGTAGCATCTGGGTGACACTATTCCGTTGGTTGTAGTCAGCCGTTACAAATCTAGCGGCACGCCGTTGCACCATATCAACCTGGGAAATCAGGTCCTGTGTATGTGGATCCCACACCGAGGATGAGTATTCAAGGGTGGGGCGGACATAGGTCTTGTAGGCCTGTTCCTTGATCGTTGGGGGGCATCTTCTCAGGAATTGCGGCGAAGAAAGCCGAGGGTGCTGTTGCTTTTCTTACAGATGTTTTGGACATGGGGCTTCCAGCTCAGATTTCGATGGATGGTGACACCTAGGTACTTTGCCTCATCTACGGTACGGAGTGCAGTCCCATGGATTGAATAAGGGGTTGCTCCGTGGATGTTGTTTCGCTTGTTTGAGATTCTAAGAACTTCACATTTATCGGCGTTGAATGACATTAGCCACTTTTTCTCCCACTCCTGAAGGTTTGCAAGATCCTTTTGAAGAATGGCAGTGTCGTCTTGAGATTGGATGGGTCTATACAGGAGAGCATCATCAGCGAAGAGGCGTAGGTTTGACGAAACGCACTCAGGCAGGTCGTTGATAAAGACCAAAAACAACAGGGGCCCCAGTACGGTGCCTTGGGGTACCCCTGATGTTACACTGGCAACGCTGCTCTTTTTTTCACTCTAGAATAACTTGCTGGGTACGTCCTGATAGGAAATCTCGGATCCAAGACAGTAGCTGACCTCTGACCCCATAGTGATGGAGCTTCAGGAGGAGACGTTCATGAGGTACTCGGTCAAAGGCCTTCGAGAAATCTAAAAGGATTGCATCGATCTGCTGCTTGTCTCGTAGACCTGGCCAGGTCGTCTAGTGTTAACAAGAGCTGGGATTCGCAGGATCGCTTCTTTCTAAATCCAAATTGGCATTCTGTTAACAGGTTGTGGGTATCAAGGTGTTGAATGATCTGGCTATGGATGATATGCTCAGCTGTTTTGCAAACGATAGATGTGAGAGATATGGGTCGGTAGTTTTCAGGTCTGTGTTTGTCACCTTTTTTGAAGATTGGAGTTACATCCGCCGATTTCCACGCATGTGGGATTTTTCCTTGGTGAAGGGTAGCATTGAAAAGTTGGCAAAAAATAGGCGCAAGTTCTTCAGCTGCCTCTTTGAGAAGATAGGCAGGCAGATTGTCAGGACCACAGGCTGTGTGGGGCTTGATGTTGGCGAGGAGTTTCCTTACACCTTCACTAACGATGGAAAAAGATGGAACTGTTGGGTGCGGGCTGGTGCCAAGATCTGGTAGTTCTGATGCGTTCTCATCAGTGAAGACAGAAACAAACTGGTCATTCAGCATATTGGACTTCGTTGTGCTGTCACTTTGCAGAATGCCTTCTCTCATCAGTGGCGCAACCCCGGAGTTATCGCATCGTTTACTCTTAATGTAAGACCAGAACCTTTTCGGGTTACTACCTTCTTCGCACAGCATGTCACCAAGGGCGGATCCAGGGGGGGGGGCCAAAGGGGGCCATGGCCCCCCCCCCAAGCGAGACCATTTTTTATATTTTTTATGTGACATCGCAATAAAGGCAGGCAATGAGTACACCACCATCTTTTCCTCAAAAAAACATTGGTTAAAGTGGTCAGAAATTGCCTCAGATCGCACCACAGAGCATCTAGAATCCAAAAAATGTTCGGGGCCCTTAAGCGGGCCCCGAACCCCACGCCGTAATTTTTTTGACCCACTTTTTGGGGGGTCCAAAACTTTTTTTGGCCCCCCAAAAATTGTGTTCTGGATCCGCCCTTGCATGTCACTGATGTGAGTGTGGTAAGCTGTTCTGCAGTCTCTTTGCATCTGTTTCTTGAGGTTCTTGTATCGGGTCCAGTCACTCGATTTCTTCGACCTACAAGCTCTTTTGTAGGCTCTCTTCTTTCTTCTAGATAGGGCTTTGATATGGCGAATGATCCACGGTTGACTGAATCTTGTGGAGGATAGCTTAATGGAGGGGACCATCGTATCCAAGAGTTTGTTAAGGAAGGTTGTTAACTGGCTCCAGAGATCATTGACATTAGTGTCAACAGAATTGGATGTGACGAAGTGACTGCCAAAGGTGTTCATTTCCGACTTGATGCTGCCCATATCAGCTTTCTTCCACAAGAAGATTCTTCGTCGGACTGGCTTTTGTCTTTTGGCACGAATGTCAGATACAGTAAGAACCATCTCGTGGTCGCTCACTCCAGGCACAGGCATACATTTACTGACAAGGGTTGGTCTATTTGTAAGGAACAGGTCTAAGATGTTCTTATCTCTAGTTGGAGTGTCTACAATTTGGGTTAACCCCAAGTCGTTGAAGGTAGAAATGAAGCAATTGTTGATTGCATGACTGAATTGGTGACCAACAATAGCCGCTGTAGCCCAATTTATATCGGGGAGGTTGAAGTCTCCACTGAGCCAGACTACAGCCGAAGGGTTACTAGTGATGAAGCGCTGGATGGACTGGCACAAGGTCTGAGCGTAAGCAAGGTCACGATTTGGTGGTCGATACGCCGACATAACAATGAGGGGTTGACGCCATAGAGGTGGATCTTAGTTACCACTAGTTCGCTATCGCTATTCACTTTGATTTCACCATCGATGATGTCATTTTTTGTAGCAAGCAAAACACCTCCATAACCATCAGTACGGTCTTTCCTAATGGGAGGATTATATCCAGGAGGCATCATTTCTGAGCTCAACGTAGATGGTTTCAGCCAGGTTTCATTAGCAATGATTACGTCAGGCTGACAACTTTCAACTGCTTCCCAAAACGCTTCCTTTTTAGCGTTCATGCTTTGTAGGTTGACCGAGAGGACCTTTAAGGGCCTGGGATTATTTTTCCTTCTTTTGGAGGACTTATTTATAGGAGAAGACTGCTGGAGGGGAGAGCCAGGGTTAGGCTCAGAGTCAATTGATGAGCGACTCTGGTTTGATGAGTCACGTCTGGTGGTGGTTGTCAGACTTGGGTCATGATTACCAGTATTCATTGAACTAAACACATCAGATGAGTTGTCAATGACTGATAACACTTGGAAATTATTCTCGGACTCGCACAAGTAAGAATCGAGAATGGACGAAGAATGATTTGGGGTATCGCAAATCATGCAAATCCAGCTAACATCTGATCTGTTGATACTTTCATATACTTCCTGTGTCATTCCCATGCAGTCTGTATGATACCAGGTATCACACGTATCACAAGCTACAGCTGTTCTCGTTTTCGACCAGCGGACGGCTTTCTTACAGACCCCACATGGATACTTGGGAGAGTAAGGACCTGGATTTAATTCTGTGTCATGGGCTTGAGTAATCAGAAGGATGGCTAGATACATCGACACTGAGTTCTTGCTTGGTTTAACTTTAACCAGGTTATTTTCTATAACTGAACATGAAGATAACCAGGAGGCTTGCCAAAGCTTTTGGCTGGTGTAGTGGTTCACAGTCAACCTGTGGTCCCATTATGCAAGGGTTTGTTGGGAAAAAAATGAAGTTTTTTTAAACTTCAATTAGTTAATTAATTAGTTAGTTCATTCAATTAGTTTAGTGTACACTTTTGGGTTCAAATTGCCTGTTTTGCTGTCAAAATTAATAACCATTTTTGCAAATTTCTGCCAGAAATCTGCCAAAAAATCCGTTCTGTCAGATTTTCTGTCAAACTCGTTTTTTTTACAAAAATTCGGTCAAAGTTAGCCGAAAATCGGCTAAAACGGTCATCCTGGTTGAAATTCTTTTTTTACTGCAACCAAGAAAAGTCAGTGCAACAACCTCGTTTCCATGGGTACGATCTTGCTGCACCACGTATGTTGGTTCCTTTCGTGCGTCGTACCCCCGCCCCGCACGCTGGGAAAGGCTGATTATGATGAGCTAGTTATTCGGAAGTACGCGTCACTGTGATAATGGACCATAGATGAATAAAAAGTCTTTTAATTCAATTCTCCATGGGAGAGCAAAAAATGTCAAAAATAAATATTTACATATTAAACCTTTTTTGCACTTTTTCCAGACCTAAATTAAATGGGGAATTCAGTTCAAAAAACGAAATTGAAAAAAAAAAAAATTTCTGGTAAAAACAGTCATTTTTGCAATTGATGATTAAAACGTTCAGATTTGGTAAAAAAGATAAAATTTTGTGTATGTATTACTTTCTGAATTACAGGGAAAAGGTTTGATTTATTT